GATAAGAGTACCTGCGTGTTCACTCTCTACCTTTGTTTACAGGAAACAAAGAAGCAACACCAGGAGATAGTCTCTGTTTACAGGACACATCTGCTGTATGCTGTGCAGGTAAGAGAGTCTTCCTCAGGAATTGCCCTCCCCTTCTTAAAGAACTCAGTAGATTATATCTGTATATTACTAAAGCAAATAGGCAGTGTGTGCATACACTACAGCCAGCACAACCTCTTGAAGGCATTCCCTCCTGTGTGAGAGAGGGTGTCTTGTAACATGGCACATTTCACAAGCACCTCTTAAAGTCATCCTTTCCCAGCCTGCTCCCCCCCCCCCCCCGATGTTTTGAACAGGCCACTAATATATTTTTATCTTCCATTTCTTTCTAGGGCCAAATGGATGAGGACGTCCAGAAAGTGCTCAAACAGATCTTAACAATGTGCAAGAGTCAATCGCAAAAGAAAAGTGAAACGATTTTTGCCGATCCCTAATGGTGCTGCTCTAGAGATTGAGACTCGCCTTAAAATGAGATTTGATTGGCATCCCCCCCACCCCCAGGAGGGAGCTGTCACATGTCTCTGCCACTCTTATTTCTTTATTTTTATGTATTATGAGCTAATGTGTTGTCATGTCTTCCCCTTGCCCCCAACCTAAAGTTCCCAGAGTGCTATTTTTGTGTATTGGAACAGAAACGTACAACTCTCCGTAAATTGCCATTACTTTAAATCAGGGGTGGTCACAGTCTGACCTACAGTATTAGAAAGTGGCTCAGTGCTTCCTTTGGTGCAAGCCGTTGGAAGTATCGGCTTGCAGTGTTGCATTTTGGATATGAATAAGTGCATCTTCTGGAGGTGGGGGAAGTGATGGATTTTTCAGTTCTTGGTTATCTAAAGAGGGGGAAACAAACCAGTTCATAGGTTTTAAGACCCTCCAACGTCCAGGATAACAGTTGATGCAACTCGGATTTTGAAATTCCTTTGGCCTCGTTAATTGAACGGTGTGGCAGGGGGAGCCTCCTTGATAAGACAGGGCCCACAGCCTGTACATACTACAAGACCAGTGATGTGTACTAACTCTGTAACGTAAAGCATAAACTTGCAGGTTAATGAATTTCGAACACGGCTAATTCTGCTAAAACCCCAGTTTCTTTATCAAACAGTAGGTCAAGCTATCTATGCAAATCCTTGCAGTGCTATTGGCTATGGAGCTCAGGAGGAAGAAAACACAGCGTTCCAAACTACAAACAAGGGATCTGAATGAACTCATGATGTTTACAGTGAGCGCTGTTGTCTCACGGTTCCTAACCTCACTTTTGTAAAAGATCTCCTCTACAATATATTTTTACTGGCCCTCAAATTTAGAAATGTCTTTTTGTAATTAAAGCCATTTGCCTATTTAACACTACTACTTCTTTCTGTTTTTCTGCAGTAGCCTTTAATACCAAACGATTTAGGCGGTGGCCTTTTTCTCCGTCTCTCTCCCCATTCGCCCAGCTGTTGTAAAATGCAGCAGAGGTATCCCAATCCCCTGGGAAAAGGCTCTGTTGAAGCAGAACTGCCCAAATACTGTACAAAAGAGGAATTACTAGCTTTCTTGCCAAATGTTGTAACACCAAGAAGCACAGAGAAGCCTTGCGTTTTTCATTTTCAAGAGCAGTAACATCTGTATGACATAGGAGTGCTCCTGCAAATTGCTTTCATGCCTACAAATCATTTAGCAGAAAAAGATAACACTTATAACTCTGTATGTGATATACACTCAGGTATGGATAGAATGGGTCCAGCAATAGAGTGTGTGTCTCTCTCTTGATTTTTTTTTTAAGTATACTGTGTGATTATCCTATTTCACCAGCCACTTTCACACCAGATTTATGTTGTAAACTGCTTTCAAAACCAGGCTTAAACAAGCATGACTGCTTTGGCATCTCCCAGCCTACCATGAGAATTACAGCTTTCTGGGGGATTTTGTTGTTGTTGGAGACCTGCATATAAATAGCCAGGTGCGATAGCAGTTTTTCAGGTTTTAAATCAGTTTGCAAGAGCACTCCTATAAGAATCAGGGGGGCCTTCTTTAAAGCCTTTAAGAAGAATTGGGAATACCATACGTGTGCTGCAACAGCGGTTTTGTGTGTCAGAGAGACCCAGAAGCCTAAGGAACTTACATTATACCTAAAGGGAATAACCATTTTGATTGTCATGTGTTTTCAACTTACAGCATGGTTTTACTCCTATCGTCTGCTGCAGAAATTCCCAGAGCTCTTCAATAAGTGAAGTCTATAGGTAGGCAATTTACTCAGTGCCTGAGGGACTACCACATTTATCATGTGCTAAATTAGCCTTCCCTGGGGCTACAGGTGTGGTTGGACTACAATTCCCATCATCCACGATCCTTGCCATATTAGCTGTGGATAATGAGGGTTGTAGTCTTCTAGCACCTAGGGAATCAAGGCTGCATTAAATAGTAGCCTACCATTTTATACAGCAGCCAAATTTAAATGGATTAAGAGCATAGGATCTCCTGGGTCTTTATATTATTATTAATATTATTATTATTTGAGTCTCCTTGGTTTAACCAATACCTATTAATTTGGACAATATTTCATAGTTAGATACCTTTTTTTAAACGTTCCAAAGAAATGTGAAAGTTCTGCTGCAGTACTTACAAAAATAAAAATAACAGGTCTAAAATATGCCAAGAAATGCTGCCAAGTATAAAACTTGAGGAACCGTTTTGTAGGTTGCCTGACAAAAACCTTAGCTTTTACCTTGTTTTGTTATGTGTATTTATTATGATTATCATTGTGGAACATTGGAAATTGTACACTATAGCTTAGTGATTGTCCTTTGTATGTAATTTTACAAACGTTTCATTCCGCAAATAAACAGTTTCTTTTTTTTTCTTCTTTTTTAAAAATCTGCCTCTTATTTTTGTCTAATACACTTGTACTAGCAGCCTTGTACTAAGTTTTATTCGGGAATTCAAAAAACCAAAACAAAAAACTGCAGTTTGAAAGATTCGGTCCGCCATCTGAACTCAAACGGGTGTGCAATTATATCCAACCATAGATGAAAAACTGTTTTTTGATGTCAGAAACCGTTAAGAGGTCTCTGAATTCACAGCAGACAGACAGACCACTTTCCAAAATATATTGGCGATTGGGACATTGTACTGAACCCAAGGGAAGAAACTCAAATATTTAAAGAACATAAGAAGAACATGATGGATCAGGGGAAACCATCTTGTTATCACAGTGGTAAGCTAGATGCCCATGGGAAGCCTGCAACCTGAACACATCACCTCTCGCCCCTTTTGCAGCTTCCAGCAATGGGTGTTCAGAAGCACACTCCCTCTGACAGTGGGGAGAGAGCATGGCCTTATCTTCCATGAATTTTGTCGACTCCTATTTGAAAGCCACCCAAGTTGGTGGCCATCTTTGCCTCTAGTGGGAGCAAATTGCATAGTTTGTGTGCTGTATGAGGAAGCACTTTCTTTTGCCTGTCTTGAATCCACCATCTTCACTGGAAGGCCACGTGAGAGGGAGAAAAACTTCTTGCTTTCTACTTTCTTCATGCCATGCATCATTTTATTGACCTCTGTCAGGTCTCCTCTTACCTTTTCTCTTGCTTTGAAGAGGCCCTTCCTTGGGTTCTCTTTCCCCACCCAGCCTTCTGAAGCAGACCTGGTGTAAGTGTGCAACGCACCTGGGGTGAATGCTAGGGCCCACCATTGACAATCACAACACCCACAGCTCAGCTGGACTATAGGGAGGATTAGGGCAGGCAGTTGGGTGCCACAATAGTGTGTAGAGTGGAATCGAGCCCCCATAGGGCACACTTAAATCACCAGCACCACACTGGCCCCTCTCCTGAAATTGGGGGGGCATAATTAAAATGGGAAACAGAGTTGGATAAAATGGCCATGCTGTGGTGATCCAGGGGTTGAATCTGAAATCAAGCTTAGATGTAAGCTTGTTGGTGTCTCTGGTATCTTCTCTCACATCGTGGATGTTGGTTTTTGTGGTGGATGCATGCTCTATATTATTTAATACTATTGCCACAAGTTTGTCATGCAGTAGAGCAAAGAACTTTGATAACTAAGATGGCAGCCCCAGTGAGTTTAGATGCCACTCTGCTGCTCATCACCTTTGGGAGGCCATAAGTGTTATGTATTAAATATTTAATAATTATATAATATTTAATTTATTTAAAATTGATATTATTCTCTTTAATAATAAGGGACTTAGATGGCAGTCCAGTGGCAACACTGAGCAAAATTACAATCTCAGCAGGCGCCATTAGACCTTGTCATAAGCACATCTGGGGCACAGCAGTATAATTAAAATGGCGGCACCTGTGAGTACAGGTCCTGCACTTAGGCACAGAGGTCTGCTTGATGCCAAGCAAGCAGCCTGCCCACCAACTACACACTTTACACACTAGCTTTCCTGTTTAGTGTGGATGTGTATACACACAGAGATTAGATGGGGTGGGTGTGTATACATACATACAAACACACACACTTTTGAGATGTAAAACAGAATGGGACATTCCCAGGTGGTTTCACAATCAATTCCCCTTCCTTGGGAACTCTGGGAATTGTAGGCCTGTGAGGAGAATAAGGGTCTCCTCACAACTCTCACGCAGGTGGCGCTGTGGGTAAAACCTCAGCGCCTAGGACTTGCCGATCGCATGGTCGGCGGTTCGAATCCCCGCGGCAGGTTGCGCTCCCGTCGTTCGGTCCCAGCTCTTGCCAACCTAGCAGTTCGAAAGCACCCCTGGGTGCAAGTACATAAATAGGGACCGCTTACTAGCGGGAAGGTAAACGGCGTTTCCGTGTGCTGCCCTGGCTCGCCAGATGCAGCTTGTCACGCTGGCCACGTGACCCGAAAGTGTCTGCGGACAGCGCTGGCTCTCGGCCTATAGAGGGAGATGAGCGCACAACCCTAGAGTCTGGCAAGACTGGCCCGTATGGGCAGGGGTACCTTTACCTTTACCACAACTCTCAGCACCCTTAACGAATTACAGTTCCCAAGATTATTTGGGGAAAGCCATGGCTTTTTAAAAAGTGGTATTATACTGATCCAAACGTTAAGGTGTGAATGTGGGTAAAGTGTTGGGACTGTAGAATCTAGGCCTGGACTTCAGCTCAGCCACAAAGCTCACTAGAGCTGCTGCATTGAGATGTGGGTTTATTGTAAAGTTTTCCTGGTAATAACACTGGCTCATCTGCCTTGATTTCTGAAGCTTTCTTTTACACTGCAGTGCCTGTTACATTACAGAGCTGCGGCCGTTTAGAATTTTAAATTGTGGAAAAGAACTGTGTGCCCCAATGGTTGTCACCATGAAATTACTATGCAACTCTCAAACACAAAACTTTCCGAGCTAATAGGATTGCAAACACATTTGCTTTCTGGAAACAGCACTCGGATTCATGCTAAATTTCCACTAAGTCCCACCAGGTTTCCAGAAGTGCCTTTTATGTCCTGTGAGAGATCCCACAACACAGAGAAACGATCAGGTAAGGAAACGTGAGGATAACAGGATAAGGTGCTGTCTGAATGCAGCTCAGAGCAGGCGCACAATCTGACTCTCAGCCTTTGAGGATTTAAATGTGGCCGGGATGTGGAGAGTGGGTGTGCAGCATTTTAATTATCAGCCTCCTAAAACCCCTCAGTTGTTACTGAGCTTTCAATCCTGGTGAAAAAAAGAAAAATGGCTCCATCTAAAGGCCAAAGGTTGTTTTTCAGTCACCAGGACAACTGGGGCAACACTCTGTCGCCCTAGTGACAGCTTGGGGAGAGACACTGCTTTCACACACAGACAAAACAATCCCTTACAGAAAAGGAACTAAGGTCTCCACCCAAAAGAACCTGATTCCTAATGCCATATTTCTATGTGTGGTTAATGTAAACCTGCAAGGCAAAATCAAGTGCAGGGTGGGAAAGTTCCTCTCCACTGGGTTCCAGATCCACTGCCTTGTTCTGAGGTAGGCAACGGCTCTCGGCTAGCTGATACCTTTGCTGCCGTGAACCATTTTAGATTAATTTTGTTTCATCTGTCAGCTCCGAGGGTATCACAAAAACCCTTTAGACCTGTGATGTATTTAGTTGGGCGTATTTTAGGGGGAGGAAGGTGAGGAAAATAAGCAAATCTGTTGAGAGAATTGGAGGTTTGGAGAGAGAGAGAAAAATAACAGTGTACATAACGTTGTGCCACAGCCTGCCTGTTTGTTAAAAGCAGCTTTACCTCAAAGCTACACAACTCCCTCATTCACTAGTCATCGCCCTTGCGCGTAATGCAAACTGTGTGGAGTCAGTTTCACACGGCAGGCTGTGAACAGCTCCAGCAATTTCCACCGTGCCATTGCTAACTGCAAAATAATAGTAATAATAATAATAATACATATTAGGGACATAGCTGTCAACCTTCCCTCTTTTTTTGCAGAAAATTCCCTTATTCCAGCGCCGTTTCCCGCTGCTATCTCCGATTGTTAGATATCCCGTAGACTCTCCCCAGGACAGGTGAGGCTGCTGATCCCTTATTTTCAAATCTGAAAGTTGAAAGCTATGATTAGGGAGGGGTTTTGTCATCTGGGCAGCCCAAGTCCTCCATACACATTGCCCAAGCTGGCGTCCAGGGAAGTAATTTCAGTGCTGCTAATGCAGTAAAAACAACATGGGATGCAGCAATTATGAGTTACCAGTCTCTGCAGCCACAACAGGCGCTGTGATTCTCCAGTGGTTTGACTTCCCCCTTGGAAGTGTACTCCATTGTCTCTCAAGACAGACAGATGCCAACAACAGATTAGAACACACCTCTCAATCACCTTGAAGTGATAAGTTGCCAAATATAGCAAATTTTTACTGCTTGCCTAAATCCTAGTTCTGTGTTTTATTGGTAACCAAGGAAGGGAATTGTTCTTATTATTATTGCTGATGCTGGCTTTACACCCCGGGTCAGCAGCTAGTTCTGTTTTCTGTAGGGCCCTTTATAACATGTGGGTATCTACAGCATGATAAGCTCTCCCTAAGAGACAAGCCTCATGATCACAGTCATCCTTGAGTGCCAGCCATGGGTCCAAGGCAGTGCTCCACCCCCCAAAAAGGGCCAGGTTTGATCCCAAGGCTCCTAGCTGCTGACACCTACTTTATAACCTTTTAAAACTCAAAGGGAAAGCTGTGCTCAGATGAAATGAGCAGCAACCGTGAAGAAAATGAAATGTGGTCCGAGCTGCTGGCTACACCAGCAACCAAGTTAATGCAAGCGCAAGAAAGGGCAGAAAGGTTTGCCGAAGAAAAAGAGGTAAGCTTATCCTTTTGTTTCCTTTCATGCCTGAATACTACTGGAAATTAATGGGTGCATATAGGATTAATTGTGGCGGATTGGGTGACCTGTAGCTAGCCACAATCTCTCAGTCTAACCGACCTCACAGGGTTGTTGTGGGGTTAAAAGAAAGAGAGGGGCGAATCCTGTGTGCTGACCTGAGCTGCTTAGAAGGAAGGGTAGGATAAACCTGCAATATATGGACATGAAAGCAGGCTTCAGGTGCTCCAGAGACTTTACTCTGTGTGTGCTTGATGCTATACCATTATATCTGGATCCAGTGCTTTTTTCCTATTAAAAAAAATGTTTAGGAGTACTCTCATTTTCCTACTCATATTGAAATACTGCCCCTCAATGAGGTCAAACTTAGATTCACAAAATGTTTAGGGGTATGCGTCCCCCGTGTCCCCCTCCCCCCCAGAAAAAGCGCTGCCTGTATCTATATATATATTTAGCTTACTTTGCCAAACCTTTATTTGGCATTACAAATATAGGCCGTCATAAAACATCCATATATAAAAAAATAAAATATATACAAATAAACAGCCATGTAAAATATGTAATAACCCTGCCAAGGGTTATCTGGCATCTGTAAAGAAGGGAAACACAAATTCAGAGAAGCTGCCTTTTCTAGGTCAGTATATTTGTCCATCTAGCCCAGTGTTTCCTGCTCCAGGCATTCCCTCTCCGCCAGATGGTGCTGGACTACAACTCCCATCATCTCCCTGGCTATTGGCCATGCTGGCAGGGGCTGATGGAAATTGTAATCTAGCAGTGTTTGGGGGAGGCGGGTGGCGGTCATGCATTCCCCAGCCCTAGGCTACTCCAAGCAGCAGGGGCTTTCTAGGGCAGAGAGGACTGAATGTGGCCCTTAGGCCCCTATATGTGGCCTCCAGGACTCTTCCCAGACACACCCCTTCTCCTCAGGCCACGCCCCTCACCAGTTCTCCTTTGCACCCACCTTGCAGTGGCGTAGCGTGGGGGGTGCAGGGGGGGCCAGCCGCACCGGGCGCAACATCTGGGGGTTAGGGTTAGGGGGCGCAAATCCACGGGTTAGGGGGTGCAAATTACTTGCCTTGCCCCGGGTGCTGACAACCCACGCTACGCCACTGCCACCTTGAGTGGGTGCATGGCTACAGAATGTCTTTGAACTCTGATAAAGCTCCTTGATTGCCTGGATGGAGGGTAGAGAAGGAAGTGTGAGTGTGCATGACTATTACAGTACAAACGTAATTGTTATTTATTTCATAAAATTTATATACCAGGAAAAAACCTGATTGCTTTATATTTTTTGTAAAAGATAAAGCAATCAAATTATAACTTTTTTTTTATTTACAATTTTTATTGTAAAGCATACAGAAAGTTAAAACCGCAGTAGAACAGACTACAGCAAGTTAAAACTCATACAAGCTTTCTAAATGACTGGGTGGGATTGTCTAAATAAGAACGTCTTCAGCAGGCGCTGAAAAGAAGGTGCCAGCCAGATATCAATAGGCAGGGAGTTCCAAAGTGCCGGTGCTGCTGTACTAAACGAACACGTACTTATAGATGCAGTGTGGGCATGATGTAGCACTTGTAAAATACTAATATTCTTTGCTCTGCCCACTTTTGCCTCTGGCCACTGGAACATGTGCCTAGAAGAAAAAGTGGACCTCAAGTTGAAAAAGGTTTCCTCCTCCCTGCTTTATGGTCTCTGGCACAGTTATTTTACCTCACCAGCTACCTGATGATTATTATTTAATATGATTATGATTTATTATTATTATTATTATTATTATTATTATTATTATTAACTGGAGATGCCAGGGAACGGCCCTGAGATGCAGAAGCAAGAAGCGGGCAGATTGGAGAATTTCTTCCTTTTTTACAGCAAATCTTGTGTGTGTGTTTTCTCCAGGCACATAAAGCCTGCAGGGAACTGGTTCAATGTACAGCTCTGGCGAGAATTGTCTATGGAAATGGGCACTGGAAGTTGGCAGAGGCACTCGCTAATCTTGCTCATGGTTACCTTACCCTTCAAGGTAAAAAAGCTAGTATGTAATAATGATAAGATACACATGTCAGTTTGGGTAAGGAAAACACTAAGGATATACAAGATTTTCGGGCACAACCACTTTAGGATGTAATGAATGGAATACTAAACACGGGGAAATTGCCAGAATCTTGGAAAGAGGCATACATTACACTGATTCCAAAACAGGATACAAACTTATTTTTTGGATACAATGGAGGACTGAAAAATTAGGAGGATTTATAGTATGCAGTTGAAAAGGTTAGCTAAAGAACCCATGGCGGGGAGAAGGGAAGTCTAGAGATTTGGGAGTATCTTGTGTAATTTTTACTATTTGTGATTTTGAGCGTGAATGAATTTGTAAAATCAAATGAAAATAATTTTCCAAAAAAAAGAAAAGAAAGGGAATACACAAAGAATATGATTCCAACTGCTGGTCACTTACTGTAAGTATTTCATCACAAACTACAGAAGGATAGCTGTGTTGATCTGCTGCTGCAAAAGCAACAAGGAGTCTTTAACATGTCAAGAGACTAACAGACTTCTTGTGGCACAGTAAGAGCAGAAGAGTCTTCTGGATCAGGCCCATGGGACATCTAGTCTAGTGGCCAAGCAGATACCTATGGGAGTGACCTGAATGCAAAACCACTCTCCCCTCCTGTGGTGGTTCCCAGCAACTGGCATTTATTATTATTCTGCCCCTTCTGAGAGTGGAGACTAGTAACTTTGGATAGTCTTATCCTCAATGAATTTGCTTAATCCTCTTTTGAAGCCATTCAGGTTGGCAGTAGCACCTCCTATAGTTCAGCTACGCTCTGTGTGAAGAAGTTCTTTCTTTTGACGGTCACGAACCTTTTAACATTCATCTTCAATGGATGCATAGCTGTCAACTTACAGATTTGAAAATAAGGGACCAGCAGCCAAAATAAGGGACCTGCAGCCTCACCTGTTCCAGGCACTCCAGTCTTCCTGTCCTGCTGCAGTCTGGTCAAACTCATGCTGGTAGCTTCGAGAACACTGTCCAACCAACTTTGTAACCAGAGGTTCAACTGAATAGAATCTGAATCACATGCACCACAAGGCCTATGCAGCCTCAACTTAAGATGGCTCCCCGGCCTGGCTTTGCACTGCAAAGTTTGCAGCAGCACGTGAACCAAAATGGCGTCCAGCATTCAAAAACCCCCTCAGCTTGCATTAACTAGCCACACACAAGGCATGCAAGCTCCACCCCCCAGTCGTTCTTAGACTTCTTATTGGGTGAGCAACACAGCCAAGCAACACAGTTGGAGCCTCCCTCCTCCCTGGCCGGCAGGGAGGGAGGGAGGGAGAGGAGCTGCTTCCTTTGAAATTTAAGGGATATCATTTAAGGGACATTTAAGGGACATCCATCAATAAGGGACAGCAGCGGGACATGGCGCTGGAATAAGGGACTGTCCCTTCAAATAAGGGACACTTGACAGCTATGAATGGATGCCCATAAGTTTCAGGGTCATGATCAACGGAGAACAACTTTTCTCCATCCATAATAAATCAGGCAGTCTTTAAGGTGCCACAAGATGCTTTGCCACTTTCACAACAAAGTGCAAATTTGTAGCTAGAGGATCCAACCCTTCTGTCTGTCACCCTCCTCATCTACCACTTTGCTTTATCCATCCATTCATTCATTTCATAAAATTTGTACACCGCTGGATTGTAATAGTAACCTCAAAGCAGTTTACCAAAAAAAGAGGTTTTGAAGGAGCTGATACAGTGGTACCTCGGGTTACATACGCTTCAGGTTACATATGCTTCAGGTTACAGACTCCGCTAACCCAGAAATATTGCTTCAGGTTAAGAACTTTGCTTCAGGATGAGAACAGAAATCGTGCTCCGGCGGCGCGTCAGCAGCAGGAGGCCCCGTTAGCTAAAGTGGTGCTTCAGGTTAAGAACAGTTTCAGGTTAAGTACGGACCTCTGGAACGAATTAAGTACTTAACCCGAGGTACCACTGTACGTGTATTCATAGGACAATGAGATGATCTGCCTCCAAGGCGAGATGGGATCACAGTTTTAGTCATCATGGAGCACTCATTTTGCAGCTGCTGTTCTTTTCTTCAATTTTTATGACTGGTAGTTGATATCATTGATCATTTCTTGGTGGAGACAGAGTTGGAAATATGCATTTATTCATCATTCTCAATTTAGGGCTTGCATCAGCATATTTTCCTTTCTTCCCATGTATAAATTTTCAGTTGCAGCTGCATACACAATGGTACAAAAGCTTTCAGCAACCAGTTTCTTTTCTCAAGTCCATTAATTGTTTGTGGTGGGGATAGGGCAGCTGTGGCCATGCAGACATCGATAAACTATAACTCCCATGAACCTGAATGGAACTAAACAACATCTAGGTTCTCTGTCCCTGGTTTATGAAAACATTTTTGCTTGAACTGTTTGTATGTAGTGTAGATTAGTGAACATGTCATTCTGTGTGGTTAAAGTCATCTTTTATTTCCCCCAGGTCTTCCCATTCAGGCTATGCACCATGCAAATTCAGCCAAATGCACCATATTTGCAGGTGGAGGTGCCCCTCCAGCATCTTCAGAAGAAAAAGGAGAGTTTCTGAGCATGCTTGTGACGATCTACTATACTTTGGGTGCATCCTATTTGATGCAGAAAAAATATCCTTGCAATGCAGCGATCAGAACTGGGGGATTCAGAGGCAAAATACCGAAGCAACACTGTGAAGCTGTGAAGCTCACCAGAAGTGCATAGAAAAGTCAGCCTCTAGGTCTACCTTGCAAGGTTGCTGTGAGCCTAAAACACTGCTATGAGCACCTTATAAGAAGGGAGAGATACATATGAGGCATATTAAGTTTAGTAAATAAATAGGAATCTCTAAAAAAAAATCCCCTCCAAGCTTTGTGTTCATCCACTGTCACCGCAGTCCAACATGGCTCCAGGTTTTCATACACTCATTCCTTGGTGGAGTCAAGAGCCAGACATCTAAGAGGGTACAGCATATGTAGAGGCTGAGACTGGATCAGTGCAACTGGCAAGTGAGGTTGTATGCTGGGAGACCTGGTGTTGATTTAGAAATTGAGTAACTATGTGGCCAGCAAGCGGGGAATGAATGTGGCAGACATTCTTCTGACCAAGCACCATTGAAACCAACCAGAACTGTGCAAGAGCACATTGTTGCTCCTGTGCAGCTGCCATGTATTTGAATGGGGCTTGTGCCTCATGTCAGTTATTAGGAATGGGTGACACTTAGTTTTTCTACTTCAGGCACCACAGTGTCTGGTGCCAGCTCTCTGGACATCTAAAGAGAACGTTCTCAGGATGCTCACAAGAAGCACGTCACCCAGAGTTCATTGCCAGCATCCATGAAGTCAACCCAACTGGCACTTGTGATGAACATGTAGCTGTTCAGGGCCCTGCAATGTGTAGAGCTAGCTTAGTCTCTGGATTTCTTGAATAGTGCTGCCATTAGAGATCAGCAACTTCCTTGTCCCATGGTTCATCACTACCCAAGCAGAAAAACGCCCAACTCCAGGTAAGGTAACTGATGATGCTCCAGAATCCAGGGAGCCTCACCCACCTGTCATATTTGGCCCACATGCCTAGGACCTGATAAGAATCTGCCCTGCAGAGCCAAAAAGGTTCTCTGCTCCTGTTCCAGGCAATGTTGCAGCTTTTTGTCTGTGTTGATTTTAATGGATTTTTTTTTTTAAAAGTTGAGTAGCCTTGACCTTTCTACTGGCAAAGAATCCTACTGCAATCTGCAGAAAGCTGAAAGGATTATGGAAGAACTGAGAGGGATGGATTGGAGAGGGACCCAGACTCCTGAACTTAAAGTATCTGAGAGAGACCTTCTTGCAGCACTGGGCAGGTAAACGAAAGACCAGTGGCCTGATAAGGGTACAGCTATTTACTGAATGACTTAAATCACATATCTAGGCTGTAATCCTATACTTAGTTACAGGGTAGCAAGTTCTCTTGAACTCAGAGGACATGCGTTAGGCATTGCACTGCTAATGAATGTGTGTGTGCTGGGACTCCTCTTTACTCCCTAGATGAGAAAATTCCTGCCATCTAAAGGGCTTTGCAGTCTTATATGTGGCTTCCTGCAGTCAAGAATCCAGGTCCTCTGCCCAGGCCAAAATCCAGACTTTGCCCCCACATTTAGCAGCAAGTGTTTGGGGAGGGCAATGGCACCTCTTTTAGATGGTAACACACATGCATGTGCAAGTTGCACACTGCCGTCTGGTGGTCAGCACTATTATTGCAGCTACCTACTGGTGCTTTTCAGTGATAGTATTTGCCACTAGAAAACTTGTTTGCCGAGAGTAGAAAGTTGTATTCTGAGAGCAGAATTTGATTCATACCCTCAAGTACAAAGAAAGTCAGATATTGTTACATCTATTATACGATTGTTTTAAAATTGTGTTTTTGTTGTTTTTGTACCTCTTACTAATATTCCTTTTTAAAATTGCTTTTTTATGAAAAGCGGTACACAAGAACACTAAACAAACAAATATTTTATATTTTCACATTTTTAAAAATGTGGACTTTTAGATCTAATTACTCTGTTCTGCCTTCTAGGGCAAGTTTGCAGCAAAACAAGTTAGAGTTGGCAGCCAGGCATTTTGAGAAGGCAATTGATGCTGTAATTTCAGCTGAAGGAGAGATGTCTCCAGAACTGATAAACCTCTATCAGAAGATAGCCCAAACTGAGCAAGCAAAGGGAAACCATGAAAAATCCATGGGGTATTTGTTACAGGCAAGGAACCTCATAACAGTCCAGCATGTAAACTGAGTTTGTGGTTTTGACTTTACAGAGCTACCAGGTGACATGTGTATTAAACCTCAATCTTACACCTACTTCACTGGGAGTAAGCAAATTTATTAAGATTTATGTACTGCTTAATCCTCAAAACCTCTCAGTGGTTTACATAAAATATAAGGTGTACATTCATTTGAGAAGACAGGTAAAGGGTTGTGCTGTAAAAACTACTATTGCACCATCATATTCATATATTTATAATAATCCCCTCTGTTATTGGCAGCATCTGGGCTCAAGTTCTGCTTGAGGGTTTCCCACAAGCCCCTTGTTGGCCACTGTGAGAACAGGATGCTGGACTAAATGGCCCATTGGCCTGATCCAGCAGGCTCTTCTTATGGATGCAGGTTGCCCAAATGGGGCTCAGCACCCAAACACTTCCAATCAATTGCAGGTACCCTGCAATTACCTTATGGCAGTTCTCTGCAACCTGGTGCCCTCCAGGTGTATTGGACTGCAATTCCCACCATCCTTGACCATTGGCCATGCTTGCTGGGGCTGATGGGAGTTGGAGTCCAAATCATCTGGAAGGCACCAGGTTGAGGAAGACTGCCTTGAGATCATGGGACCACTTTAGCTGTCATGGTCGGCCATTGGAAACACTGTTTGCTTTCAAACGGAGTAATTCTGTGATTGCAATGTGGCAATAATTCTCCATTTTATTTACAGTTGTACCTCGGGTTAACTACTTAATTCATTCCGGAGGTCTGTTCTTAACCTGAAACCGTTCTTAACCTGAAGCCCCACTTTAGCTAATGGGGCCTCCTGCTGCCGCCGTGCCGCCGGAGCACGATTTCTGTTCTCATCCTGAAGCAAAGTTCTTAACCCGAGGTACTATATCTGGGTTTGCGGAGTCTGTAACCCAAAGCGTATGTAACCTGAAGCGTATACAACCCGAGGTACCACTGTATTCTTGGTTTATCACCCACAGTAAACAGCAACTGAGTGCTTGCATGTCCGAACGTTAAATGAGCGAATACTGAATGAAAGCCTGAACGAATGTTGTACAAAGAAATGCTACAGTGATGCTTTCATTTTCATGCATGTGCTGGTCCTTACATTTCCAAGCACTAGAAAAGGTTTGCTTTGGGGGAGAGGGATAAGCTGCTGACAACACTGGATTTGAAGACATGGCTACCAGGGCCATACTCTATTTTTATTTATTTATTACTATATTTATATCCCACCTTTCCTCTAAGGCATACATGATTCTCCCTCGCTCCATGTTATCCTCTCAAAAATCTTTCTTGGAAGGACAGATTGAAAGACAGTGACAACCCCAAGTGAGCTTCATGGCTAGGGCTGCCATACTCCCCAAAGTGAAATTCCGGACAAAGTTGTTAAAAACTGAAGGACCCTTCCTTTGTTTTTTCCTTATCTGATACTAGGAGCATCAGAGATGCTGCAAAGTGTCAAAACGACAGCAGTAAAAGGATCGTTTATTTTGTCATGACAAAAATGGTACAGACAAGTGTTTGCCTGATGTCTGCCCCCCCTCTCTGGGCATGCCAGCCTTTTATACCCTGTAGAATGGACAGTCATCTGATTTCCGAGAAAACACGTGTTTTACAAGAAATGCCGTAAAAATTAGGTTTCGTTTTTCCATATTTGGATCAACTTCCTTATTTCACGTATTTCCAGCCCCTCATTCCTCCTGTTTCAGCCTCCCTCCCTTTGGGGTTACAATAGCACCCATGCAACCTTGCTCTTATCTCTACGCGCCTAAGCCAGACATTCCCGAGAGAGGCCTATTTTCACTGTAACATCTAAGCAAGAAGAAAAAGCCTTGTTCTTCTGGCTGGTGTAAAAACCTCCCCCCCCCCCCCTTAAAGGAAGGGGTTTTTGGGATAACATATGAGAGAGGAGAAAATGCCTCAAAGAGTTTTTGGGATCATATACAGAACAATATTTTAATGGCCCTTCAAAACAAACAAACCACCCTACTTACCATACATACAGGATTTCCTGGATATTTTGCTGATTCAGAGAAAATCTGCCTGGACACTATTTTCAAGCCTGTTTCCCGGCTGTGTCCAGGAAAATCGGAATGTATGGCAGCCCTGTTCATGGCTTAGTGGAGATTTGAATCCTGGTCTTCCAGATCCTAGCCAAACATTCTAACCACTATACCACACTGCCTCTAGAGTACTAGAGTCATAATTAGACAGCTTTGCATGCTGGGCAATGCAGGAGTGGTTTTCCAGGGGTTTTTTGTTGGTTTCCAGTAAACAGCTTGCCTCTTATGTGGGGCTGCATTCACAGGAGTTGTTCATGCTCTCCATCCCTAGCTATGCTGTTGGGAGAGATACAGAGCATGGGTTAGATCCGGGACCCTCAGTTTAGGATTGTGAGTAGGACTATAGGCTCTTAGAGGATTTGGCTGCCCAGATCTTTCAGGGCATAAATGAAATTGTTCATTCAGAGCTCCAGATAGCACAGCTGCTATGATGTCAACACACCGTGTCCATCTCTTCCTGGCAGGCCCACTCCATGTCACTAGCTCTCTACAAGAAATCCAGTGCCGAAGTTGCCTCAACAGCATGGTTACTGGGGAAGGCTTATGCTGCAACTGGAGAAGTAAAGCATGCAGGTAAGGCACTGGGATGGATATGTAAGTTCTTTCCTTTGCAATGCATGTTGTATATCACTTTATGCCATTTCAACTTCCACGTTGCCAAGGAATCCTGGGAACTGTAGCTCAGTGAGATGCCAAGAATTCTGCTTCTGAATGTGCCTTCCAGCAATTCATAAAACAGGATTTGTAACAAGTAATGACAGGTGGTTATTGCTTTTAGGCTCTTGTTTGTGGGCTTTCCAGAGGTTGTCACAGTTGAAAGCAGGATGCTGTATCAGTCGGACCCTTGCATCGGACCCAGCAGGGTTGATCTTATGTTCTTATCTATGATGTTCCTTTTCCAACCCCACTGCCATCAAGCTGTCTTGTACTAGAGACCAATTCATCACCCAGTCCACAGCTGCCTTTTCTAGCTAGAGCACAGATGGTTTGGACTCTGGACAATGATTTTTCAGCCTCAGCTGAGAATGCATTTTTCTTCACTTACTTCACCCGTGTCCTAAACCAGCTCTTCTGCCTTTAGGGACCCTCTTCTTCACTCTACTGAGTGGGACCCTGGACGTTGGACCTTCCTGCCTCCCTCTTTCCCAAATCTCCTATTTGGATTAATTTAACTAGGGTTGACAAGAATTTAATCCAGCTCCTTCAACCCACAAAGCATATTCTCTACCACTGAGAGTTGGAACTCCTCTTATGCTTATAAGCTGTTTTACGGCTCATGCTGAAAGGATGTAGCTAGAATTTAGTTTGCTGCTGCTTAGGAGATAAGAAATAACCCAACATATAGCCCACAAGTTCTTATAATAGCTTGAAACAGCTCCCTGAGCTGGTTCTTAAATGGTTAGTCCTTCAGGATGAATGAACCGAGATGGAACAAATCATACACTTATTCATTTAAAAGGTGCATTTCACTTGATGGGAACATGTACTAAGAACCAGAGAGACTCCATTTTGTCTCTAATAGGCATTAGCTCAAATCAAGACAGGCATAACGTTAGCCTTCTCTGCAACTTTTCCACCTCAAAATAACACTACAATGAATAGGTGGGAAACTGGCAAAAAGCTGCTAACATCCTGACACCCCATCTTGTACAAATTTAGATCCTGCCCTTTGCACCTCTCCCAGTTTCCCCAAAGTGTACTGACCAACAAACTAAGCTAAAACTGACAAGAAGTCCCGTCATCCCTTAACCTGTTTACTAAGAAGCTGTAACTGCTGGCTTTGCAAGATGAGAGACCAAAAAAAATAGTAGATTGCCACAGGGACTGCTTACACTAAATACTGATTGCCAATAGAATCACTGTATTAATTCATGTAATTAAACTGTATAAAATGTTGGAGCACGCTGTGAAAAGACATGCAGGATTTGGAACTTGATTCTCCTGTACCTTCTTACTGCAGTCTGAATAAATCCTCTTTTACCTCCCTGGTGTGATTATTGACTCATCACCCCAGCACTGGACTTTTGTCCGTAACATCATCATCATTTATTATTTGTACCCCGCCCATCTGGCTGGGTTTCCCCAGCCACTCTGGGTGGCTTCCAACAAAGATTAAAAATACATTAAAATGTCACACATTAAAACATACTATACTGCTCATTTTTCTAGAGGCTGCTGAAATATACTTCCGTGAGAGTCTTGAGGCCTACAAGTCAGCACTGGGGACGAACCATTCTCGGACAATCAGTGCCCTGGAAGACTTCAGTAAATGGCTTGGGCGAGTAGGGAAAAGAAAGGTAACAGCAGTTCCAGTGGGACACAGGTGTAAGCCTTTCAGCTGAAAAAGAGCACATAAGGGTGGGTGTGTTTAGCTGATACCATTACCAGCTTGCAGGGGAGTGTGGATTGCCTAGACCAGGGATGGGAAACCTGTGTCCCTCCAGATATTGTTCAGCCTGAAACTCCCATCATCCCTAGTGCTATCAGCTGTTCTAGCGGGGGCTGATGGGAGTTGAAGTCCAGCGATCTCCGGAGTGACACCATTTCTCTCTCTAGGCACAGGCGGAGGAAGGGGGTGCGGGGGGTGCAGTCCGCCCCGGGTGTCATCCTTGAAGGGGGTGACACCGCTGCCCCGCCCCCTGGGATGCTTGCCCCGCCCCTGCAGGCGGCTAGCCCCACCCCTGGGTGCACAACATGTGCACCACTCCGGGTGCTGGAGCAGCTAGCTCCACCTGTGTCTCTAGGGTGGCCACTTACGCATTGCTAGAAAAGAGGAAACACACCAACAATAAAAGAGGACATTGATTTACATAAAAATAGCATGTTTATTTATTTCATAAAATTTATACACCACTTGGTTGTAAAAAGCCTCAAAGCCCTTTACAAAAAGATGGTAATTTATAGGTGCAAATTTAGAAATAACTGCTATAAATCAATTAGAAGAAGAACACTACTTTTCACCATAATGGAGAAGACTGTGAACAGGGGACTTGCTTACGCATCTAGGTATCTGCAAACTCAATACCCCTCTGCTCTCCCTTCTTAATGTTTAAACTAGACAGCCTTTCCAATAGAGTCCTGTCCACAGCCACCCTATCCTCATCCCTGCCTGCTACTTTCCTGGTGCCAAGCAGGGACAGCATGGGATTTTCTGATGCCTGAAGTGAATTGAAATGTTGCGCTGCTGCCTTTTTGGCTGATAAACTTATTTTGGATGTCTACGGGGTGGCAAGATACATTCCACAGACATCTCTCTCTTTTCGGGGGGTGTGGTGTGAGAGAGAGAGCGCGAAAGAGCGATAGACAGAAACAACCCAGAGGAGAATGTAAGGCAGAAAATACTGGCCAAAGTTACCTAGTTGTTTCCTATTGCCATGACAGCTTGGTCTCATGTATAAATCTGATTTTAAGTCATTCAGCACTATGACAGTATAAGGTCCTCGTGTCTTTATAGATCAGTCCATCTTATAATAAAACCAAAGCTTGCCTCATAAGAAAATAGAACCAACACTGCAATCCTATACTTGTTTACTCAGTCACATTGAGTTCAATGGTGGTAACTGGGTATAGGACTGCAGCCTTGCTGAATTTCTATTGCTGAGATCCAGCAGTAAATCAACAGTGCTGAATTTCCAGATCATTAAGTTGGTTCAGAAATGGGTGTTATTTCATTAAGGGAATGGAAACAGTTTCTCCTTAACAGTGTGTGTGTGTGTGTGTGTGTGTGTGTGTACACACCCCTAACACAACACGGAACCCCCCAGAGATAACTGATATATTCATGTTATATAGCAATTAAGACATTGCAATGGAATCTTTTTCTTATTCAGCAAGCCTACAACTTACTCAAAGAGTCATTTATATCTCAGCCTGATCCCTGCAGTGATTTTAATGAACAAGCAATTGAAAGATTGTATATTATGGGCTGCATCTGCCTAGCAGAGATGAAGATAAAGGAGGCTTTTCAGCTGCTCAGTAAGGTAATCAATTACCATGTTTTTGTGCAATCACACTGCAAGTTTAAATGAAGGCAACTCTTTTTCTATAAAAAAGGGTGAAAATTCCCTATAGAAGGTAGATACTATATTTTCAAGGGCTAGGTCCCAAACAATTAAAATGATCTCCTAAGTAAGCCTCCCAGAATTGGGTACTTTCTAGCTGTTGTTGGACTACAACTCCTATCACCCATGACCATTGGCCAGTTCTGGCTTAGATTTTTAGACTCCAATGACATTTGGAAGCCCCAAGTTGGGGAGGCTGTCCATAAACCCTTACATAGGAACCAGCTCCCTGAGAGATTCCATCACTACCCTGATCACCACAGATTCTGGGCTGGGCAATGGAATTCAACGGAACTGATACACTGCCCAGTTACTGAACAGCTGCTAAAGAGCTATGAATATTTTTGAGGGAGAGGGGAAATCTGTTGTAAAGCAGGTATGGGGAACCTGTGACCCTCGAGATATAGTTGGGCTCCAACTCCCATCAGACCCAGCCAGCACAGCCAATGGTCAAAGATGGTGGGAGTTACAGTTCAGCTACAGCTGGAGCACCACAGGTTCCCCATTCATGTTGTAAAATTCCAGGGTCCAAGCCTGCACCTAGGTTCTAATGTTCAACTCAGCCCATGAGGCACCACCACACCTTGTCCGAAAGAGGAAGCTACAGGAGGACCAACTGTGTTAGTAAGATAGCCTCTTAACCACAGTTAGGTCAGAGCAGGTGCATTTTCCAGATTGTTTTACTTTAACCTACGCTAGGAAACAATGCTGTCCGCTGTACATACTGGGATGAACAGAATAACGAAAAGGAAATAATGGCCTCTTTCCCTTTACATCCATGTAGTGTGAGCAGATCCAGGTTGCTATCTATGGCTCCCGTCACAGGAAATCGAAAAAGATACGAGAGCTCCTGGACATGCTGAAGATGTAAGTTTCATCAGGAGTTTAGGCTGTACTATGGGGGGTGCAGGAAAAATCACAAACAACAGAATGTCTAGGCTTCAAATCTGGGTTTCAGAGTGTGACTCTGCCTACCTTTGCCTCTTCAAAGTTGAGAAGATGGCTGGCCACTCATCAGAGAACAGAACCACACTTGCCACAGAGGGTGGATTTGTCCAAGCCTCTGTTTAAATATGCTCCAAGAGCAGCCTTTATATTATAAACATATTTAAATCCTATTATTAAAAACAATTAAAAACCATAACAACAAATATAAAGTAAATAAATGAGAGCTTAACAGCACGTGTTTAGTAGCACAATTGTCCTATGAAGAAGTATTTTATTTTCTTCAGCTTAGCCTGGACAGCTCAGAATTTGCAAGACAGCAATTGTGTTTTGCCAAATGAAAGTTCCCCCCCCCTCAATTGTGTCTTGCCAAATGAAAGGTTTTTTCCCTCAACTAAAAATGATTTTTACATTAGGTATGAAAAACTGTTGGGAGAAGGTAAAGCTTCTCCTCCTTTTCTGCAGGGTTCCTGCTGTACATGAAGGGACCAACATGAAACAGAAGAGAGAGACACTGCTACGCTGCTCAATCCCTGATCTCTAGACAAACGGCAAGACTAGTCACTGGAAACAAGGAAATATATCCCTAATGCACCATGAGAAAAGCAAGGCTGCAACAATCAGGTTATTAGCTAATTATGTCATAGCCTGTAGCCCAATCGTGCATATTAATTGTACATGGAAAGATACCTTGCCCTGGTGCTGCTCTTAGATGGAATGGGCATTCAGAGAGCCCTAGCACAAGAAAATGATCCAGGTCCTCCAAGCATAGTCCTATATGTGCGTTTTTTGATGTTCCTTCTTCCTGCCCACAACAGTGAAGGAGTACAGGGGGGATATAAGAAGGACAGTTTTGCAGATTTCTGGGGACACCGTTTCCCCGACATCAAGTAAGGTTGTGACTAGGAACCCAATGAATTAATGTGTAACATGTGAATAGGAGGGAAATCAAATGTATAGTCATATACTAGATCCAGAAATATTGCCTATTGACAGAAATATTGTTAAGCATGCCTCCTTGTTTCTAGGTCACATCCAATGTAAGCCCCAGCCAGCATGTTCAATGGTCAGGGATAATGGGAGCTGTAATCCAGCAAAATCTGAAAGGCCACAGGTTGGGGGAAGCAGCTGTGCACCTCCCAGAAATTGCCAGCTTCTGATCCCCTGCCCAACTTCCACAGGGCACATAAAATATACTTAGGGTAACGATTAGGAAAAGTTGCATTCCTCTGTGATAAGTACTGTTTCCAATGAATGGTCGTCAGAATGGTCGTTCTATATTTCTTGCCAAAAAAGCTTCACCATACACCATACACAATGACTCTTTCCAAACATGTCAAGAGGCCAAATTATCCATCGCAAAAGATCTTGCCTCTAAAACAGAGGTAAGTAAATCCCACAACTGGTTGTCCAAGCTTTCATTCATTGTTGTACAGCTGAGCATCCAATATGGCTTTTAATAAAGGGGGAACAAAATAACAGTTTGTACTTCACAGCTAAATCTCTGCTTCAGTTATGTCCTCATCAGGGCAACAGTAAAACTCTACGAAGCAGATCTGTCCATCTTCGTTCCTGATCATGTATTGCAGTGAGAGAAAGCCTCTGTTATCTGTTCGAATAGACACCTTGCAGGATAAAACTAGTGCTTTAGTTGATGGCTTCAGTAATGCAATCTTATATCTGTAAAGAAATAGGAGGAAGACAAGATGAAGTATGAAGACAAAATAGTTGCTAATAGGTTGCTACCAATTATAAGACACAAACTTATTGACAAAGATGAACTTACAGAAACAGCAATGTTTAAAAATGCTTGAAGTTTGATAATTTAATGTTAAATCAACAAAGGCAAACCTTTTGAGTAAGTTCTCTAAAATACTTAAGAGCACATAAAAAAATATCTTAATCAAAATAATGATGTTAAGACAAACTGTCCCAGAGGAAACATGGTCTGTGTAGATCTACTGATAATCCTATCCAGGTTTGTTAAAGATGCATTTTTATTGGTGGATATAGAACCGGGAATACGCTAAAAGCAGCATTGTGTGGTTACTTGTTATAATTGGGGAGCAGGGTAGAATTCACTCACTTCCTGGATGATGGGATAATAAGGTTATGGGAACTGGCCCACGTGGTTACAGGTGACTAATATTATAATAGTGAGCAAGGCAAAGGAACTAGAGAACTTATTTGTTGAAAATAATGAGCAATTTGGAAATAATTTCACTCAAATGCAATGTTTATGCATTTCCTTCTTTTGTGTGCATGTGTATTAGTATTGTAAGTAGATTTATTGCATTAGCCGAGTGGCCATAGCATGATATACATTAAAATAACAACATAAAATGGGGGTGGGGAGGTAGAGGTAGACATCGTCCTGGGCGAATACTTAGAGAGAGTGGAAAAAAAAACAAAAAAAAAAAAACAGAAGCTGCTGAGGCTGGAGGAGGACCGTTGAAGGGTCCTTCAGCTCCTCAGATTAGTCCTAACTCGATTGTCCTTGTACAATAAGGCTACTTGGAACTTCGTTCGGTTGTGCGGCGTATCGACTGCATCTGTGGTGTTAAGGAAGAAGTTAGTGCCGCTTTCCTCTTCATCACACTAAGCAGGAAGTTAGCTGTCATCTCAGTAATCCAACAATCAGAGTCCTGCAAAAAGAGGGACACTATCCAAGGCTGGATTGGGAGATGGAACTTATTCACGAGGGGAGTTAAAAACCGAGATCTTTCATCTGTCCAGTTGGGACAGAAGAGCATTACATGTTCCATAGTCTCCAGGGCCGTGTCATTACAGGAGCATGTTCTGTTTGCGATGGGAACTCTGGAATAACGACCCGACAGAACTGCTGTAGGAAAACAGTTGAGACGGGCACAGGTAAAAGCCCTTCGCTTAGTCTCCGAAGAAATTGTGAAGCAGTATAGAGGGATCCCTTCAGGGGTGGAATAGCTAGGGCTAGGCCTGAACACGGTCCTCTTGCACAAGAAGCTGTGTTGGAGAAGTCAAGTTGCTGTAGTTTCTTTTAATTAGGGGTAGGGCCACCGGGCTGATACACTCTAAGTTAAGAACAGTTTTACAATTCAAATTGAGAAGAGAGCGGAGTTTGAGGTTAATTGTAGTTCTCCAAGGGAATTATGAATATCTCTTAGGATCAGATTGGAAAAGCCACCTCTAATTCGAGCATCCGATGCTAATAGGTGGAGGGTGTAGGAAATGGCTCGGCTCCATGCTCGTCTAGCAATTGAAGGCTGGGCGAACTCGAGTCGTAGGGCTGCACCTGAGACACATCTCGGGACGCCGGAAAGAGATCTTAGAAACATATGAAGTGGACGATCCAGGTTACCTGATATTGCTGTAGTCCATACTTCACATCCATATAATAATTTAGGGACGACTTTGGCATTAAATATTTGAATTGCTGCTGGAAGGTGTTTGCCGCCCTTCTGGTGGTAAAATCGGACAATGGCGTTAGAGGTCGTGGTTGCAGCGAGAAAGGCAGATTGTAGATGGGTGGTCCAGGAGAGATTATAGGTGAATATTAATCCTAGATATTTAAAGGCTTTTACCTTTTCTAAGTAGCCACCTGTGATCTTAAGCGGCTCCAACTTGAGTTTGCGGGAACGAGTGAAGTGGAGGACTTTCGATTTTTATAATTAATATTAAGAGCTTCCGCCTTACAATAGGCGATAAATGCGTTAACTGCATTTGCTAGATCCGCAGCTGTTCTGGATAAGATGACGGCATCATCAGCATAGAAAAGGGAAGCAACGGGTGGCCTGCTAAGTGAGGAGGATACTTAGATGCTAGCTTCAAAGTGGAAATTGCATCATGAAGATAGAGATTAAACAGTAAAGGGGCCAAGAGGCAACCTTGTCGGACGCCCTTGGCCGTTGGAAATGGAGTAGTGGGGGAGCCGTTTGGACTAGTTCGGACGCGAGCTGTGGTGTTTGAATAAAGGGAGATAATTAGGGAGAGAAGGTGCGGATCAATTCCCAGATGGGCAAGTTTGGACCATAATCTCTGCCTAGGAATGGAATCAAAGGCGGCCTCCAGGTCCATGAAAGCGGCAAATAGATGGCCTTGCCTTGGAGCAGTGTATTTACTGGCAAGGTGAAAGAGAGTTAGACAATGGTCCATGGTTGACGCTGACTTTCGGAAACCAATCTGTTCTGGCGGTAGAATGTTCCTCTCCTGGACCCATGAGAGAAGTTCCTCCAGTAAAACAGCGGCAAATATTTTCCCGGGATGGATAATAAGCTGATGGGGCGATAGTTCCTAGGGATGTTTGGCTGGCCGCCTTTGAAGATCGGAACTATTATAGCTTCTCTCCAGGAGTCGGGGATGTCTAGGGCGGAGGAGATAGCGGTGAATACAGGAGTCAGGTGTTCGCTCCACCAAAGAGGATCAGTCAGGAAAAGGTCCAACGGGACCATGTCTGGGCCGGGGGCCTTACTCCTTTGCATTGACATTATGATGTTGAAAATGCGAGTTGAAGTATTAGTATATATTTTTTAGTTTATCTGTATATCTAAGATCAATTCTATTATAATCAATAAAAGTGTATTTGCCCCTCACACTATACCATCAACAGATTTGCTGACCTAGTTCCCTGAGTTGGGGTTAAATCCCTAATGACTGAGTACAATCAGCATGGTCAGAGGGCACTGCCAATTATCTATTGACTTGAGATGTTTTCCCATGAGTGATCTGTCTTCAAGCTACAGTACAGTGGTATCTTGGTTTAAGAACAGTCCTGTTTACGAACAATTCGGTTTACGAACTCCACAATACCGGAAGTAGTGTCCCAGTTTGCGAACTTTACCTCGGTTTAAGAACGGAATCCGAACGGAAAGGCACCGGCGGCGGGAGCCTCATTAGGGAAAGCACGCCTTGGTTTAAGAACGGACTTCTGGAACGGATTAAGTTCGTAAACCGAGGTACCATTGTATAACCTTTCTGGCAGAGTACATGCAGCTCAGTTAATGCAAATAACCAACCATCATGTGATTGGTATTTGAACTTGAGTGGTAAAAACAGGACCAGTCACACCAAATGGTTATTGTATGGGCTACTCCAGCTCACCTATTTGTCTGGCTTTGGTTACAGTGAAAGGCTTCAATTAAGTCTGAATCTTTAGGATAGTCTAGATGTGTGCTTCCAGCATTCCCAAAAGTGGAGAGTCTGAAAGAGAAAACGAGAAAAATGCATTAGCTACCCTCAAACTCACAGTTAAGTTTGTGATAGATGTTAGGCAAGAACACAGGTCTCCCAAATCAAAGTCAAATTCAAATCCCAAGACCATCCCTAGCTCTCTCATAAGACACGTGTCTTGTACCATGAAACTGTCAATCAATTTGGCCAGTACTGTCCAGTACTGTTGCTTTTTAAATTCCGAGGAATAAATCTTCCTCCCCCCTGCTACTCTGAGATCCTTTTCAGATGCCAGGCAATGTGAATGCATATGTGCTTAACCACTGAGCTAAGGCTCTGCCCTAAAGAGGGATATATTTATGCCAGAAACTTGTAGTGCATTTGAAATCACAGTCACAATACATGTAGTCATTGACTATCAAACTAGGATAGTTATTCCTAGTACCTCAAATTAGACTTTTCTAGAGATACAGTAATCTGCAATACTTCGCTGGACATATCTAGTTCGGAAAATGCCTCTCGGAGCCCCTCTGACTGCAGGATGATCTTATTCACAACATTTGTGCTGCAGAAATCAAAATCGAGGATCTCTTCTGGTTCCTGAGTGTTGATTTTGCATACAGTCACCACACCACCGTCCTCCAGGAAAAGCGTCAAAGGGTAACCATAACCCCGATAGCACATCCGGAGGGCTGTCTGAGTGCCTGCGATGAGGAAAGAAAGGTGTCTTTATTACAGTTATTCAATTTATTACTTGTCCATCTTGTCTACATAACCCATTAAAAGACACACACAGGCAATACCTGACAAAGAACTTGTCCCAAATATGGTCAAGCAGTCTAGAAGGACAGCTAGATTGATTCTGAACATCACAGATTCTTCTTGTACTGTAAATTCTTGGAAAACCCCTGCCTGTAAATTAGAAAGACAGGAAACTGAAGACAAAAAGATGAAACTGTTACAAAATACAACCCCTACCACTGAATTGAACTAAGCCTTGGCAAACTGGCAACATGATGTGTCCTTTTAATTCAATTCAGTGTGGCAAGGCAAAAATTAAAGGGAATAGAACTTTATATTATAAGAGTAGTAAGAAGCAAGCAGGAGATGCTAACTTGTAGAAGACATACATTGCCAGATTGGGACAACGGCATGCTTTCAAATATTCTCTCACACACAGAGAAATGTCTCTGAGAAATGACAGCAAGATTCTTTTAGTCTTTCATAATACTTCTTTCTCCTTTTGAAGTCTCATAAGTTATCTAACATGTTTATTTACTTCTTCCAGCTAAATTAAAGCCTATTAGTACAATAAAAGGAAAGAAACTGTTCCCATCTAACCTGAATAAAAGCATTGGCTTGCAGAGACTTGGCATTTTCCACTGTGACCTTGAGTCCATTTGCAGTTGCAAAGCAGGTAGCGTGATCTTTAAAATGAACAGCTTTCAGGATGGTGGAGAGGTTTCTGACATTGTCAAGACTTGCAACCAGCACATTCTGCTCTTCACCTTGGGTTTCCCCTTGGGTTGAAAGGGGCATGGCTGGGATCTGTCACCCACCCAATGCCTCCTCCTTCAAGGGCAGAAACAAGAACAAATCCCAAAGGAGACCTGCAGAAGGCCAAATAACATTTTGAGTAAATTGAAAATGCTTCTAATGAATGCAACTTACCATATTTTTCATCCTATAGGGCGCACCGGCCCATAGGACGCACCTCGTTTTTTTGGGGGGAAATGAATAAAAAAAATTATTCCCCCCCCCAGCCGCGGCTGCAGCCCCAAGCCTTGCGCACACCTGCCCGAAGCACGGGGCGCCCTCTGGAGGGCGCCCCATGCTTCGGGCTGAAGGCTGCCGCCCGCAAGCCTTGTGAGCCCGTGGGACCTCCCGCCGGGCTTGCAAGGCTTGCGGATAGCTTCCTGAAGCCTGGAGAGCTAGAGGCATTGGTGTGCACCAACCCCTCTCACTCTCCAGGCTTCAGCGAAAGCCTGCATTCGCCCCATAGGACGCACACACATTTCCCCTTCATTTTTGGAGGGGAAAAAGTGCGTCCTATGGGGCGAAAAATACGGTAAATATCATTAAGTAACAACTGCATTAATATACGTGGGTAGGTTCTCTGTGCTGCACCAGAGAACACAACTGAATAATCTCCTAGTTTGACATTTGTGCTTGACAAGATCCAATTTTAGCTAAAAGTAACATATTTAAATCCAGACCTATTATGCCTCTGGCTGCAGTACAAGCGGAGGAACTAAACCACATCTTATCATGATACTCTGCCTGACATTATTCTCTATCTTACTAAAGTTGTCTGTCTACCTGTGATAAGATATTCAGCTGCTACTTTTTGAATAAACATTCACAAAATATTTATTGGTAATATATAGATAGATAAACTGAGGATCTCTACAATTTCATATCATGCAGATAAAAACATAGGTTGAGAAACCAGAAATAGGAGCTGAGGGAAGTCGGGGGGAGGGAATGGGAGGGTTGGCATATATTCACGGGGGGAGGGGTGGGGGAAAATGGGGGGGGGACAATGTGGATGATGTATTTTTGTTAAAATTATGGTGTTGAAATTCCTAATAAAAATATTATTTTTTAAAAAAGATATTCAGCTGCTACAAAACCATTAATGCCCTTTAGACATCCTCAGGGTCTTCCCCATCCTCCCACCCAGCAAGCACAAAGATCCCCTTCCTTACCTCCCCGCAACGTCACACGCACTTCAGAGCAACACAGCAGGCAGACACCCAACCGGTGCAATTTCTCGACGCGACAGGCAGAAACCCAACAGGTGCAGACTGCACTTGCACGTCCAGCACAGCAACAACCGCGCCGCTAAACATACCTAACGAGGCGTAACCCTACCTGTCCCGCCTCAAGAGACCGGCCAATCGGCTACAGCTACGTAAGGTCCGACTGCTTTACGACACGTCGTGACCACAGCTTCCGTTCTCAACTCGATCAATCGCTGGCAAGCGAAGTGTTAGTTGGATGCGACGATCGGTGTGAACGCCCACTAAAAAAAAAATCGGAACTCGCCATCAGCCATGGGCACAATTCGGGGGATCACTCTGTTTACTGATATCTCTATGGAGAGAACCTTCCATCCTTTGCACCGTTGCAGTATAGAGATTGGAAACTGCAGAGTAGCACGCTTCATTATAGGGATATGACACTTCCCGACTCATTTAATCTTTTGTAAACAAAGCGTAACAGCAAAAGAAAGGAGTTTGTCTTGTTTCGTGCCTATTGGTATCAAGCAGCCGCCTTCACTGTACAGTGGTACCTCGGGTTAAGAACTTAATTCGTTCTGTTCTTAACCTGAAACTGTTCTTAACCTCAGGTAGCGCTTTAGCTAATGGGGCCTCCTGCTGCCGCTGCGCGATTCTGTTCTCATCCTGAAGCAAAGTTCTTAACCCGAGGTACTATTTCTGGGTTAGCAGAGTCTGTAACCTGAAGCGTCTGTAACCCGAGGTACCACTGTACTTGCTGATTAGAGCGTGGTGCTGATAACGGCAAGGCTGCGAGTTTGATCCTGCATTGCAGGAGGTCGGACTTGGAGGACCCTCGGGATCCCTTCCAGTTCTACAGTTGTTTGAGTCTATTATTCCTGTTCAGACAAGCCTGCCCCAGATGCTTAGAAAACAGGTTATTTTAAGCTTTTAGTTATTTTAACTTCTGTGCGTTTTTAAACTAGGGCTGAGAATTTCCCCTCGGTTTTTACTGCTCTATCTTTTGTGTGTGTGTGTGTGTGTGTGTGTGTGTGTTTTTAAACAATCCAACGGTGTATAAATTCTACGAAACGAAATAATTAAAAAAACCCCTCTCAACCCGGAAGTATGTGCACGTGTATGTTTCAAGCGGAGGAGGCTCTCCTACTTCCGCTTCTCGGGAAATCCTAGAGAGGCTAAGAGTGGGGAAAGCCGTATTCCGGTTGGCGCGACTTCCGGCGGCGCTTTGAGCGTGCGAAGATGGCTGCAGCCAAGAGGCAGCGTGGAGCTGGCAAGGGAGCCCCGGCGGAGCCGAGGAGGAAACGCGCCAAGAGAGCTCCGGGGGCAGAGGGCGAGGGCCAAGGCCCGTCCGCTGAGGCCACCCCGGGGCCGGATGAGCACGTCGTCCCGGCCCCGGTCTCGCAGGTGAGGAGAGTACGAGGGGGACCTGGACTTGGCCGCGCGGGGTGTGTGGCGGCTGTGCTCCTCGTGGAACAAAGGTGCCCCTGAGCATATAACAACAATAATAATAATAATAATAATAATAATAATAATAATTTGTTATTTATACCCCGCCCATCTGGCTGGGTTTCCCCAGCCACTCTGGGCGGCTTCCAACAAAACACTAAAATACCATAACCTATTAAACATTAAAAACTTCCCTAAACAGGGCTGCCTTCGGATGTCTTCTAAAAGTTTGGTAGTAATTTTTCTCTTTGACATCTGGTGGGAGAGCATTCCACAGGGCGGGTGCCACCACCGAGAAGGCCCTCTGTCTGGTTCCCTGTAACTTGGCTTCTCGTAGCGAGGGAACCGCCAGAAAGCCCTTGGTGCTGGACCTCAGCATCCGGGCAGAACGATGGGGGTGGAGACGCTCCTTCAGGTATACTGGACTGAGGCTGTTTAGGGCTTTAAAGGTCAGCACCAACACTTTGAATTGTGCTTGGAAACATACTGGGAGCCAGTGTAGGTCTTTCAAGACTGGTGTTATGTGGTCTCGGCAGCCGCTCCCAGTCACCAGTCTGGCTGCCGCATTCTGGATTAGTTGTAGTTTCCAGGTCACCTTCAAAGGTAGCCCCACATAGAGCGCATTGCAGTAGTCCAAGCGAGAGAAAACCAGAGCATGCACCACTCTGGCGAGACAGTCCGCGGGCAGGTAGGGTCTCAGCCTGCGTACCAGATGGAGCTGATAAACAGCTGCCCTGGACACAGAATTGACCTGTGCCTTCATGGACAGCTGTGAGTCCAGAATGACTTCAGGGGCACAGTTACCTCATTCAGGACCAGGGGGTCCCCCACACTCGCCCGCCTCCTGTCCCCCAAAAACAGTACTTCTGTCTTGTCAGGATTCAACCTCAATCTGTTAGCCGCCATCCATCCTCCTCCTGCTGCTTCTTAGATAACAGGGGTCTTTTTCCAGCGCAGCCCTGGGCATGTTTGCTCGTCAGTGAGTTCCATTGAGTTCCATGGGGCTTCGTTTCTGGACTGCTGCCTTCATCAATTTACCAACGAGATCTCCTTACACACACTTCGAGTGGTGGGACCGGGCGACATAATAATGTCACCTTGCAAATGGGGTCTTAAGTTCTCCGGTTCTTCAAGGACTCGGTTGTTCGGTACAGCGGCGCCTGCCCTTCGGAACTCCCCGCATATTGAGATCCACACAGGTGCTTTCACTGCACCCCGGCGCCTGTTGAAAACATTCCTGTTCAGACAAGGCTTAGCCAGATGCTTAGAAATGTTTTAGCGTTTAACTTTTGCATGTTTCTAAAATAGGGTTGTGAATTTTTCTAGATGAGTGGAGTATTTTTGTTTTTTTCAGTCAAGTGTATAAATTCTATGAAATGTTAAAAACAGCTGTGGTGTTCAGCTTTTAGTAGGCTGTGCGATCCTGCGCATATCAGGTCATACAATACATAGGCTTTTGAAACATATTGGGAATGTAATGAAATGGCTGTTTTCTGAAGAAGAGTTTTCTGCATTAAAATGGCTTTTGCCCAAAAATATCAGCTTCACTGCTCCCATTTTATAGACTAATAACTGCGGCTGTGACATGCCTGAAACTATCCAGAGAATTAATGATTGAGGTAATCTGTTGTTGTTTGTTCCCTTCTCATTAATACTTTTGTCTTTCAGGGCAAATGGAAAAACAAAGAGAGAGTTCTCATTTTCTCTTCCAGAGGAATCAATTTTAGGACAAGGCATCTCATGAAAGACTTAAGAACAATGATGCCCCATGCTAAAGCAGGTATTTTTTTATTTTACCTGTCTTCTCTGTCTTGTTCTAACAAGTTCACTGTTTCTACTCACGTAGAACTGTCCAAATCTAAATAACAACAACGACCGGCTTATCAAAAACACTGGTATGTGAAGCAAAATGAATGTAATAATTATACTGTAGTTAAGCATTACTGTTTTCTAGCTGTGTAAAGTTTCTTACCTTAACATTTTTCTGTTGTAGTAAAAGTTGTGATAAGCAGCATATTGATACAGGTCCTCTTCAGCCTAAGTTGGTGTGTGCTGCTTTTCTTCCAATCCAGCTGTTGGGAGTGTATATATCAAGCCACCTTCAAAAGCAGAATTATATTGGTGATCTGCTGATAGGCAGATTATTTTTTTAAAGGCAAAATTTAGTATTCTGTGCATACAACCTTAGCTGCTGGATTGGGAAGAGGAATCCTTGGGCACAGTGCTTGCTTACATCTAGTGTCTGAGGTAGGGATACGTGTGCAGAACTCGGCTGGACCAGAGCAACTTTTATCAGTAATTTCAAAGAGTTCTAAGAAGTGTAGGTGAAATTACTTACCAGGATGTTTTGGCGATCGTTACACATACATTGTTTAATTTCATTTGTTTTCCAGACACTAAAATGGACAGGAAAGATAAGCTGTTTGTAATTAATGAGGTAAGTTATGACGCCCCTGTTTTGCCTAAGACTAACCATTATATGTCCTGGCTTTGGGGATTTGAATCCAGCTATTAACCCAAAGCTTGGTACCTCAGTGGCTGCTTTCTCAAGGTGTAACAATAAATAATTTCATGTTTAGAATAGTGCAGTGAACTGTATCTCCTTTGATTGACTCTCATGGCACTGTGCAGAAAGTGGTCCTGTTCAGACATTACAGTAATCTGGAGCCAGAACATTGGAGCAGGGAGAGAGGGAATGACCCTATTGGTTTACCCCCATGAGTTAGAGGGAGACTGTCTGCAGTGAGGTGTCCTTTAATTGTGTAGGATCCTTGTGTGTTGTAGAATCCTTATTTTATGGGGTTTTGCATTGTGCTGGAGGCCTCCACACCTATAAACAGGCTTCCTGCCGCAAGCACCTTCCAACTCGCAGCCGGCACAATTGTCCCTGCTCATGTGTTCAGTTTCCAAATTGCTGTAACTATACTTAGGAAAAAGAAACTTTTGATTTACACTGGAAAAACTACAATGTTTCAGATTACGGAACTATTTTTTGTGCTTCATGCAGGTCTGCGAAATGAAAAATTGCAATAAATGCATATTTTTTGAAGCAAAGAAGAAACAGGATCTTTATGTGTGGTGAGAAAAACTTTAAATCAGAATATATTTTCCCTGTGTGTTCTAATTTCTGACATCCATAGATGAGTGCAAAGTGGATAGGTAGGAATATTCTCATCATTTGGGTTTCCAGGCCGCCATTCTTGAATGGGCTTCTGAAAACTATTTATTCTGTAAATTATAGGTTCTGTAAACTACTGGGGGGGTGGGAATGACAAATTATTAGGGAAAAATAATAACACAATCCACTTGTACCAGCAGTAGAAAATTGGCAAGACACACCCAGCTCCTTCTATCACTTTCTGTGTCCTCTGCCCTGTTCCATGCAACAAGTTAGGTGCTGTTCTTTACCTGGCAGGCAAAAGTTTAGATATGAACAAGAATCTCTGGTTTCCTAGTCTGGAACTGTCTCCTGTGACATTGTCAAGATCCAATAAACTCAGAGAAACTTGGCAGGGGCTTATCAGGGCACCTGGGGACAGTTCCCTCTTAACCAGATGAGTTCTTATTTGCAAGGTTTTCAAGCTGTTCTAGCTGGATAGGAATTTTGTGTGTAACACCCCATTAACATCACTGATACTCAACCACTCTAATGTTTCAAGCATAACTTCAATTGGGGATTTCTTTCTTTCCCTCTTGTCTATTTCAGGCTTTCAAATGCCCCCCATGGACCATCAGCGAAGTTTCTAGTACAGAATAGTAAGTTCAAATATGTGATTGAATGTCTTTGATTGCTGTTGGCTTGTTTTTACTCCTTCCTGAATGATCCTACAAAGACACACATCTGGTCTTCTGTTGTAACCTATGGTTAAAACATTAAAGACTGACCTGACTGACTGGCTTAATGTCTGGAAGATGTTAATATTACATACTTCAATCACTGCTGTTCTGCTTCTGTTTTAACATTTGAAAATGTTTTTGTTGTTGTTGAACAATAAAATCTTGACTTGACATAGCTCTACTTAATATCACTGCAGTTCACACTCTGGCCGAGCTGAAAATGACTGGGAATTGTTTGAGAGGCTCCCGACCCATTCTGTCTTTTGATAAGGCGAGTATCGATCTCTTAGGATATCATACTACCTTCTGTTATCTTACGATCAATTTTTTTTTTGGCCGATTTCTAAAATACTTTCTCCCCACAGACTTTTGACCAGGAGCCACATTATGCTGTGCTGAAAGAGCTGTTCATTCAGGTCGGTATATGGCAGTGTTTATAAGTTAATTCTCCCATTTTTAAAACAGCAGGTGCTTTTTTGCCATAGGATAGCATGATCCTTGTGCACTTTGATGTGGCAATGGCAACTTGTGGGTTCCTCAGATCGGTAGGTCATAGCCAACTGAGTTTCCTCAGAGTAAACCCATTGACATCAATGACTAACTTGGGGTTCATTGTTTTCATTGAGTCTGCTCTGCGGCGAACCGAGTTGGAATCAACCCAGCAGTGCCGAAACTCACTTGACAAAATGATAAGCCCTATCTCTTGAGCCAGTACACATTTCTTAGCTGGTGCTGTGGTTGAAGGGGCTGTGGGTTTTGCATGTGAATGTGTTTGTTTGTTTGTTTGTTTGTTTGTTCCAAGAGTAGTTGAAGAGAGATGGAGAGAACCGGGTGGCATTTATTTAAAACATTGTAAACCTCATTTTTTTACCCTGAAAGTCTCCTACAGCTACTTAAAATATAGAACCAAGAGACTGATTTATAAAACCCCTGCTCACGAATGGAACACACTCAAACAGGGTGGAAAGGGTGAAATGGCTGCTGAGTGATACTGATGACTTCGTAACTTATAAAGTAGCACTATATGCACTGGCAGCTAAGATCAGGAGAAAAGATCTAGATAAAATAGCGGTCAATTGCAAAGGTGATTCGGACATTTAAGCTGGCACATTCTACTTGATAACCCCTTGCTATTCTATTGTATGCAACAAATAATTCTTAGGAGACGTGATTGTGGTTTATTGTATTTGCAGTGCCTAATATTTTTATGGGTTTTATGGTTTTTGCTGCTTTTCTTTTTGTTCCCTTTGTGAATGATGCCATGGCCTTTGGCTAGTGCAATAAAGTATATGAAGATGATGATGATGAAAATATTAGTGGTAAGGCAGTGCTTATGCATTGGCTTATGCAGGTGGCTCTCATACGTTCTCATACACATAAAGCCAAAATTGCAAGGTCAAAACACATTGGGGTGCAATAGGGGGAGGGATTGCCAAAGTTTTCCCAGACACCCACCCCTTTTCTGCCCACTTTTTATTTTTTTGCGGACAAGTTAAATGTGTGTAAGTTGCAAATCACCTGTAATCCATTTACTGAATGACATTATTCAGTGTTTCTCTCCCACAATCCTCAGCAATGTTCTTTCAATAGAAAAGAGCTACAGGGCTTCTAAGTTGTCACTCTTTAAATCTAATGCTGGTGCCAGCAGAGAAACAGCACTAAACTGATCGCGGAAAATATACTTTTCAACGTGTTGGATAAATCTCTGCCTCCAGTTCTTCCAGTATTCATGTTTGTGCTTCAAGCTGAGCTGCATGCTAATCATTCACATTACGCTTTGGAAGACTTGGTTCATAAGTACAGTTCCAAAATGGAGGATTGGCACTTAAAAATAGCCCAGTTGACCAAGCTAGGTAGAAGTTTCACCTCCATTTCCACCAGAATGGTTCTGAAGGAATGGGTTTCTGTGTAGCAAGTTTAAAACTGACTCAACCCACCCCCCTTTTGTTCTTTCAAAAGAGAGAACTTTTAAATGCGTAAAACTTGAACTATTGAGCAAAACCATAATAAGGACACAACTGCATAAACAGTTCTGTCCTTTATCAGGACAGGCAAGGGATGGCCTTGGCTCTCCAGGGGAACAAAGAAAACACGTCAGAACTTTATCTTATGTGCTGACCACAAAATACGCACAAGACCAATGTCCGGGGAAAACGCCAAAAGCGTGTTCCTGGGGATTATGACGTCTTCCCAGATAAGAGTAGGAAGAGGAAGATCCTTTTATGGTCAGAAGTACAGGAAGGAAGATCCTTTTATGGTTGAGAGTACCAGAGCAGGAACATATGTGATGTCAACCTGCGTACTTAGGCCGCCGTGGTTGGGCTCCTAGGGGAGGAGTGAGAGGGTGCCTGGAGGATATATAAACTGCATGAAACCTGTCATTTCTTTGGACTTGCTGGGGACTAATCACGCAAGTGCCTTCTGCTATCCGGAGAGCAGAATAAACTCTTTCTTTGAACCAACCTCGGTGTCATTTTGACTTCCTTCCTCCTGTCCCGGAGCAACGCAGACCCAATCGGTGAACTCCAATAAGGCTACAGTTCAGATGTCTGCTCTGGTCACTGCATTGCGATATAAGCATGTTGATGCAAAGGCTGTAACCATTCTGTGACAAAAACCAAGAATGACCAAATATAATACAACACAGATGTAATCTATGACAGCAGAGCAGCTTACAGCCCGATTGTGTGATGAACAAATTGTGTTAGCGCCACACAGAGTGAACTATGCATTGCCCACCCAGAATTGTGCTGAATCTTTTGATCATATGGATTGCTTTAAAAAGTTGTCGTTTTTCACCCTGCCAGATTTTTGGTACTCCTCTGTATCATCCCAAAAGCCAGCCTTTTGTAGATCACGTCTTCACATTCTCCATAACAGACAAGAGGATTTGGTTTCGAAATTACCAGGTAATTTGCCTATGCTTTGCCCGTGGGATGATGTAATCAAAACACCCACGACCACCCCGGGATCTATATGCAATGTCTTAAACTGAAAAATGCTTTGTGAACATTTTCTTGAAATCTGAGGGTTTATTAGACTTGTTCGCATATTGAACCATAGCTGATTAGAATACACCTCTCTCCTAATGTAAGACATTTTAAGATGGGTTTGCTAGTAACTTAGCTTGACACATAAAGGGTAGTGGCCAAAACTCAAATGCCAAATTCTCCTAGACCCAGATAATCTTCCACAGTGCAGAACTTGTGCATATGGCAGGCACATTGATTTTGGGTCACTTGATTTTAGATCACATTTAGCATTTTCACAAGTGCCTATTATTTCCCTTAAAATTCTGAGAATGAAGTTATCATTCAAGAGTTTAACTGCAAGTCCTTGAGGCGGTAGAATGAAGAAACACACTTAAGTCATGAGTGATATCTGGTCAATAGTTGAGTGTTTTGGGGTTGTGGAAGGACTTCAGTATTCCATAGGCTCCGTGGTAAGGAAGCTACACTCATCATGGCACCCTTTTTATTTTCCATAGGCTCCTGTTCTTCAGTCCTACATGCGTGTTGGTTGTACTCAGACTGTTCCTACAAAGAGCAAAAGTTTACAAAAAGGACACAATTCCATTCTGAAACAAAAAGAGGCAACCCTTATATTGATATGGTTGTGCAAGCTGTGGCTTTAGTGGCAGCTAAGATGCTCTTACTTCCCACAAACATTCTCCATATTCTAGCCCATTTTTCTTATTGGGGTCAGCTCAGGTTGATTCGATCCACTGGAGTATCTGAGTACACAAAAGCCATTAAGCTGCTATATAACACAGCCAGAGGGAATCTTGCACCAATATTGGGTATTTTAAGGTGCCTGCGGCAGTTGTGCACCTGTATGGTAGAAAAAAGGTTATTTTGCTCTGAAATATCAAATGTTTGCCACTCTGCAGATAATAGAAGATGGAGCCCTGGTAGAAATTGGGCCGCGCTTTGTCTTAAACCTTATCAAGATCTTCCAGGGCAGCTTTGGAGGACCAACCCTGTATGAAAATCCTCATTACCAGTCTCCAAATATGGTAATACTATTTTTAATACTCTAAAGACTACACTCTTCAGTTAGCTTATTCCTCTGCTTACTGTGACAATGCTGTTAATGTGATCCTTTAGTAAAATGTTGTTAGTAACTCTCCACCCACAACAGTCCAATCCACTGGGTTCTCAGCAGAAGGCTTTAAATAACCACCCCACTAGTTAGTATTCTGTGTTGACTTTTGGCCTCAGGCTTGTGTTGCCTCTGGAGTACAAAGGCCGGCTTTGACTTTGTTGCTGTGTGCTTTACTGCACTTTCCATGCCCCCTCTTCCGAAACAAAAAGTTGGTGCAAGGGTTGAGACAGTGAAATTGCATCAGGGCAAAAGGCTTAAGACAATGCTGTACTGTGTGATGCTGCACTGGTATTTCATTATCTGCTTCTTTGCCTCGTGCAGCAGAACGTAAGCCCTGCCGATGGCTCAGTCAGTTAGAGGATGAGACTCTTAATCTCAGGGTCGTGGGTTCAAGCCTCACGTTGGGCAAAATATTTCTGCATTGCAGGGGGTTGAACTAGATGACCCTCGTGGTCCCGTCCAACTCTACAGTTCTGTGATTCTAAGTTGTATGGCTAACTGGAGTTGCTGTGAATGTTCAGCAACCACTAATGCTAACCCATTAAAATATATTGGTTGCAGAATTTATATAGTGAGGGGCTGTGGTTTATGCTTTGCATATGGGAGGTGCCAGATTAAATTGTGGGCACGTCTGGGCAGGGCATGGGGGAAATCCTTTCCAAAACCTTGGAGAGCTGCTGTCAGTTAATGTACAGAGCTCTGAGCTTACATGGGCTAGTGGTCCAACGGCACCAGGCAGCTTCCTCTTGGGTTTGGTCTCCTGTTGTAGCTCCAACACTTGTATTTTGGTGTAGCCATGCTAATTGTATTCTTCTGCTTCCAGCATCGCCGGGCAATAAGACTAGCCACAGCTGCTAAATTCAGAGAGAAGCAACAATTGAAAGAGCTGCAGAAACTGAAGAAGAAGGAAGAGAAGCCGCTGATTCCTGAAGATCCAACAGAAGTTGTTTTTGAAACGCCAGCTGAGGAAAAGCCCGAGGAAATACAACTAGTGAAGCCAGAGCCCAAAATGAGCTTGAAGAAGAAAAAGAAAAACAAACTACACCAGCGCTCGAGGAAGCTGAAGAGAAAACTTGGTGGAATTGGAGTCTAAAACATTTTAAAAGGGGACTCGATAATACAACCATTTAAACAGCTTTTACTACTTTTTTGTAACCGGTTTGTGTACAGTAACTTTATAAACTATGTCTTCATCATTGATTATGGGCTAGTTTTGTAATATCTTCCAAGTAACATTTCTGATAGTGCCCTTTAACACGGTATCTTAAAACACTTAAAGAAAAGGTGATGTGTGGAGAAGGGTAGCAGTATCTCTGCAGTCGTTCAACAGGAACCCACTGACTGGGACAAACCAAATATATGCACCTGGACCGGTTTTCTGAAAAAAAAGCTGCAGCCAAGTCAGGAGAACATTGCACATTAAGAAAACTTGAAGACTTGCTCTTCGTTTGGTTAGATGGTTTTTAATGTCCTTGTGAGAAAAGGCAACAGCACAAAGGTAGTTAGAAGTTCCTCTTACACTCTTCCAGCAGCCAGCTTGTGTGTCAGCCCACTGCTATTCTCCATTAGTGCCATATGCAATAGTGTTGTGCAGAATCCTGTGCCCATAGCCTATCAGGAAGGTAGTCGTTGCTGGTGTTCTTTATGCAGCACATAGTTAAGCTATGGAACTCACTTTCACAGGGGGCAGTGATAACTACCAACTTGGACGGCTTTAAAGGATAATTAGACAATTTCATGTTCAACAACATGTCTCTGAATATCAGTTGCTGGCAACTGCAAGTGGGCAGAGTGTTGTTGCGCCCATGTCCAGCTTGAAGGCCACATGGGCATCTGATTGGCCACTGTGAGAACTCTTATACCCCTCATTTTTGGGGGGATTGTGGCTCTTAGGGGGTCTCCTAAAAACTAAGCACCCATGGACTATAGTTCTCAGGATTCTTAGAGTGGGGGGGAACCATGACAATGGTATAAAGGCGCTTTAAATGAAAGTTGTGGATGAGACCAAACCAGGCATAGGCAAGTTCGGCCCTGCAGATGCTTTGAGACTACAGCTCCCATTATCCCTAGCGAGCAGGACCAGTGGTCAGGGATGATGGGAGTTGTAGTCCCAAAACATCTGGAGGGCCGAATTTGCCTATGCCTGGACCAAACAATGCATATTCATAATCTTGTTCCTCTAAAGAACAGCTGAGTGTGCTGCACTTGCAGATATCCAGTTCTACCTTCTCAACAAGCCTGCGGGGTAGGCTGGGCTCAGAGATAATAGCTGATCCAAGGTCATGAAGAGACCTTTGTGGGTGGTGCAAGACCGGAAGTGCAGTTTTGCGTACCCTGCACTGCTGTTTGGTATCATACTGGTTTGGCTCTGGGTTGTTGTTTTTAAACAGCACATTTCTAGTGCACTGCAAAAAGGGACTCACTGCTGTCTTCTAGCCTCTCGCTATAAAAATGGAACATTTTACATTATGTCTACTATATTCACTGCTGGGGAAGAGCAAATAAGCTCACCCCGCTTGCACAACCTCACCTCTTGCTGATTTCTGAGCAAAGTAACGTCTGCACGCGGCAGCTTGCTTCTTACTGCCAAAAAAGGGACCGCAATTTCGCAAAACTACAAAATATCGCGTGTTTTTATTGGCCTCTTAGTGTCTTTAAAGAACAAATCGCCTGAGCCGCCGCAAGGAGATAGTTATTTGGGAAAAGTGGAGAAACAAAACATTACGAAACAATCGTTCTTACTCGCTTTTTAGCATCAACGGTGTTCCCAAGAGTGGTTCTCCGCCCTCTACCTACCCCGGTGGCGTTTATAGCTTTAGCGCGCACATTTACGGGCAGCCTCCCCTACATAACTCTGGAACGTTCATGATTCCGGCGTTCTATTAATATCAAAGGAGCCTCCGCTGCTCCGGAACTTTCGCGTCTTGGGAGTTCTGACGCCGCCGTAGCGCTGGAACGTTCGGGTTTCCGGCGTTCTATCAACATCAAAGTGGTACCCGCCGCTTCGGAACTTCCGCGTGCCGAGAGTTCTGCCCGCCACCAAAGGCTTCTCCGCTCAGCGCTGCGCCAGCTTCCCTTCCATCCATCCCCGGCGCTGACTCCAGCTGATCCCCATCTGCCGCTTCGCTCCGTCGTCAGCTCCGCCTCCCAACCCGGCAGCGGGAAGTGGCTTTGGCCTCCTGTATGGCTCCTCCGCTCCTTCCGGTCCCTCCTCTCCTCTCGCCGGCTGTGTCTCTCGGTGCCCTCAGCACGAGGGTGCCGGCCCAGGAGGGCTCCCCAGAACGCTCTGCTTCGCCTTCTGCTGAGTGGCGCTGAGTCCCGCAGGCGCCTCCCAGGATGAAGTGCCACTACGAGGTGCTGGGGGTGAAGCGCGACGCCTCCGACGAAGACCTGAAGCGAGCCTACCGGAGGCTGGCGTTACGTTGGCATCCAGGTATTTATTATTTACTTGTGTCATAAATATATATATAGATACCGCTTTAGAGCCGCTTTCAAAAAGATAAGACCATAAAATGGGAGCGGGGGTGGGGCGCGTTACAATACATTGAAACACAGAGAAGTTAATATACAAAACAGGATTAAAATTCCCACCAGCATTTCTAAGCCTCTGGGTGGGCTTGTCTAAAGGAGGATGTTTTCAGCAGGCGCCGGAAAGAGTAAGGCGAGGGCGCCTGCCTGATATCACTAGGGAAGGAGTTCCAAAGGGCAGGTGCTGCCACACTGAATGATCGAATTGTTAGAAATGCGGTAATTGGGTGTTGTGTGGCACCTGGCGTCAATTACAGCCAGGCCTTACGGGGGAGGGGTCGAGATAGTTTCTGCCTGACCTCGTGGTACCCATCTGGCCTCTGGGATGTCTCCCCCGCCCCACAAAAACAATCTGGAAAGAAATGAAGCTTTGAGAGAGAGAAACAGCGTGCAGCGTTTCTTTCCTATTGCCTGAGACTCAACTTCCTTTAGTCAGGTCTTGATCCTATGCACAATTACCTGGAAGTAAGCCCCATCGGAAAAACAAAGAGTTTACCTCTGAGATGTGGTATAGGCGACTGCTCTATAAGTTGGTTTAATAGCTGCACCTAGCAGTTCTGTTAAAATGAAAATCAAGTGTCTTACACTTTTCAGTGCAAAATCATTGCATACTCTGCTTAACAACATCAACAGTGAGGGCTACAGACTTGGTGCCTCTGTATTGTGACTAATATTAAATAAAAGTTGGTAGCCTAGAATGAAGCTGTATTCTTAATCCGACACCTGATTAGTTATTAATTGATGCTAGCTTAATATCCTGCTTTTTGACCCTCTTACTGTGTGCAGAGGGGCTTAGAATGGAAAACGGTAGTTTGATGTAAAATATAAAATAAGCAGTTAATAAGTCATCGTTTGATATATTTCCAAGAAGTGTAGCTTTGTTAGTCTGTTGTAGCAAAAAAGAGCAAAGACTCTTGTTAAAGAATAACAAATTTATTATGGCAAAAACCTGCACCATAACCAATTTGTTTGCCTTTAAAAAGTGCTAAAGAATTCTCAGCTGTTTTCGTCCAGTATATTAGATATATTGAATAGCCAACTAATATATTAGTTATACTGTACTCAGAATAGGCCATTGATTTCAGTGCATGTACTCTTAAGAATGACTGGCACTGGATGCCAACCATATTGCTTTGTTATGTTGTACTCTTGCATTATTCAAACACAGGAAGGGTGTCTCTGCATAGTTTATTAATTGTTTTAGTGAGGTCATAATAACTGTGGCTGGCAGCACAAATGCTATGGAGTGCGCTTTCTATGAGCAACCTCTGACAACATGATCCTATACATGTTTACTCAAAAATAGATCCCATTGAGTTCAGGGAGGCATCAGCAGCAGGAGCCCCAAACATTGCAGAATCACAAAACCAACGTTGGGGGGAGACCCCCCAAAAACAGCCCAGTGAAGACTTGTATGCTCACTGCCTGACTGATATGGGAGCTCTTCAATGTTTTAAGGCATGTTCCATGTGGCATCTTTTATGTCTTGAGCCTAAGCCTTCCTACTTGAAAGCACACCCCGTGGTGATCAATAAGGATTAATAACTGTCCTTGAGGAATGATTAAGGGCAGGCATCCCCAAACTTGGCCCTCCAGCTATTTTTGAGACTACAATTCCCATCACCTCTGACCACTGGTCCTGTTAGCTAGGGATGATGGGAGTTGTAGTCCCAAAACAGCTGGAGGGCCAAGTTTGGGGATGCCTGATTAAGGGTCTGGAATCCAAGCCTTAAGAGGAACGGTTGAAGGACTTGGGTATGTATAGCCTGGAAAAGAGGAGACTGAGAGCAGGTATGATAGCCATCTTCAAATATCTAAAGGGTTGTCACATAGAAGATGGGGAAAGCTTGTTTTCTCCTGCTCTGGAGGGTAGGATTCAATCCAATGGATTCAAGTTACAAGAAGGGAGAGTCTGACTAAACATCAGGAAGAACTTTCTGACACTAAGAGCTGTTCAACTCTCTCCCAAGTTGGTGGACTCTCCTTCCATGGAGTTTTTTAAGCAGAGGTTGGGTGACCATCTGTCATGGATGCTTTATAGCTGAGATTCCTGCATTTCCAGTTCTGGCTGGTTCGCCAGCTATGGCCCCTTTTGGCCAGAAATACTTGGCCATTGCACTTGTAAACTTCTAAAAGGATCCAGAAGAATTATCGACGAAAGAAGAATGACGGATAAAATTGATGGACTATGCAGAACTGGATAAATTAACAGGAAGGATTTGAAACCTGCGGGAACAGAGATTCTTAGAAGACTGGAGTAAATATGCAAACTATTTGAAAAGTAATCTAATGAACAGATTACGCTAGTAGGACTGCAAGAAGTTTTGTAAGGAGGACTATCTGAAATATTGCAAGAAAGACTATGAGGAGAATTATTAGTTAATGATAATTAAGAGTAATAGAGAAATTAAGAAATGCAGAATAAGTGATAAAGAACGGAAAATCATCAGAGGTGTTGACGGAAGTCTAAAACGTTGTATAAGATAAGAAGTTATGTTATATGAGTGTTGGAAATGATGTGTTAAAAAACCCCAATAAAAATGTAAAAAAAGAAAGAAAAAGAAACTCCTAAAAGGATCCAAAACGCAGTAGCTGGATTACTGGCTGGTGTGCTGTTCAAAACCTGCGCGGCCCATTTCAAAACAGCTACACTGGTTTTCCGTATGTTTCTGAGCCCAGTTCAAGGGGTTCACATACGTACCTAAAACCTGAAAGACTCCCCCCCTTCCCTTAGGACTTCCCCTAAGCTGTGAAATCCCCTCCCCACAGAGGTGCCCTTGACACCTGGATTCTATCGCTTTCTCTGTATGCTGAAAACCCGTCTCTCTACCCATACCTTAAACACCTGAGTTACATGAATTGTAGCCAGCACTCAATATCCTCAGAGTAAATCCATTGAAATGGAACGGTGGCACCAGTAAGAAGAGCATGAGGCTCCTGATCTGAGGGTCATGGGTTCAAGCTCCACGTCGGACAAAAGATTCCTGCATTGAAGGGGGTCAGACTGGATGACCCTCGTGGTCCCTTCGAGCTCTACAGTTCTGTGGGCTTACTCTGAGGGAAACAAATATTGGAGGAAACGCTGTATTTTTTGGACCCACCCTGTTCATCTTGCTGTAAATTATTTTGGCTGGTTTAATATAATTAATAATAATAATAATTTTTATTTATACCCTGCCCTCCCCGGCCAGAGCCAGGCTCAGGGCGGCTAACACCAGTAAAATTACAGTAAAAACATAATAGGGGAGGGGGACCAATTTAAAATACAGGATAAAATGCAATTTAAAACGCAGCCTCTTTTTAAAAGTAGCCTATAGATCAAAACCGTAAAGGGAGGGAAGCATAAGGGTCAGACTGAGTCCAAACCAAAGGCCAGGCAGAACAGCTCTGTCTTGCAGGCTCTGTGGAAAGATGTCAAGTCCCGCAGGACCCTAGTCTCTTGTGACAGAGCATTCCACTAACTCGGGGCCAGTACTGAAAAGGCCCTGGCCGTAGCTGAGACCAACCTAACCACCTTGTGACTTGGGACCTCCAAAGTGTTGTTATTTGTGGGCCTTAAGGTCCTCCGCAGGGCCTACCAGGAGAGGCGGTCCCTTAGGTACGTGGGTCCTAGGCCGCATAGGGCTTTAAAGGTCAAAACTAGCACCTTAAACCTGACCCTGTACTCTACCAGGAGCCAGTGCAGTTGGTAAAGCACTGGGTGAATGTGATCCCGCGGCAAGGACCTTGCCACAGCATTCTGCGCCCGCAGAATTTACTTCCTGCCATGTCACTGGCGCTTTCCTGTTCTTCCCTGATTTCAACCTGGCCGTGTTGCTTAAATCCCTCTGCTGTGTCTCTGCAGACAAGAACCTCGAAAACGCTGAAGAAGCGGCTGAGCAGTTCAAGCTGATCCAAGCTGCGTACGACGTCCTGAGCGATCCCCAAGAAAGAGCCTGGTAAGCCTTTGCCATCTCCTCTCCTGGATGGTTGCAGTCCGAGTCCCCACTCAGCTGCCTATGATAGAGTCTAAGCCAATGCCCTGGGACTGAAAGGAGAATGGTGATTTTCTTCCATTCTGCACTGAAAAGCTTCAGGCTTTGCTTTCTGTTCTTCTTCTTAGGTACGACAATCACAGGGAAGCTTTGCTGAAAGGGGGCGTCGATGGAGAATACCAAGATGACAGCCTGGACATCTTCCAATATTTCACCGTTACCTGTTACTCTGGCTATGGAGATGATGAGAAGGTAACTCAACACGAAGAGAACCATAGAAGTTAGGCAGTGTCCAGTGAGACCTGTAACAGACGTTGTTGCACTGTGGTAGATTCCTGTCCACAATACCAGCCAGCCTTGCTGTTTTCAAGATATTACACTCTGTTTCCCGTCTCAAGATCCCTTTTATTTGTTTTAATTTTTTTTGCATATTATTTATTTTTTAACATTCTTATAATGCATCGGTAAACATTGTCATATTACATTACAAGGCTTATTATAATATACTTTCCAACATTTATACAAAGATTATATACAAATTTTATATACCTGAAAAGAAAGAAAAAATTAAAGGGAAAAAAGAAAGAAACAAAAACTTTTCCAAAATCATATGCATACCAACACGTTGGACTTCCCGTCTTTCCCGCCGTATATCCCCCCCTTTTTTTTACAAATGAATGTACTCTTATTATTGTATATTTCTTTTACGTTTTATCTAATACATTCCTATAACAATATGTGCTTTTGATCTTATGTTTTATCAGCCAACAGGTGGCTGTGGCTGCTGAGCTCACAGAGTTCTTTCTTCCCCCTTCTCTTCTTAGATTCCACCCACAAAATATTTTTTTGGGTGCTTCTGCAAACCATGGCATTCCTCCAAGTCCAGAGACACCTCCCTCCCTTATGCATAGGTTATAGTTACCCAGAGAACTAAATCACTAATTTGCAGCCTCATTGATCCAGAAAATCGTGGGAGCAAAGCGATTCAATTGGGGGTGGGGTGGGGTATACCAGCGTCCAGCTCTTTCCTGGAGGAACAGAAGCATGTGTCGTGTGCAGAAATCGGGGGGTGGGAGGGAGTAGCGACAATGTCCGATGATGTTGGTACCCACTGCTGTGAGCAAAATTTAGAACGACATGCCCATATGTTGGTTAAAAAGTCACATTTCCATAATGCAACACGTCCTGCAGTGTGACAGGAACATTAGAAAACAAACTAATCTGGGAAACTAACAGGATATTCCTCACATCTGAATGCACCTTAACGGGGGATGGTTACAAACCAGCCCAACAGTTGAATTGTGTATCAGAAGCTGGGAAACCTGAACAGTTCTTCCCACACACCATCACTTCCGTTTAGTCACCTGTGCAGGTAACTGAGCCCTGCCTTCTCTCTCTGCGATCTCTTTCAGGGCTTCTTCGCGGTGTATCGGCACGTCTTCGAAATGATTGCGAAGGAAGAAATGGAATCCATGCCGGAGGAAGATGCTGAAGAATTTCCAAGTTTTGGAGACTCCCAGAGTGACTTTGACACGGTAAGAAGCCAAGGCTGCAGTCTTGTACACACCTTGTTGTTGTTGTTTAGTCGTTTAGTCGTGTCCGACTCTTCGTGACCCCATGGATCAGAGCACGCCAGGCATTCCTGTCTTCCACTGCCTCCCGCAGTTTGGTCAAACTCATGCTGGTAGCTTCAAGAACACTGTCCAACCGTCTCATCCTCTGTCGTCCCCTTCTCCTTGTGCCCTCCATCTTTCCCGACATCAGGGTCTTTTCCGGGGAGTCTTCTCTTCTCATGAGGTGGCCAAAGTATTGGAGCCTCAGCTTCACGATCTGTACACACTTACCTGGGGGTAAGTCCCACTGAACTCAGTGGGGCTTACTTCCGAGTAGACATATATAGGATTGCACTGTAGACTCATCGGCTCATAGAACTGTAGGGTTGGGAAAGGGACCTCAAGTGTCATCTCACCCAAAACCCTGCAATGGAGGACTAATTGATTTGTAACACAGTTTTTTGCATGGTGCACCTGTAGTTTTGTTTGCTGCTAAATCGCCCCCAAATGCTGGTTGTCAGGGGACCGCCATCGGAACAGGGAAGGGAGGCAGAGGGGCAGTTGGGATACAGGGATCTCTGAAAATCCTGAGAAGCAGTTCCTCTTCCTGCGATGGGGAAAGCCACACCTCCAGTGGGGAAGAGGGGAAGGGACCAGAGGATGCTGCTGGGAGCCTCAGCACCGCCCCTCGTCAGTCTGAGGGTGGGAAAAGCCACACCTCCCGGGTAAAGGAGGGGAAAGGGCTAGAGGATGCTGCTGGGAGCCTCAGCACCGCTCCTGGCCAAACCAGCCAGGAGGGAAGCATGCCTCTTCCGTCGCCCACCTTGCGCAGAGGTGTAAAACGCAAAGAAGGAAGGAAAAGGCTGGGGGTGACTAAGCTCTTATGTTGGGGGAGGACCCGGAAATGACCGCTCCCGGATTCTGCTAGCGATTGCGGCAGACATGAACTTGTGGTTCTGCACCGTAAATAGTTTTGCACCAAAACAAAACCTGTAGAAGACAGGTCAGAGTCCTGACTGGTTACTCACGAGCAACCACCACTACCATCTGACACTGGTATTACATAGTGGACGTTCCTCTTCTCCACCAGTGCAATTGCTTCTTTCCAGAAATCTAGACTGGTGATCTAGGCTCCTATGGTGAGGCCTTCTATATGAACACATTAAAATCTACCATGACACCTCCATGGAGTAGAGGGCCCCCTCTTCTGATCCTGATACCCGAGAGAGTCTGTAGGGAAGGAGGTCGTCTTCCATGTCTTTTGGGGGCCTTCGTCATGTAGGTCTTCAAACTCTAATGTGAGCACCTTGAATCGGGCCTGGAAACCAACTGATAGCCAGGCCAGCTGTTTGGAAACAGAGCCTAGGTGAAATCTGAGGGTACCCTGTCACTAATCTGGCCGCTGCATTTTGAGCCAGTTTTGAAGTTTCTGAGTTGATCTTCAAGGGCAGCCCCATGTAGAGCACATTGCAGCAATCCAGCCTGTCAGTTGCTAGGCCATGGCCTACAGTGGCCAAGTCCTTCCTGTCCAAAAGGGGTTGCAAATCGTCCCTTTAAAGGACTAATTTTGAAAGGTAGTTAATTGTTGATCCTTCCTTCTGTGCTGTCTCTCCTCTCTCCTCCCAAGTAGGTCGTCCACCCCTTCTATGGATACTGGCAGAGTTTCTGCACCCGGAAGAATTTTGCCTGGAAGGAAGAGTATGACACCAGGCAGGCGTCCAACCGCTGGGAGAAGCGAGCGATGGAGAAGGAGAACAAGAAGACGCGCGACAAAGCCAGGCGGGAGCGCAATGAGCTGGTCCGCGAGCTGGTGGCCTTCATCCGGAAGAGGGACAAGCGGGTTCAGGCGCACCGGAAGCTTCTGGAAGAGCAGAACGCCGAGAAAGCGAGGAAGGCGGAGGAGCTGCGCCGGAAGCAGAAACTGAAGCAAGCAAAGTATGGGAAGCTTTCTCTTAGCCGAGAGCCCGTCACTGAATTATTTTACCGTATTTTTTGCTCTATAAGACTCACTTTTTCCCTCTTAAAAAGTAAGGGGAAATGTGTGTGCGTCTTATGGAGCGAATGCGGCTGCGCAGTTATCCCAGAAGCCAGAACAGCAAGAGGGATTGCTGCTTTCACTGTGCAGCAATCCCTCTTGCTGTTCTGGCTTCTGTGATTCAGAATATATTTTTTCTTGTTTTCCTCCTCCAAAAACTAGGTGCGTCTTGTGGTCTGGTGCGTCTTATAGAGCAAAAAACACGGTATTTACTTTCATGGTATATATCCTATCCTTTGCAGATTGCAACAGCCAGATAGGGAAGGATCCATAAAAGAACACCACCCTTTGCAACGCATAACAAAAAAATTAATCCATCCCTGCCTGTAGAAAACTATCACGTCAAAGCAGAGGCGAGGTTGGAAGTTTCCTTCCTGAAATGCAGTTGTCTGTTTGCAGGGGGAGACATAAGGAAGGACTCAGTGCTGGCTCCCATGTTTTTTGGGGGAGGTGGGCTTGGGCAAGATGCACTTACCATGCCCTGTTTGCTTCCCCTAATCCTCACCACTGCCCAGAAAGGGAACTTGACGTAAAGATGGAGAAGCTGCGGGGCTCCAGATTGTTGTGGAACCTCAACTCCCATCATGCCTGGCCATTGGCCGTACTGGCTGAAGCCAATGGGAGCTGGAGTCCAGAAACATTGGAGCGCCACAGCTTCCCCGTGGTGTAGTGGTTAAGAGTGGTGGACTCGTAATCTGGTGAACCGGGTTCGCTTCCCTGCTCCTCCACCTGCAGCTGCTGAGTGACCTTGGGCTAGTCACACTTCTCTGAAGTCTCTCAGCCCCACTCACCTCACAGAGTGTTTGTTGTGGGGGAGGAAGGGAAAGGAGAATGTTAGCCGCTTTGAGACTCCTTCGGGTAGTGATAAAGCAGGATATCAAATCCAAACTCCTCTTCTTCCCCACATCTGCTTGGTCTGCTCACTCTTGTCACTGCTTGCGTTCTCGCTGTGAGTTGTGGGGACAGGCAGGAAGTGCGAAGGGGAGCAGCAGCAAGGGGAGCAGAGCCTCTGAGCATGCACAGTGGGCCTCTGTGGTGGTGTGGACCTAGGTGGCTGTCCATTGATGCTGGACACCAGACCTGAAGACAGAGACTGTTACCACTGTGCCTCATGTTCTCTGAACGGTTCAGGGACTCATAAAATCAGAGAACTGTAGAGTTGTAAGGGACCTTGTGGATCATTTAGTCCAACCCACCTGCGATGCAAGAATCTCAACTAAAGCACCCATGACAGATGGCTATCCAACCTCTGCTTAAAAACCTCCAAGGAAGGACAGTCCACAACCTTCCAAGGGAGTCAAACAGCTCTTAACGGTCAGAAAGTTATTCCTGAACCAATCCATTGGTTCGAGTCCTACCCTCCAGGGCAGGAGAAAGCAAACTTTTGCTCCTTCTTCCATGTGACAGTCTTGACGATATTTGAAGGTAGCTATCCTATCTCCTCCCAGTCTCCTCTTTTCCAGGCCCAGCTCCTTTAACCGCTCCTCATAAGACTTACCATACTTTCCCGTGTATAAGACTAGGTTTTTTCCTTTAAAAATTATGTTAAGAAAAGGGGGGGGGGTTGTCTTATACATCAGGCAATTCCCCCCCCCCCATTTTCTTCATTTGGAATCCTCAAAAATAGAGGACGTCTTATACATGAAAAAATACGGTAGTTTCCAGAGTCTTGATCATCTTGGTTGCCCTCTTCTGCACACTTTCCAGCCCGTCCTTCTTAAATTGTTCTGTCCCTTCATCTCAGCGTTGGATTTAGGGCAGTGCCTATATTGGTATGGCTACCTACTGGGGGCTGGGGGCGGGAAGCAAGTATACCCAAAAGGAATTACTGTGAAAACAAGCAATATTTGTTGAGGAAGGAAGCACCAAATTATGTCCTTGCTCAAGGCACGTATTTCCTGAGTCTGCCCCTGCTTCATCTGTTTGGGAGATTCGAGAGTTCTTTGCTGGTGGGGCCATTTTGATAGCCAAGCATGTCACACAAATCGAACCTTCTCCTTTCAAAGGCTGGTGGAGCAGTATAAGGAGCAGAGCTGGATTGTCATGTCCGATCTGGAGCGAGAACTGCAGCAGATGGAAGCCCAGTACGAAAAGGAGTTTGGAGATGGTTCTGATGAAGGAGAGAAGGAGGAGGAGCAGGAGTCAAAAGATGGTAAGGGAGAGATTGCAGTTTGCCACTAATGGCAGAGCCGGGTCAACCTGCCAGTGTTTTCTGCTGGGTTCCAGACTAGGGGAACTTGCCAAGCAGCCAGAGGTTTTCGCGTCAACTTGCAGTTTGCAACAAATACAGGAAGACCACGAATTACACTGGCGTTACGTTCTGGGGATTATGCCTGGAACCAAAATTGTGTGTAGCACTTTGGGTTCAATGGAAGGTGGGATTGCCAAAGTATTTTTTTCCTCATATGCCCACACCCTTTCTGCCCCCTTTTAATTTCAAATTTGCACAAATTAAATGTGCACGAATTAAATGCGCATGAGTTGCAGGCTTACTTTACAGTGAAAACAGCAATATATTAACATTAGCAAATCAGTTCATCGGGTCTTTTAAGCAAAGAAACAGCTATAGTTTAAGACAGCACAAATACTCAAGTGCGTTGCTGTTACGTAACTGAAATCCAGTGGTATTTATTCCCAAGAGAGATTAGAGCAGACATAAACAAACTTGGCCCTCCAGATGTTTTGGGACTACAACTCTCATCATCCCTAGCTTACAGGACCAGTGGTCAGGGATGATGGGAGTTGTAGTCCCAAAACTTCTGGAGGGCCGAGTTTGGGGGTGCCTGGATTACAGTATCGGACAAGGACCTGGAAGACCAGGGTTCAAAGCCCCATTGGCCATGAAACTACTGGGGAACACTGGGCCGGTCACTGCCTCTCAGCATAATCTACCTGGCAGGGTTGTTGTGGCGGTTGAATGAGGGGAACTGTGGTTGCCACCTTGAGCTCTGAAGAGGAAAAGCTTGGAATTTCAATGCTATGAGGAAATAAATAAATAAAAATTGTGCATAGGATTACAGGCCAAATGGATTTCCTTTTGACTAGGCGTGACTATCACTCACTTGTAAGGCTTCAGTTCAAAATGTAACCCTCATTAATGCCGCTCGGTAGGACTTAGCCCTGAGTAATCAAGCGTAGAAATACTGTTCCAAGTACCTTTACTTGAGTCATTTCAGGTTCCTCTGCTGTTGCTTACCTCGTTCAGATAAATTGAGTGAAGAGGTTGACGAGGCTGACTTTTATGATGATCTCTACTGCCCTGCTTGTGATAAATCCTTTAAGACCGATAAAGCGTGAGTTTCTCTCTTTTTCTAACCCCCTTGACACCCCCTGAAAAGAAAACTGGCTTTCCTGGGGGAATATATAGACCATGGGAAGACAAACTAAGGCCCGGGGGCCAGATGCGGCCCAATCGCCTTCTAAATCCGGCCTGTGGACGGTCCAGGAATCCGTGTGTTTTTACATGAGTAGAATGTGTCCATTATTTAAAATTCTGGGTTATTTGTGGGGCCTACCTGGTGTTCTTACATGAGTAGAATGTGTGATTTTATTTAAAATGCATCTCTGGGTTATTTGTGAGGCACAGGAATTTGTTCATTTCCCCCCCAAAAATATAGTCCACCCTCCCATAAGGTCTGAGGGACAGTGGACCAGCCCCCTGCTGAAAAAGTTTGCTGACCCCTGATAGAGACCCTTTGCTTGTCACGTGTCTCAGACTTTCTTGGAAGAAAGTTGCATTGATTTCCAAGGCGCTTGTCCCAAGTGTGCCTGTGTTTAATCCACTTCTGCAGTTGTCAGGCTGCTCAGGCCCAGCTGCTCTCTTCATAACTCCTCTCTGACAACTCTTTGCAGCATGAAGAACCACGAAAAGTCCAAGAAGCACAGAGAGATGGTAGCCTTGTTGCGGCAACAACTGGAGGAGGAAGAGAAGGGATTTTCTGTTGCTGCGGCTGATGAGAATGAACTGAATGCTGACGAGGAAGAGGAGACAGAAGAACTACCCAAACAAAAGTACTTATTACAAGATGGGGAAAGATGTGGCAGAGCATCTACTTTGCATGCAAAATCTCCCGGGTTCAATCCCAAGCGCCTCCAAGGAGGGAGAGACTTCCCATCCGAAATCCTGGAGAGCTGCTGCCAGTCAGTGGATGCAGCACTGAACTAGATGGGCCAGTGGCCTCACTCAATATAAGGCAGCTTCCTATGTCTCTCAGCTGTTACTGTAAAAGCTCCTTTGGTAATGGGATTTTGTAAAAATCAATGTCTTTAATGCCACTGCTAGGCAGCTGGGAGCGTGTTTGGGGTCACAAAAAAGCATGGAGCAAGATTGTCTCCTGCTTGAATAGTGGTCCCATGTTCATGACCATAAAAGTGAATGGCTCTTACTTAAGCACTTGCTTTTTCCTCCTCCCTCTGAGTCCTTTTTCCTTGTGTGTCGTGTCTGTCTAGATTGTGCGTCTGAGAGCAGTGACCATCTCAGTACTGGTTTTTGTAACCTTTAGGCCCCAGACAAAAACGTTCCTCTTTAACCAGACCTTTGGGTGACTGTCATCTGATGCCCTTTTAAAAGTGTTGTGGAAGGGACGCTTAATGGGTTGTTTTTGTTCTTATTTTTATTACGTATTTTGGGGTTTTTTAATTATGTTTTTATGTTGTGAACCACCCTGATAATCTACGGGTATAGGGTGGTATACAAATTCAGTTAATAATAACAATGACAATAATTACCTTAAACAGTGCTTCCTTTACCAGGAAATTTTTTTTAAAAAAATGAGCAGTACTGACATCTTAATACTTTGTTTTTACAGGCTCTCAAAGAAGCAGAGAAAGAAACAAAAACCAATGATGGTAAGAATTTTTTAATTTATTTTTTGGGTGTGAATTTCTGTTGCATGTTTTGTGTTGCTTAATCTCCACTAGCAATGGCTGCATTCACTCTTGAGTTACACCATTGCAGATGCCTTGAGTGCAAATAATTTCAGTTTATGTGTTTAGTTATGTGGCGTGCATGGTTAATCCCCACAACAGAGGCAGCGACTGGCCCAGGGTCTCCCAGGGAACTTCCAGATTGAGGGAGGACTTGAACCCCGGTTTCCCAGGTCCTAGTCCAACACTCTTTTAAGTGCTGTACCACATTGGCTTTCACAATAGGAAACGGCTAAGGCTATGAGTACATGAGAACATAAGAAGTACGTGCTTGATCAGGCCAATGGTCCGTCTTGTCCAACAACACTCCTCTTATATTCTTAGGCTCTTATGTTCTTACATTGGCTTCTGTTAGTAGATCTGCAGTTGAAGGCAACCTGAATGATATCCTGGCTGCAACCATTTCTCTCATTATGGCTCTTAACACATGATGAAAACTGGGCCTTGAGAGCATCTAAGCCTGGGGGTGGGGGTGGGGCTGCCAATTCCCTGTGGGGGATCATATTTTGAGGGCCCTTAAGCCAGTGAGGACCGCAATTGAAGAGGGGGAGCGGACGGGCCAGGGCTGTAGTAAAACCCCTTTGGCTGCCAGGTGACTTCAAGTTGCTGCACTCCCACCAGTGTCCACCAGAGGGCAGGCAGGAACAAAGCAGAGCCCTCTTTTAAGGAGGAAAAAACGGGAACCGTAGTTCCATCATTCCTAGGTTAAGGGAATGGCTTGCCTTGGGCCCTCTCTGTTTCCAGAGTGCAGTTTCTTAAGGTCCCTGCTGCTCCTGGCTGCTCTCCCTTCTGCCCTTCTCCTTCCCTGGTGTGTTTAAATAGCCATGGAGGTGACCCACCCTCTCCTTTCCCTTCTGACTGCAGCTCCTGGTTTCTCAGATGAGAGGAGTGTTGGTTCAGGGAAGGGTGATTCACTTGGGGCAGATAAGGGAGTAACCTTGCAGCAGTACTTTCTTCCTGCAAAGAATGATGGGAATTGGGGTTCTGTTAAGGGGTCCCTTGGCTTCCCAGCGTTCCCTAGGAGAAGTTGATTGCAGAACCAGTTCTGAACCCTCATGTTTCTGGCAAGCCTGCATTTGTGGGTGGCCTGAATCCTCAGTAGATTGTACCCTGATAGACTTGCTGCTGGCCAGTCAAAAGTGTTTCCCAGAGTGTGGCTGCTGTCGCATGTTGACAGCCTCTAGGACAGCCTTTCTCAGCCTGTGGGTCCCCAGCTGTTGTTGAACTACAACTCCCATCACCCCTAGCTAGCAAGGCCAGAGCTCAGGGATGATGGGAGTTGTAGTCCAACAACATCTGGGGACCTACAGGTTGAGAACCGCTGCTCTGGGAGCTACAGGTGAGAGCTGAGTGCAGGGTGGAGACCACAGGTACTACCCCTGCCCCAACACCCCATACCCCAGCAGCATCTGGAACACGGGTGGGAGAACCTCAGGCCTGTGGCCTCCCCAGGAATCTTGTATCTGGTCCCTGGCTGCATGCCTTCCTGAGTCACACCCCACACCAGTCCTGCTTTTCACCCTCCTTGAGTGTTTTTGCCTAGCTGGAATGTGTCATTGGACTCTGATTGTGCCTCCTACTTGCCTGGGCTAGAGAGGAATGAGTGCAGGTAGAAAAAGTTGCCTTTTGTACAACGGTAACATTTCACTTTTATTGCTCTGCTCACTTTTGCCTCTGGCAGGTGGTTCCAAGACGATTAGTCGGGAGGGAATGAGGCCCTTGGTCTGAAAAGGAACCCCCACCCCTGATCTAGGGGGGGGCCACAGGTTTTCCTGTCACCGCTCCAGGGACGGATCTACACTGGTTGCTTATAACATTAAAAGCACATTATTAAAATGTGACACCAGAGGGCGCTGTAGAGCAGCCAGCCTTCGACAGTGGAAAACTGCATTGAGAGTTACATAACACTAAATTTAATAACGTTTTTACAGATCAATGTAGATCCTGCCTAGATCTTAGAATATGGATTTCTGCGGTGTCTCTTGGGTGTCACGAATGCTTCTCTTATTCAAACAGGCGCAGGAAGACCCTCCCAGCGACAAAAGCCCAGGGGAGCCCCCAGCGGAGTTGTCTACGCAGGCCGGTAGCACCAAGCAGAGCAGCGAGACTGACGAAGCGGGAAACGTCAGCCAAAGCCACAACCTGGAAGATGCAAGCGCTGGGGAAACTGCAGAGCCCATCACAGAGCCCAAAGCAGAGGTGAAAAGGTAAGTGTTTAAAGTTGTGGGGATGCTGGACGCAGCAGTCTGCAATGCGGTTTGAATCCTTTGTAGTGCAATTCAAATCATACAGGTGCGTGGGAAGCTGTGTCACTCTGGATGTTGTTGGGAGTCCTTTTCCCATCAGCCCCTACCAGCATTCAGGAATGGTGTGGGGGGTGTAGCCTGATGATAGTTCCCAAAGTGGGCAGTGTAGCCCCTTGCAGGGGCATCCAAAGTTTTTTTCAAAGAGGGCCAGATTTGATAAAGTGAGGGCCGACCAAAGTCGTTGAGCTTTTTTTAGGATTTTACTCCAAGAAATAAACTGCCATAGGGGCCAAATTAGACCTGCGAAACTGACTTTGGACATGCCTACGAGGAGCACGGAAGGTGTAAAATGACTATCAGACATCAAAAAGCATGTGCTGCTCTTACTATTTATTCCATTTATATATTGCCCTTTTTAAGAACACATTTTGCTGGGCATAAAAATAAAAGCATAATACAGAGCATAAGAATAGACAACATAATCATAACAGTTCCCTCCCCCCACACACATACAGCAGCTTTAACAGGCCGTAGATTATTTAATGGCCAAAGGCATTAAAGAAGAATGTTTAATGATGGTGTCAGGTGAGCCTCTCTGGGGAGAGCATTCCACAGACGTTAAGGTTATCAGTTTTGTTCCGTTAATAAAACTATTTAGTTTTATTAATTGGATTTTGAGTGAATGTGCAAGTAATCGTCATTATTTTGAATTTTATTGTGGTGTTACCTTTCTTAGTTAGCCATGAAATGAATAGTTCTTTTTATAGGATGGGGGGCACTGGCAATGGGTTGGTGGGCCCAAAAAAAGGTTTGGGAGCCACTGGGCTAAAGAGTTGCTGGTGCTCTATCCCCTGGCATAATGGGATCATTTTTAAGAATATTCTGCAAAGGATTTTTTTTTTATGCTAGTTTCAAAGTCCTTGAATCCTGTTAATTTAGCTTCCATCTGTGCCACTGAACTCAAAGAGTGGCTGACCAGGGTGCTCAGAGATGGCAGTGCAGGGGAAGAAAATGCCTCTTCTTTTTTTTCTTCTAGCAATATGAAAGCGAAAGGGAAGAAAACGAAAGACACAAAGAAAAGCTCTGCTGCAAGAGGATCTTCAGAGCATCAAGCAATGGTATGTAGAAGCGCTTTAGATGTGCATCTTTTTTTACCACCTCTGTCAGCCCCAAGCTGTGTGAGAGGAAGGGAAGGGTAGATCTCCCAGGGCGGGAGGCAGGGAGAAGGGAAGCTCCCTTGTGAGAAGGTCCACCCCACTTCTGTGTGAGATAAGGGTTAAGACAGGCATAGGGAAACTTGGCCCTCCAGATGTTTTGGGACTACAACTCCCATCATCCATAGCTAACAGACCCGGTGGTCAGGGATGATGGGAATTGTAGTCCCAAAAAATCCTGGCAACTGTAGTTTAAGAATACAAGGCATTGTAGGCCTGCCATGGGAGAACGAGCTTTCCCATGATTCTTTGGAGGAAGTTATGTGCTCTAAATATGTGCTGTGGCTCTGCCCTTGTAAGGTGAAGTTACTGTATTTTTCGCTCTATAGGACGCACCGGACCACAGGACACACCCAGTTTTTAGAGGGGGAAGCTTCTCCCAGAGCTTCTCAGGGCTGCGGGGGAAGCCCGGGTTCCCCCCCCCCAGCCCCGAAGAGCAAAGAAGCCAAGATAGCGAGCGGGATCCATCCCGCTCGCTGCCTTGGCTTCTGCCATAGCCGGGCGCAACCTCTGCAGCCAGGAGAGGCTGCGCAAGGCTAAAGAAGCCAAAACAGTGAGCGGGATGGATCGCGCTCGCTGCCTTGGCTTCTTTAGCCTTGCACAGCCTCTCTGGCTGGAGAGGCTACTCGCGGCTATGGCAATCCCCCCACCTCCTGCAAAAGCCCACAGGAGCCGCGCACCCTTTAAGGAATGTGTGGCTCCTGCGGGCTTTTCTACGAGGAGGGAGAAGGGACTGACTGGCCACTTCAGTCCCTTCTCCCTCCTGGAGAAAAGCCCGCAAGAGCCGCACGAAGCTTGTGTGCAGCTCTTGGGGGCTTTTCCTGCCTGCCTCCCCCCTGCATTCACTCCATAGGACACACAGACTTTCCCCCTTAGTTTTTAAGAGGGAAAAAGTGTGTCCTATGGAGTGAAAAATACGGTAAATGTTTGTGCTGTTTGCAGGCAAAGAAGGCTCACAAATCTTCTTCTTCCCCACTGCCAGCATGAAGCTTCCCTCCAGTGCGTTACCTGCAGCTGCGAGTTCCAGTCGCGGAATAAGCTCTTCGAACATTTAAAAGCTACGGGCCACGCCAAAGCAGTCCAAGCGCCAGCCATGAACGGAGCCGTCAGCAACAGCAGCAGGAGCAAAAAGGAAAAGAGGCGGAACAGATAACAGGACTTTCTGAGATGTGCGAGAGGAACTCCTGACCGGTTTAAAGGGCCACCGTGCCAAAGGCCCCTCGCTTACCCCAAGGAGGCGCAGGATTGGCAGCATGAATTAAACAGGGTCAGAAACACCTAGCCCCGTAACACTGTGCTAGCGCATTGTTTAAATTGTTCCATGTTGTTGGGTTTCTGCCCCCACAAAAAAACCCCAGTCCTCCTTTAAAATCGATGCCTCAATTGCGCTAACATTTTATAACACCTCCCCCCCCCAAAAGCACAGCTACACCATTCATACAAAGAGGATCTTCCTTACTTGTAAGGAAAGCCATGTACAGGAAGAAGCAATAAATTATTTTACTGTACACTGCAGTTTATTTTTAGTGCATGCTGTTCAAAGCATTTCCTTGACTCCCCCGTCCTTATACAGTGGTACCTCGGGTTACATACGCTTCAGGTTAGAGACTCTGCTAACTCAGAAATAGTACCTCGGGTTAAGAACTTTGCTTCAGGATGAGAACAGAAATCGGGCTCCGGCGGCGCGGCAGCAGCAGGAGGCCCCATTAGCTAAAGTGGTGCTTCAGGTTAAGTGCGGACCTCCAGAACGAATTAATTTCTTAACCCGAGGTACCACTGTACACTATTCAGAACTGGGCTAAATTAATAAGACATGTGGAAAAGTAAATTCTGGTCCTGATGTAGCTATTGCAACACGGGGGTGAGTCCCAACCATGCCATTTACAGTTTAAAATTGGCTTCTGCCAGCCTGGTGCACCCCAGAGGTTTTAGACCAGGAACTCCTGCCAGCTGATGGGGGTTCAAAACATCTGGGTGACAGCTGTTTAAGGGTGTTAAAACCATTGGCTGCCCAGCTTCTGACCGGGAAGCCACACAGGCACTGCTTGAATCCACAAAATGAATGGGGCCCCCAATGGGCAGGTGCCAATTGGATGCCCCCCAGCTGCTTAAAGAAGGGCAGCTGTCACTCACATTCTAGGGACTGGTAGCAGCATTACTATTATTTCATTTCTATACTAAGGTATCTATACAAATATATCTATAAAGCACAGAGAATCTCAAATAAAACCAAAGCAGCTTGACATACGTTTAAGGAAATCGAAAGACCAAAAAAACTGGGTCATCTGACAATTTATACAAACCATAAATCTTGTTGCTCAGGAGGTTTGCTGCAACTACCAAGTCTTCAGGTGGCACAAGTTGGCGCAGCAAATGGGCTGCTACAATAAACGCGTCAACCGGTTGCAATTTGCTAGCTGCGGCAGTTCAATCTCAGGGATATTTGTTCTTCATTATGACGGCTGGTACAGCAAATGGGGTGCTTATTTTGCCTTTGCTGTTCTTTCCCTGTGTCTTGTTAAAGCGGCATGGAAAACGCCCAGGGCGAAGTCTGCGTCTTCCTTAGTGATGCACAGCGGAGGTTTGATTCTAAACGTCTTGGGAAGAGGAAGAAGCCGAAATGAGGAGGGGGAAACCAGAACAGCTCACATTAAATTGGCAGTAAAAAAAAGAAATATCTGGATACATACTGTGGTTACTAAATCGGAGTTGCTACAAAAAGGGGTGGGGAGGAAGCCACTATATACCATATTTTTTGCTCCATAAGACGCACTTTTTTCCTCCTAAAAAGTAAGGGGAAATGTGAGTGCGTCTTATGGAGCGAATGGCGCTGCGCAGAGAGGTAGAGCTGCGCAGCGCCCCTTCAGCGAAGCAGGAGGAGGAACGGAGCCCCTTCTGTTCCTCCTCCTGCTTCGCTGAAGGGGCGCTGCGCAGCTCTCCCTCTCTGCGCAGCGCCTGTCCTGCGAAGCAGGAGGAACAGAAGGGTCTCCTGTTCCTTCTCCAGCTTAGCTGAAGGGGCGCTGCACAGTTCTCCCTCTCAGAGAGGGAGAACTGCGCAGTGCCCCTTCAGCAACGCGCCTGTCCTGGCTTCTGCCTTAGCCGTGCGCAGCCTCTTCGGGCAGGGGGAGCCTTCATCCCGCTGCCCTGAAGAGGCTTGGCGCGGTTATCCCAGAAGCCAGAGCCCTCTTGCTGTTCTGGCTTCTGGGATTCAGAATAATTTTTTCTTGTTTTCCTCCTCCCAAAACTAGGTGCGCCTTATGGTCTGGTGCGTCTTTTGGAGCGAAAAATACGGTAGAAAGCCGGATTCAGTAATAAACAAAATGGCTGAAATCAGGAAACACAGGAGAGAGGGAGCCTAGGGTGTTGCATTGAACCAAGTCAGATCTAGCCCAGTGCTGCCTACACTGACTGGCAGAAAGCTTCCCAGAGTTTCAGGCGACAATCTTTCCCCACCCCTAGTTGGCAATTGAACCCTTTTGCATGAAAAAAACATGCCACCTAACTGCTGCCTTTTAAACAATTTATTTTGGGCAGCTGCTACACAGTGCCTCACAAGGGCCTAACTGCACATTATGTTAATGCTTTGATTGGCAACCGTGCCACTGCAGTTTGGAAAAATAAAATGCCAGGTTGTGGGGATAGGCATCAGCAGCACAGTATGGGGGGAGAGAGGAAATTCAAAGCTTTCTCCCTCCAGCTGCCATCTTATACACATACACATAATGCATGTCAATTAGCATTGCAGGGGGTGGGGATGCTTTCCTTAGGCCCCTACTGCTAATTCCCACACAGGGGTCATTTTATTTACTAAGACCGTGGCTTCAATTCCCTCTCCACTGATGCTGTAGCGCCATGAATGCTAATCACATTATTAATGTAGCTTGCAGTTGCCTAATATTTCTAACTTTACCAGTGCATAGCTCTGGGAAATTCTTGCTAAGCAGAGCTGTTAGAGAACTCTGGGCAAAGAGAAGAAGAAGAGTTTGGATTTGATATCCCACTTTATCACTACCCGAAGGAGTCTCAAAGCGGCTAACATTCTCCTTTCCCTTCCTCCCCCACAACAAACACTCTGTGAGGTGAGTGGGGCTGAGAGACTTTAAAGAAGTGTGACTAGCCCAAGGTCACCCAGCAGCTGCATGTGGGGGAGCAGGGAATCAAACCCAGTTCACCAGATTACGAGTCTACTGCTCTTAACCACTACACCACACTGGGGAAGGGGTGGGCTTGCTGGGTTCATATATCTTCCCAATGCCTTTCTCCGCTACTTCCAGACTGCAAAAAGTCCCAATCCTTTTCCAAAAGCGGTTCTCTTGCACTAGGGGAACAGAGAACGCTTTAAACCTTAATTGCTGCAGAATAGTGACATTCTCAAGGAGCCACGTTATCTATTCCGAAGTAAAGCCTATTGAATTCAATGGGGCTCCCTTCCAGGCTAAATCTGCCTGCCTGCCCTCCTTATGAGTTACTGGGAGCATGGCTTTGATGGACATGCTGAATGGGCCTTGGCTGGATCCAGTAGGCAGTTCTTAGGTGTTTATTCCGAACACCAAACCGCCCCCAAGGAAATGCAGCCATTGAGCAAATCCTGAATTGCCAACAGAGTGGCCCTTAATTCTGCTTGGCAAAATCAGATCAATGCGCTCCTGCTTTTCAGGCAGGAAGTAACAGGTTCAATCCCTGGCCTTTCCAGTTAGAAGGATCAGGCACCTGGTTCTTGGAAAGGCCTTTGCCTGAGACCCTGGAAAACAGCTTCCAGTCAGACAATACTGGGCTTGATGGACATAGAGTCTGCCCTGATATAGGACAGTTTTCCTGAATTCAGGGTTCACATATTAAAAAACAAACTAACTACGACCAGCAAGCATGCAGTTGTTTAGCAACTCCTGTCCCATCTAAAAAAAATAATGATTTTTCCCTCTCCGTGTTTTGTAGAGTCAAGCACACCTCTATTTTCTACTAGTATCTGTTTCATTATTTCATGTCTCAGTGCAGATTTTTGTGCTTTCCTGCTTTCCTGTGAAAGAAAGTCACTCAGCTTTGCATTTTTAGTGGCATTTGCTTTTATCCAACACCTAAGATAGGCATTGCTGCTACAGCTGCCTCTCTTTATAAACTGAATGTATCTATATATCTCGGATTTATATATATCATATATATATATAAGAATACCTGGAAAAACAATCCTCCCCGCCCAATCAGCACTCCCATATCTTTGCAGTCTTCCATGATTTGGTTTATCTCTTCAACTGGAAGCGGCTGACGAGTCTCCTGTGGAGAAAAAGTCAGCTTAGTTTTCTTCCACCTCTCCTGGTTCTTTTTAACCGAAACTCACAAACAGAAGTGAACTCACATCGATTATGCCATTATTACGTTTAGCCACTAGGTGGCACTGGACTTAAGTTTTAAATCTGGGTGGAGGCAAAGGTTTCCTGATGCTGAGAGAGAACTAAGTTCTGATCTGTCTTCCTGATTTGATTCCTCATTTTAAACCTTTTATGACAGAAGCTGTTAAATTGTCAGTGCCCTAACCCTGACAAGCCACTCCTGTCAGCAATTGGGCTGCAGCATTCTGCACTGCCTGCGGCTCCTGGATCAAGTGTGAGGGAAGCCCCACATAGAGAGCATTACCGTAATCTAGCTAGCAGCTGTGGAGTGTGGAGGGACTGTAGATATGGGCAACGCCTAGAAAAGAGACAAGCTCTTAGCCTGTCTGCACAGCGAGGCACGAGGCTTCACCAGCATAATAAACTCAACATAGAGCATGAAACAAGAGGAACATCTGTGGCATAGAGAGCCAGATATTCATTGGGCAAAACCAAGGCAAGAAGAGAGGCACCTAGGTAGCTCAGTTGGCTAGAGTGTGATGCTGATAATGCCAAGGTTGCAGGTTTGATCCCTGAATGAGACAGCGAAATATCCCTGCATTGCAGAGGGTTGGACTGGATGATCCTTAGGGTCTCTTCCCACTATGATTCTATGAGTTGCCACATCTCCAACTCACTAATCATTTGTAATGTGTAAACAATAAAAGCTGTGTCCAAATTTCAAACCCCCGTATCAGTGTCTGCCAACCACAAAGTGCAGCTCTGGCACTGAGAAGGCCCATACGATTAATTGGATGGTGATTTTTAGTGGCCTCCATAGTAGGCCTTTAGTTGTGACAGCCCAAGAGCTAAGACGAATCTGTAAGTCGAGGCTGCTTATACCATGATAGAGACCATTCCAGGCCCGCAAAGTGTCTTCCTGACCTTATTCTTGACCATCTCTATTCCAATCATCAGTCCTTTGCCACGGACATCTCCGACTATTTCAAACTCATCGCGCAGCTTAGCCAGCTCTAAGAGGAGGCGAGTCCCCACCTCCTCACTGTTTTTCTGCAAGCCGTCTTCTGCTATTGCCTGAGAACACAAAAGCCATGCAGGAAATCATCAAATTCTCTGAAATACCGTTGGCCAGGCACTTTTTAACTCTAAAGAAGGCAACAGCATGTGGAGTTAATCTGATACACCACTACTATGAGTGTAAATAACTGCTGCACAGAACATATGGATAATCCTGTCTTAAATATACAAGGGGGAAATGAGGCAAGGACAGGGAGCCTAGACTTTGTTGAATCAAGTGTCCTCCCACAGTTTCCAGAGCATTTTCCCATCGCTTGTTGCAAAAGATCTGATCTGCTTGGGAAGCGAGTTTGTTGCACAAGATATTAACGGCGCTTCCTGAATTTGCCAGAATGTGATTAAATCCCTCCCTAAAACATAGGGGACGTGGGTAGCGCTGTGGGTTAAACCACAGAGCCTAGGACTTGCCGCTCAGAAGGTCAGTGGTTCGAATCCCCGCGACGGGGTGAGCTCCCGTTGCTTGGTCCCTGCTCCTGCCAACCTAGCAGTTCAAAAGCACGTCAAAGTGCAAGTAGATAAATAGGTACCACTCCGGCAGGAAGGTAAACAGAATTTCCGTGCGCTGCTCTGGTTCGCTGGCCACATGACCCGGAAGCTGTACACCGGCTCCCTCAGCCAATAAAGCGAGATGAGTGCCGCAACCCCAGAGTCGGTCCACAACTGGACCTAATGGTCAGGGGTCCCTTTACCTTTTCCTAAAACATAGAGACAGTCTGGAAGTACCTAAGGATGGTGGTGTACTGCAGTGTTAAGATGAAAGACTCATGGTGTATATGCTACAGTTCCCCATAGATAAAGATGCAAGTCAGAGTCATTTTCTTACATCCAGAACTGCAGACCCAACTGCACAGGCCACAGGATTTCCTCCAAATGTGTTGAAATGCAGGTTTTGAGCCAAGGCTTCTGCAATTTCTGAAAAACAAAGCATGCCAGTATTCATAATTGAAACATTATAGTAAATAATTAAAGGCAGCAGCTGATGCTGTAGAGCAAGGGTTCCCAAACTGTGGTTCATGGACTGAGCTTCATCCAGGTGGTCTGTGGATGTCATGGACCGGTTGGATGCAGAGGAATGGTGGGAGGAACCAGCTGGGGATCCCAAGGGAAGAAGGCTCAGAGCCCGGGGATTAGTGGTAGGATAATGATGAGTGGCCCGAGGAAGAAGACTGGGAGGAGGTGGTGTCAGAAGCTGAAGAGGCAGCAGGGCTTAGTATGCAGGGGGAGTCTGTGGCAGAGAGAAGTCCAGAATCAGAAGTGGAAGCAGGAGAGGAGGGAGACTAAGAGGCAGAGATAAGTCAGACTGGTGAGAAGGTATGGATGTCTCCTCCTCCTGCAGTGACAAGCTCCTCTCCCATCTGGTCTCCCAGGACCAGGAGAGGCATGAAAAGGGCAGGGAGAAGTTAGCGTCAAGCAGGCACAGTCTCAGATTGCTTGGGAAAACCACAGAGAGGAGGGGGCTTAGGCAGCTATGGGGAGGCGGGGACCTTCAGTCTCTGCAACTGCTTCATGGGGGCAAGACCTACTGGTGATGTGTTGCTGTGCTCATTAGGACTTACCCACCCACCCCGGTGCAGATCCTGTTTTTGCTAATAAAGAGTTAAATTCAACTTGCTCAGTGTGATTTACTGCTGTCTCATTCCTGCCAATGGTATGTCTGCATTGAATATTCATGCTGATTTTTTAGTAGTATCTCTATTGCTTTTTTTATTTCTTACATTATAATGCAACATAAGAAATAAAAGAAGCAATAAAATTACAATTAAAAAATCCTCCAGCATATTGCAAAGCACATTACAATTCCTACAACAGGCGGGAAAATTGTTAAGTGGTCCGCCAAGACCCTCAGCAATTCTGAAGTGGTCCATAGGCGGTGAGAATTGGGAACCACTGCCCTAGACAAAGCATGGAAGCAAAGGTCCGTTCTCACCAAACAGCCACGAGAGCCCTGTTAAAACCCCAATTATTCAAGACTTTAACATCTGAAGTATGAAAGTCATTTGCACCTGCTGTACTGACAACGGCTCCCATTGGAAACCCATTGCCAATTCCCTTTGCCATGGTGACAATGTCAGGAACCACATCGTGTCCTTCAAATCCCCAGAAATGGCTGCCTGTTCGACCAAACCCCGTCTGAACCTTCAAAGAACAAAGAATTTTTTTTATTTTAAAAAAAGTTGCTTCGTATGTTTTGGGCTTGTAGTTCACACAATACAGATTTCTTTCACAGATAACATTTCTCTAGAGGAATTGTGTGCTCCCAGTGTGTGCGTTGCCACAGGTGATGAGCACACAGTTATTTCACCACACATACCAGCTTGTAGGAATCCTCTGCAACTGGGTCACATATACTGTGTATGTGCATGCAAGGCTCACATGAAACTGTATACCAGGGTGCATGCTGCAAAATGGTCGAAGAGGCTGTTGGATCAAGCCAGTGGCCGACCAGATAGATTTGAGAAACTTGCAATGTGGATATCGGCACAAGAGCACTCTCTTCTCCTGTTGTTTCCAGCGACAGATATTCAGGAGCATTACTGCTCCAACTGTGGCGGCCGAGCATAGCCATCATGACTAAGTAGCCACTGATATTTCTCTCTCTCCACAAATTCATCTAATTCTCTTTAAGAGTTATCCAAGCTGGTTGCCATTATTGCATCCTGTGGCAGTGAGTTCCATAGTTTAACTACGTGCTGCATGAAGAAGGACTTTGTTTTATCTGCCCTGAATTTTTCAACATTCAGCTTTGTTGGATATCCACGGGTTCTAGTGTTATATGAGAGGGAGAAAAACTTTACTCACTGAGAAGATACCCAGCTTTGTAAAGCTGCCTAATCCGTTTTATCCAGCCTGTTTGGGACCAAAGGCTGCATTATTCCAGAGGGAAAGTGTCAGGAACTTTGCTCCCGTATGAGTGGGGCCAGTTTCCCACACGATCACACACCCTTCACTCTCTCATGCACCAAGTTATTTCCCATGGAAATAAAGGAATATGTATAATTCTAGGTAACTCCTATGTCCTTCACAATATGTTTTTCAAAAACAGATGTGTATAAATCTTTGGATAGGGGAAGTTAAGTTCAAAGTACTCACTTCATCTGCGATGCACACACCACCTTTTTCACGCACCAGCTGAAAAGCCTCTTTCAGGAATCCCTTGGGGTACTGAACTGTTCCGTTGACACCCTGCCAAAAGAACACACACACAAAAGACACTGGTTTAGTGGCCAACAGCAGCTCCACCTTAGTGGAAATGTGTTTCCACTTGTGTAAGCTGGGGCACCTGATTTCCACTGATACCCTCCCCCAGGAACCACAGCTCTCAGCACCATATTCCGCTCTGTTCCAGGTGGTCCCCCACCTCTCAGGAGCAGCTTTTGTAGAGAGCAATCAGCAAAATCCAAGTCCCCAGACTTGTAGCAGAGCATGCTTCAACCATACAACAAACTTGCCACTATTCTATGCAGCAAAACATGGAAGCAAAAGGATGCATGTTTTCACTTGTGTCAGAATTTTACTTTACATTTACTTTAAATCGTGCTTTGAGAGGGGCATTTGGTTGCAGCCAGTGGTGGCTTGTGCCCGCAGGACAAAAGGCAGGAATTCAAACAGTTGGTGGAGTCAGAATCAGTCACAGGCAGAGCCAAGAAATTCTAGTTTGGTCCCCCCCCTCCTCCACCTCCCTGTTGACTTCTACAAAGGACAAGGCTGATACTAAGGAGCAGGAAGGCGACAGGCCAAACAAACCATAGTTAAGCTAGGCTTACCAGATATCCCTGGTTTCCAGGGACGGTCCCCGGATTTGCAAATCTGTCCCCGGACAAATTCCGTCCCCAGAATGTCTCCAGATTTGCAAATCTGTCCCCGGGAAACATGGCAGCGGCAGCCTCAGCAGCCCAGAGTCAGCCTGGTAGCACAGTTGGCTCTGGCTGGCTTCAAGAGCTGCTTGCTGCTCGCTGCCATGGCGCCCGCCTTTTTTCCTTGCCGGAACTTCCAGCGAGGAAAAATGGCGGGTGCCATGGCAGCGAGCAGCTCCTAAAGCCAGCCAGAGCTAACTGTGCTACCAGGCTGACTCTGGGCTGCTGAGACTGCTGCTGCCACTGCCGAAAGGGAACCGAGGATGTCCGGCAGTACAGATCTCCTGCCCCCTTCCCCCTTTGTTTTGACTGATTGGAGGAGGCTCGGAAGTTGCGGGTGGGCAGCCGTTGCCCAGTTTTTTAAAAACTCTGCGCATTTATGTTTCACAGGGTGCGAAAGAAAGGCTTTGCACCTTTATACAATATGCATGTGTGCTTAGGCCCAGGGTCTTTTGCCTCATTCAGAAATGAAATGAAATGAAATATCCCCGGATTCATTGAAAAAAATCTGGTAACCATAAATTAAGCAAGGCTGTTAGGTTTGGACATAAGAAACCACAGACAAAACAAGCCTTGGTTTGTCAGCCAACTACAAACCATCTTGGTTTGCTGGCAGAAAACAAACATGGTTACTCTGCTGGGCTGGGTTTGCCCATTACAAAACACATTGGCTAAACAAACCATGGCTTATGTGCAAACCAATCCACTGACATAGCATGCTATTACTACAAAGGGAATGACTTACTTGAATTGGCTCAGCAATAAATCCAGCTATGGCCTTTGGAACACAAGTCGTGAGAGTGTCTTTGAGCTGCTCAATATACTGGTCTTTTGCATGGCAAGTGCCTGTATCGAGAGGATGGGGAGGGAGAACAAAACATTCACATGCAATAGAGGCCAAGGGTGGCTTCTAATGCTGCTTTTATAAAAATAAAATATCCACCATGCATTTTGGTAACATCTAAATAACCTAGGTTGGTCCAACCACCCGCATCTAAATTCCCATACTCCAGAGGTTGGCAGAATACATGTAATCTGAATACAAAGACATATATGTCGTCCATTTCCCCTTCTATTTCCAATTTTCAGCTCTAGCAGCAGAGTCCTATGCCTGCCTGCTCAGAAATAAATCCCATTGAGCTGAATAGAGATTACTCACAGGACTGCAGCAAAACAAGTGGGGCAAAAGCTAGAGCTATGACAACTGTTATTACTCCTAGAGGAAATACCGTATACTGCACATAAATGAGCTAGTTTCCAAATCTAAATAGCCATTTGATCTATGTCCTATCCATAATTTGCAGTAGCAAACTCAGACTGTGTACACACATACCTGGAAGGAAGTACCATTTCACAGGTCCCACTTGCACCTTTTAAAAGCGCAACTGGAATTGGATCGGGGGAGTTTGGCCACCATCCACGTTTGCCAACTCTTCACACTTAATCCCAGTCCACCAACACCCCTTTGTCCTCAGGGCAGCTCTCCAAAGTGCCCAATTCTCAGCATGAAACACTTAGCAAAGAGCAGCACTTTAAAGGGAATTATGACGGAGAGCTTGATGTTGTAAATTTCAACTTGCCCTGTCCCCAGAATGCCCCCTTTGGAGGGGACTTGTGCTGGCTGAGCTGGCATAGAGTTACACTGGCACATCCCCAGCAAAGATGGGATGAGGGAGTTGTGTTGCAGTAGCTGTTTTTCAGCTTCAGCCCAAGACCCACCCATTCCAAACTCGCTCATCCCAGCGGCTCTCAGGTTTGGATTTCACTGTCAGTACAATCATATCTCGGGACGCGGGTGGCGCTGTGAGTTAAACCGCAGAGCCTAGGGCTTGCCGATCAGAAGGTCGGCGGTTCGAATCCCCGCAATGGGGTGAGCTCCCGTTGCTCGGTCCCTGCTCCTGCCAACCTAGCAGTTCAAAAGCAAGTCAAAGTGCAAGTAGATAAATAGGTACCACTCCGGTGAGAAGGTAAACAGCGTTTCCGTGCGCTGCTCTGGTTCACCAGAAGCAGCTTAGTCATGCTGGCCACATGACCCGGAAGCTGTACGCTGGCTCCCTCGGCCAGTAAAGCAAGATGAGCGCCGCAACCCCAGAGTTGTCCGCGACTAGACCTAATGGTCAGGGGGTCCCTTTATCTTTACCATCATATCTGAGAGATATACTTTACATGCAGGAGGTGCCAAGTTCACTCTACACCCACAGTTAAAAGGATATTTGCCTTGCAAAACTGCTGTCAGAACTAATGGTCTGGCAGTGCATGAGACGGTTGCAGATGTGCATCTGCCCTAGGCATATCCAGTTTACTGCACTGAACCACCATGGTGTCATTCTCTTTCACCTCTGAAAATCAAGGCCTCTCTCATTGAAACAACCTGCAGAACAGGTGCATTTTCGAATGGTTTGCACCGGAGAATCTCGACAATGGCTTCCCCCCCAGGGACCACGAAAAACGTCAGGCAGCATTGTCTGAAAAAGCACAACAGAGATATAGGTGTTGCAACGGGATTAACTGGCTATGTCAGGATTTTATGCTATTTTTCACATTTTGATCTGAGATATTCACTCATCAAAATGCTGGTACAGCCTAATTTCATAGATACAAAACATTTTGGCCACCAGCAGAAAGTTCAGTCTTCATGAAAAAGTGATCAAAAGATACCTGTATTTAGAACCAACCCAACTGTATTGTCTTTGATTGAAAATGGAGCAAATTCCTCATTGTGCATTTTGTAAAACTTGGAGCAACTCAGAAGACTGCACATTGCTATACTATACTTACAGAATGTAGGTCTGATTTAAAAAGGGGAGAGGAGGTATAATTCTCTTCTCTGTTACCAGAGTGAAAGCACTGTATTAAAGTGTCTAGTATTCTATTTTTTAAATTATTTATAGCCTTCCACACATACATCTCAAGGCAATGTACTAGACACAATAAAGCAGCTAAAAGACAATGGAAAACAACACAGAAAGCAGCAGATATCTTAAAATAAAAATACAACGTAGAGACCTATGGCAGAGAAACTCTCCTGCAGACCGCATTAATCAACTGGATGCATAAACAACCTGGTCCTGAGCTATTTGTGGCCTTATATGTCAGTGCCAATACTTTGAGCTTGGCCCATAGCAGATTGGCAGCCTCTGAACCAACCTGAAGAGTAGCATCACATAGGGAGATTTAGGAAAAGTCAAGCAAGTAAGATGTTTGTTGTGCAACAAATGAGGAGGGAAGCAGCAAGAACCTCACCTTTTGGCAGCCAAGCCCATTGGCAAGCCCATGTTTGTAACATCCAATAGATGACAAGCCCATTGTGTAAGCACTGCTCCCATGGTAGCCTCCTCTGTAGAAAAAAACCACCACAACCACTTTCAATCCCTTCTGATTAATCTCCCTGTGACTGTCTTTACAAATCAGAAAGAAACAAGAATAATTAAAAGAAAGGCAAGCTTCTGAACTGCACAGAAACCGTCTTCAGCAACCAGTACTGAGAGCTAACAACAGAAAACCCTTCTGGCTTCTCAGTGCTTTGTCTTTACCAAACTGATCTGAAGAGGATGAATGTTAAATACACAAAATTGCTAAGTTTGTGCTAGCAACCAGCAAGCACTAGTAAGCATAAATTTGCATTGCAAAATGTTGCCTATTGCGCTTGGAATCATCTATAGAGAAAGTGGATGAAGCAAAGTTTTTTCTCCATCCCTCATAACACTAGAACTTGGGAACAACCAATGAATCTGAATGTTGGAAGATTATGTACTTCTCTACACAGAGCATAAATTATGGAATGAGATTCCACAAGAGGCAGCACTGGCCACCAAGCTGGATGACTTGCAATGAGGATTAGGAAGATTCATACAGGAAATGGCTATAAGCGTCTACTAACCATGGTGGATATGTTTTTCCTCCATTATTTGAGGCAGTATGTTTCTGAAATACAGCTGCTCGAAACACCAAGAGGGGAATGTTCTTGCACTCAAGTTTTGCTTATAGTTGGCCACTGTGAAAACAGGATGCGGGATGAGAATGGCCACTGGCCTAATCCAGTAGTGCCTTTCTTATGTTTTTAAGTAGCATCAACCTGGGCATTTAACATCTTCTTATCTTGATTTTCTTACTTTGAACACCTGTGGTTCAGCAAGAGTTCTATGAAACTCAAGAGCTCAAACCCAAGAATTTGAACATGTTTTGGCCAAATAAGAGATCACTTCAACCTGCTCCATGTTTCATGCTGAACTTAGAGGTACTCTGATCAGTTCAGGGTTTGTGCTAGTTCAGCAGCCTTTGGCATCTTGGATGGGCGCAAGACCCCCTCTTTCACTTCTGTATGAATCTCGCTATTCCAAGGCATGCCAGAAGAAAGCATGAATTTTCAGTAAATTAGAAGAATCCTAAACATTAGGTCCCATTTAGAGGACCATTCTGGGCTGTTGACCAGTAATCTGTTTTAAAAAGGAATTGCCAGCCAGTAACACAACAAACTCTAGAAAAAATAGATGAAGATACGTGATCGAACAGTACTTTGTTTCAGGGGAATTAAAGATAAAATTGCAGCAGAAGAGGGCAGATAGGAACATCTGGACATAAATATCTCCAACCTAGTTATGGAACAAGGGAAATCTGCTCACCCCTATATGGAACATAAAAACAGATCACAATATACCCAGATATCTAGAATGTTGATGTGTGCTTTAATCTGTTTTTATTTTATTGCTGGTTTTATTTTTTTAATGTTTTGAATTGTTGCCTTTAACTGTTTTTACCAATAATTTTATTGTTTTATTCTTTGTGTAAAGCCTTTCCTACTCCCAGGAGGGAAGGGGTTGTGAGCGGGAGCCGATTCCTGCGTCATGCGGAGGCGCCCCCTGCTTCAACTCCAGGGCTGGCGCCACGCCCCTCCCCAGTTGGGCACCCAATAGGAGAGCTCGACAGGGGCGTGGCTTGCTGCTCAAACGCAGCTGCACCAGCCATCCCCACCATTGCACACACATTTTCTTCGGGGGCAAGGTGTGGCCATCGCCTTCCCTGACAATTTTGGGTATTCCGCTAAAGGAATCCAGTGGTCGTGGATCCTGTCCGATGCCCGTGTGGCGGGGGGCCATGGCACGACCCTCGGTGACATCAGGAACAGAGCCTATAGTTGGATTAGCATCAAGAGGCTTCCCCTACTGGTGGTTAACCCCTCCTCAGACTCACCCCTCTATGAGTGGGTGGAGTCTAATGTTCCGTGGTCCAATGCCTAAGCCAATACCTTCTTACATGCTGTAATCAATAAAGTTGTGGCCTTTACCTTACCCCTTAACCTTACATTCTGTGTCTTTATTCCCCAAGCGGGGATCGGGTCCTCGAATCACAAATCACTTTGAGGTTTCCTTACAACCAAACAGTGCATGGATTTTTTGAAATAAAAACAAGTAACTAATATACAAGGTGTGATAGCTACCTCAATCCAATGATGTCAAAGTTGCGTGTAAAAACCCTTGCCATTAACATGGCGAGGTCGTTGGCTTCCGAACCACTGTTGGTTAGGAAAATCACCTAGAACAAAGATATTTGTCAGAATGCAGATTTAGGGAGAAAAGAAGCAAAGTTAAGTGCATATCTATTCTAATGCACAGTTAACAATCTGGCACAGTGCAAACACCATGGATTATATTCAATGCAGCTTTAAGTACTTCGTTCCAGGTGGAGAATGGCTTCTACTTGCGCAATGGGACTTTCCCCTGCCACTCCCTCTGTGTCTGCCTGAATCTGTTCTGGGGTTCCCCTCAAACCTCTGGAGTAGATTTGGGAATTGTCTGTGGTGCATGCAGGGGCAGGAGGGGTAGGAAAACCCCCTTTGCATTTAGAAGTCATCAGTTCTTGCAATTTAGTTAAATACCACCCAAGGGTTATGATTCCACTATTTCAGGCATAGGCAAACTCGGCTCTCCAGATGTTTTTGGCCTACAACTCCCATGATCCCTAGCTAGCAGGACCAGTGGTCAAGGATGATAGGAATTGTAGTCCCAAAACATCCAGAGGGCCGAGTTTGCCTCTGCCTGCACTATATCTTCTGAAATATATATATATATATATATATATATATATATATATATATATATATTCATGGGGGGTGGGGGTGGAATTACATCCCTGACTGACCCTCCTAGCTCAGAGCATCACCGTAACCCACACATTTCGAACTCAGTTTTCTCACTGTACAACTCAGCGTACCTTTAAGGGAGCTGGAAGCAACGAGGCCAGTTTCTCTCCATATTCCTGGATTGCTGCGTGCGCATAGAGGCTGCTTGTGTGCCACAAGCGACCAAGCTGTTTCTGGGCAGCTGCTGTTACCTTCCTGGGTGTGTTTGGAAAAAATGTGATGATTTAAGTCTTTGATCCAATTTGTTTTGATCCAAACCACACACCCCCACCTTTAAGAGCAAACTTAGTTTAGTTTCATGCTGTTAAATTAGGTTAGCAATCCATATTGCTTTATATATATTTATATATGTTGCACAAACTATTTTCTGTATTTATTGTGATTGTTATTATTTGTTAATATGTTAGTTAATAATATTATGTTTGTTTGTTTTTTACTTGTCATTTCTTCCTTGGGTAAGTTAGCAGCCACTTTAGGCACAAGATGCTTAAATTAAATTTCTAGCTTTCTGAAACTGGTTGGAATGTTGTTGAGCCTTAAGCTTGTTTTGAATTGATGTTTTGTGCTTCTGCTATTGCTACATTACTGTTACTGTGCTCTGTAATTTTTTTTCATAGTGTCATGTTTATGTGTAAACTGTTTTGAGGTCACTTGGGATGAAAAGTCATACATTACAGTAAGTAAGTAATGAAATAAAGTGGATACGGCATTGCACCAAAATATTAGTTGGCTACAGTTTAGCCCAATAAACAGATACATAAGCAACATGTTGCTGCAAAGTCACAGAGCTCATCTGTTGTAGCATAACTACAGAATCTAGCCTTTGAAACTGTTGCTGTTATGCCCTTTTATAAACAACCCAGGAAACTGTGCAATACAGAAACTTAAAAAAAGCAATACCAACAAACAGTAGCATCATATTGAGCTGAAATATTTCATGGACAAGAGTTTGCTTCATCAGGTGCATAAAGCTTGCTTCTGGCTAGATATAGTTAGGATTGCACGGCAAACCTTTGGTCCTCCAGATGTTGCTGGACAATTCCCATCATTCCTGGCCATTGGCCATACTTGGTAGGAGTGATGGGAGTTACAGTTATATAGTTATATAGTTTGGTAAGAGCTGTTCGACAGGTGGTGAACTCTCCTTCACTGGAGGTTTTTATGTGAAGGTTGGATGGCCGTCTGTCATGGGTGCTTTAGTTGAAATTCCTGCATTGCAGGAGGTTGGACTAGATGATCCTTAGGATCCCTTCCAACTCTACAGTTTTATGATTCTAACACCTGCAGTGCCAAAGGTCCCCGACCCCTGATTTACACACATGTAAAAGGAGAAAAACTACCAACAGTGGGGCCAAATGGCCATGAAATGCAAGAAGTGTCACCTGTGACAATTCTGTGTAATGCATAACACACCCAAGAGCTGTAACAGGTGATAAGCAGCAAGAATCACCTGTCAGTTTTTATGGAAAAGCTTCAAGCTGATTAGCATGAACAAGGTTGCCTTTCGAAAGGCAACATTTACATGGCACTACTAAACAAAAATCACTCAGTACACCTCTGTGACATCAGAGTAGGTAAGCCAATGGTAACAAGAGCAGTTGTGACATCTCTACCTGCCCAGATTCACTGTGGCACCCAAGCAAATACCCAGCTTGCCTGCAGATGACACTCAGGGCTCATTCATACTAATTTTCCTCTGCGCTTTCTAGGCACAAATCTGTGCTTTTCCGGTCCATGTCCCACATGAAAGCCCACTCTTTAATGCTCATGTCCATCTGCAGAAAATCTGAATTGCTGTTTGTTCCAATTCAGCATTCAAGAGCAGGTTTCCATTGGGAAAGCGGAGGGGAGGGGGAAGTGCTCAAACATGGACTGGGAAAGTGCTTACCTGTGCTTAGAAAATGTGGGGCAAAAGTTAAGTGTGGATAAGCCCTCATTAGCCATGGTCTGTAACCATGCTAGTGGAATTTTGCAGATTATTAGACAGTGGGATTAACCACATACTTACGGGTGGCAGTGCCCAACACTAACAGTGGCAATTCCAGCAAAGAGATCAAGGTATCGACGTCCTTCTAAGTCAAACACCCACTGCATATGCCCCTGATGGATAAGCAGTGGCTTCTTGTAGTAAGTGAGCAAGCAGGGGGACACATTCTGCTTGCGGATCTTCAGCATCTGCTCGTAGGGATAGGACTGCAAGGAGGATGCACAAAAAGGCATTTGTAGATTTATTTCCATTGTAGAGACCTGACCCCCATCATAATCAGTTGAGTAATCTGATTGTATCAACATAGTACAGCTTTGAAGTATCTGTCTGCTAATCTGGGCTGGGTAGAAAGTGCCCCAAACTCTCCCTGAGCCACTGAGAAAATAGAGCCACATATACAATACAACCACTTCAAAAAAAAATTATGTTTCATATGTTCATTAGTAACACTAAATGGATGCCCACTTCAAAGTTTTTAGCTTGGTTTACTAAATACAAGCAAAATAAACATGCTACTCTCTAGGGCATCAAGACAATTTTCCAATGCAAACTGAATTTTCCAGTTTGAAACTTCCCAGAAAACTCACATCACTGGCTGCACACCTATGTACACCTACGGTATATGGGAATGTAAGCCCCTTTGAACTCAATGGGACTTGTTTCCAAGTAGGCACATATACAATTGTACAGTTAGCCTGCATTAAGCATCCTCTGCCTATGCAGTGTGCACAAAACCTTGCTGAGAACTAGCAACACAGCAAAGCCCTCCAAACCCTATCCACCCACAAACAGGACTAGCAACTCACACACTTACCTCATATTTTTCAGGTAAAAAGCCACAAGGAGGCATTTTTGACTGCAGGCGGCAAGAGTTTTGCAGCTTCTGTTGCCTGTATACCTCTAATTAAAAATGCAAATTGTTAGGATTATCCACACATATCAGTGTAACCCTCTGAAGTGCAATTTATTTATTCCAGTGTCATGTGACAAGCAGTTTTAACATTTTTCCTGCTGAGATACTGTGAAGCAGGCTTGGCAGAAAGTCAGTGGCTGGCCTAAAGTCACGGTAAGTGTTACGCTTGAGCAAGGATTGGAACCAAAGTCCAAAGTGTAATACCCCACCCACTGTACCACATTGGCATCAGAAACTATTCTTCTAGCACAGACTTCCCCTGTCCACAGATGTTATTAGACTCCCTCTCCCATCAGCCCCTGCCAGCATGCCCAATGCTCAAGGAGGATGGGAGTGGCAGGCCAAAAACATCTGGAGGGAACAAGGCTGGGGAAGCCAGTTCTAAGACAAATCAATGTGGACCAGAATGACCCTGTACACACAGTGCTTTTGGCCTTAAGTGGAATGAGTCCTCTAAGGTGGCCCTAAAATTGCTTCTTTCCCTTCTTGCAGCAGACCAGGGTGGGCTGGAAAAGCAGGTGCAGTTTGTATGCTTGGAGTGTTGTCAGGGGATGAGATGCACATCAGATATGCGAAGAAGCAGCTCCTGCAAATGCACCTAGTTTACAATTATGTGCATTATAAAAATGCCACCACTTTGGGCAGTGGTCCAGTTAGGTAATTTTAAGCTCTGGACTGAAAGGTTGTAGATGGCAATGCGAATTCTTTAATTCAGAGTTTGTGCCGCTCAAGCATGCAAATTTTGCGCAGCATCCACACGACATCTTCCTTGTCAAAATGCTGCCCTATTTTATTTTCCCATTTAATTCTGATCTGTTGTTTTCATGGAAAAGCAAAATGTAAAAAAGAAAGTGAAACTTTGGGATGTGTTATTATTATTATTATTAATAATAATAATAATAATACCCCGCCCACCTGGCTGGGTATCCCCAGCCACTCTGGGCAGCTTACAGCACTTAAAAAAATGGCGAAGCATCAAACATTAAAAACTTCCCTAAACAGGGCTGCCTTCAGATGTCTTCTAAAAGTCAGATAGTTGTTTATTGCCTTGACATCTGGTGGGAGGGCATTCCACAGGCCGGGTGCCACTACCGAGAAGGCCCTCTGCCTGGTTCCCTGTAACCTCACTTCTTGCAGTGAGGAACCGCCAGAAGGCTCTTGGAGCTGGACCTCCTAGTGCTTCAGAGAAGCAGGAGTTCTGAAGCCCCCCCAAATCACACTGGTCCAAATACCACACTCCTGCCGTTGCCCTGCCCCCAACATCTGGTAATGAAGGGGACACTGGTTCTGAACATGGAGGTTTCAATCAGCCATCATACCTACTTGAATGTGCTTCAGGCTGAGTGCTTTCGGGTTGCGCTCCGCGGCAACCCGGAAGTAATGGAGCGCGTTACGTCCAGATTTCGCAGCTCGCGCATGCACAGATGCTCAAAATGTCACGCGCATGCGTGGAAGCGGCGAAATGCGACCCACACATGTGCAGAAGCGCCATGGCGTCTTACGTTCCATTCAGGATGCGAACGGGGCTCTGGAATGGATCCTGTTCACATCCCAAGGTAGCACTGTATATGCATCCTCCATGAACTGTAATGTTGAATTCAGTTGGGATAGCTCAGTCAGCAGTGCATGAAACTTAATCTCAAAGTCATGGGTTGAAGCCCCAGGTTGGGCAAAACATTCCCCTATTGTAGGGGTTGGGCTGGAGGATCCTCATGGTCCCATCCATGCCTACAGTTCCATGATTCTACAATGCACGTTATCTTGAGAGTAAAGCAGGCCAGATGCAAAAGACGACGGGGCTTCTGCACCTTTTAATAAGCTGTGAAGAAGAGGGAATTTCAGCACCTGCTGAAAACGCTTCTTCTACAAGGCTGTTAAAGGCAAGCGAGTTCCATCTTTTGCATCTACCCCCCCCTAAAAAAAACCTGGGGGCAAGTCCCACTCAGTGGCGTAGCGTGGGGGGTGCAGGGGGAGGCCGGCCGCACCGGGCGCAACATGGGGGGGCGCGCTCTCTCTGCCCCTACCTAAAATCCACGGGTTAGGGGGCGCAAATTACTTGCCTTGCCCCGGGTGCTGACAACCCACGCTACGCCACTGGTCCCACTGAATATATACCGAGCATTTATATACCGCTTAATATTTCAAAAAAGATCTCTAAGCGGTTCCACAATACAGCCACTTTTTCACTTCCCAGTAAACGCGCTGAGGGTTTAGCAGCATTTAAGGCAGCGGGCCCAGGTCCCGACCCTCAGTCCCTCCTGAGGCAGCGAGTTCCGCAGATTAACCAGCTCTGCCCGCGCGCGAAAAAGCGCGCTCTCCATAGTGCCGGCTCCAAACCTCCTTCTACCTGTCGGCTTCGGCAGCCACCTTCGCTAGCGGGGCCGCGTGGGTGCAAATCGCCCTGCCGGCAGGAGGCTCCCTGGCCGGTACGCATTGAAGGGGAAAGGAGAGGTGTGGTAACAAAAGCCACGCTCTATGGCGGCCTGAGGCGCTTCCAGTCGCTCATGCCCTTCCCAGACGACGCCAAAGAGCGCGCGCGAGGGCGGGCGGGTCTGGCGAGCGACCTCCGCGCACTTATCTAAGAGGGAAAGAAGAGCGTCGTTGCGTGGTGGTGCGAATCCTCAAAGCCACTTTCCACTGTGTAAAGCCGCCGCGCAAAGGATGGCTATTCGGAGGGAGCGCGCTCTGCACGCCCTCAGAGGCGCGCTCTTGCTCCCCCCCCCCGCCCGAGGAACGAGAAACGCTCCTGGGCTGAGGCGCGAGCAAAGCTCCGCTCTCCGGCTGTGCCAGAGGGTGCCGCTTCCACACACACCCCAGCAGCCCCTCCGGCCTTTCCCGCCCCCCGACGCCGCCCCTTACCTCCCCCCGCCGCGCCGGGCCTGTTTCCCGCCCAGAGCCAGGCCAGGCGGGGCTTCTGGCCCAGGAGCGCCCCTCGGAGCCGAGCCGCGACCATCCTTTCTCTCTCTCTCGCTCCGAAACAGCAGGCCGCGGAGGGCGAGGTGGGCTTTAAGGTCCGCGCGCGCCACCAATGGCAGCCGAGTAGCGGCCGCCGCCCCTCGCTGGAAGGGGTGGCTTGAGGCCGCGGTCAAGTGGGTGCTGCCCCCGGAGTCCGGCCTTCCCTCAGAAGCCTGGTTTTGAGAAGTCCAGGATTAACTGAGAAGGAACTTCGCCCTGAGGGCGTGTGCGTGCGCAAACTTCTCTGAGCACGTGCAGAGTGTTAACCCCCAAGGCTTGCTTGTTAAAGGTTGACCTGCAAATCCTTCCCTTCTCATTCATTCCAAGTGTGTATGAGAAACAGTTTGGAAGGCAAGGCAGAAATGAGTAAGCCAAGAGTTGACTGGGAGCAAAGCACCTGGGGGTAATGGGATTCCTCTTTGCCTTTACTTATGCATCATCTGTATGTTTGTTAGCTTATGTTTGTTAATGTTACTTACAGCTGCAGCCACTTTAAATCAGGACATGACCTGGTATTGGGTCCCAATGCACTGGCTGAAGGCCATGCATTACAGATTTCCTGTTTATTAAGCATTGATCCAGATTTGGTTGTGCAAAGCTTGCACGGAGGTTAGACTATGTCCGCTCTTTATTGAGCATTTGTTCTGATTTGTTTGTGAGGAGCATTCTTCCTGGCGAATCATTAATTCAATCCACACTTTCCAATGCATTTCCCCATCACCCTAACCACAAAAACCTGAGGTTGTTTTTTTTAAAGTTGATTACTTGTGTTACAGCAGCAACTGAGGGATTTCAACCAGTTTGATTACATGGACCTGAATTTCCAGTATGTGCTTGAATCCAAAATATAAGCTACTTAGTTGAGTGTTTTGCTGGAAGCCCAGATGACCTGTTACGAAACTGGAGAGATGCCACTTTTGAATATGGAGCATGAATGAAGACCTCGGATCTCCTACGTCAGGCATAGGCAAACTCGGCCCTCCAGATGTTTTGGCACTACAACTCCCATCATCCCAGTGGTCAGGGATGATGGGAGTTGTAGTCCCCAAACATCTGGAGGGCCGAGTTTGCCTATGCCTGTCCTACATCTTCAGTTCAAAACTGCTGCCTTTCCTTTGTCTCCCCTCCTTTATTCTTTGGCCATTCCAGAACACTGACATGGCTGAACCCTTCTCCTAGTCTGGATTCCAAACCATACAAGGCCACACTGCACTGGTGGCTCTTCTAGAGGAAGACCAACAGGCCATGAATAATCTTCAAGAAATGGTTCAACAGTTATGTAATAGTTGTCTGGATTGTATAGATTGATTTGGGAGAGGATGGGGGTGCTTGTGTGTGAGTAGGCTAAATCACGCTTCATCAAAATGCTTATGTTTTAGACTACAAGTTTTGTATAGGCTGGGGTTGATGGGAGTTTGGTTCCAAACATCTATAGAGAACCAGGTTGGTGAAGGCTGGACTAAATTGTTGTTGTTTAGTTGTTAGGCCTGTCCGACTCTTCATGACCCCATGGACCAGAGCACACCAGGTACTCCTGTCTTCCACTGCCTCCCAGAGTTTGGTCAAACTCACCAAACTGGACTAAATAATAAGTAGTAAATAGAAAATAGTGTCCCTTTACAATCTTAGGAGGTTGTACCTGTAAGGAAGCTCTAGTTTTTGACTGCTGAACACTGCCACCAGATCCCGGTTCAAGCCTGACCCAAAACCCAGATTAGCACCTGTCATAGCTGTCAACCTTCCCTTTTTTAACAGGAAATTCCCTTAGAATCATAGAATCATAGAGTTGGAAGAGACCACAAGGGCCATCGAGTCCAACCCCCTGCCAAGCAGGAAACACCATCAGAGCACTCCTGACATATGGTTGTCAAGCCTCTGCTTAAAGACCTCCAAAGAAGGAGACTCCACCACACTCCTTGGCAGCAAATTCCACTGTCGAACAGCTCTTACTGTCAGGAAGTTCTTCCTAATGTTTAGGTGGAATCTTCTTTCTTGTAGTTTGGATCCATTGCTCCGTGTCCGCTTCTCTGGAGCAGCAGAAAACAACCTTTCTCCCTCCTCTATGTGACATCCTTTTATATATTTGAACATGGCTATCATATCACCCCTTAACCTCCTCTTCTCCAGGCTAAACATGCCCAGCTCCCTTAGCCGTTCCTCATAAGGCATCGTTTCCAGGCCTTTGACCATTTTGGTTGCCCTCCTCTGGACCTTATTCCAGCGCCGTTTCCCACTGCTGTCCCAGATTGTTAGATATCCTGTAGACTGTCCCCGGGACAGGTGAGGCTGCTGATCCCTTATTTTCAAATCTGAAAGTTGACAGCTATGGCACCTGTCCATTTTGAAGGCAGAAGTTACTTTCAAACCTTTGGCCTTGAGACACGGGTCCCAGATATGTAGCAGGTGCAGTAAATGTTGTGGCTGCTAGCAATTAACTGAGAAAGAGAGAACTGGTTTCTCATTGTCCCAGATTTTACTCAGAAATGTAAGCTTTATATTGAACCAAGGATTTGCAATGTTTTAAGAACAGAACCAAAGTTTAGGCACAAGCCACAAGATCTAAGTATCTTGGCCATTTCCCTAAAAAATCCTTAATTTACATTGGGCGGAGAACACTTCCACATTTTTGCTCAAGAAACAGTTTAATACATTTTGTTGGATAGTAACAGAAAAGAAATCAAAACTAGCAGAAAGAGAACAGCAGTGGAAACAATGGACAAGTTTATCAGAGAAAAGTACATGACACAGCAACAATATTGATCATGAAAACAAAACCAGTGGTAGACATTATTGTAATAACTTAATTGAAGCAAACTTCCTCCATTCACATTCAGCTAAACAATTTGTCCTCCAAACACATTTAACAAACAAGAAAAGATTCCTGAGCATTTTGTTTTGTACCAGTGTTCTGCAAACAATATATTAATTGCAGGGTTTTAAAAAATACCACTGTCCTATGTTTATTCTTTAGCCCATAAAACAGGAGGTTCAAGTCATCCACAAAAAGAAAACTAACATGTGTGATCTGGAATATTTCTAGATCTGTGAAATAGAAAGCAAATACTAGATTAATTAAAATGTCTCCACTAGACTAGCCATTGTAAAACTGAGCAGGCTAGTGATGTATAAGTTTGACCAGAGACGGTCAGACTTCTCTAAATGAAGAAGTGTGAAAGAGTGTGCGTAATTCAGTACATTTAAAAGGATTTATAAATGTGACTTTTTAAACTATAGCTTAAGAATACATCCACAGATCTTTGTGAGCTACAAAAAAAATCTAGGAAAATGTAGATCTTTAGCATTCATCCGTAATACAGTATTTACTTCTCACTTCATCTAGAAGTAGCATTTAATAAAATAAAGCTGCAATTTAAATGTGAAAGTGAGCAAGAATAAAAGGCTGCAAGGCATGCGGTCAGGTCCCAGATGCACATCACTAGACATGTCTTAGCAATAGAGAAAGCATCAAAACAGATTCCAAGGCTTTACTCCAAGATGGGGGAGGAGAAAACAAAGTATCAATAATAAAAATGCCTGTCCAGAAATCTGTAAGGTTAGGACCCACTCATGGCTTTCCATTTACTACTAAGAGTTGAATTAAAAGTCACAAGGTTAACAAAATATCGAGGGATGGGAAAATGCAATTTCCTGAGTGGTGGAAAAATGCAATTTTTCCTACAACAGAAAACACAGCCTTGAGCCTAAAAAGAATGTGCTGCTACCCTTCAGCAACTGAGTAACAATTCCAATTATTTGGGGGAAAGGGACTTTTGGATCACTTGCAACAACTAAGCAGTACCAGCCTGGTCTATGCAAGCTGTGACCCACCAAGCCCAAATAAAGCTCCTGGTTTTGCTGACAGCGTCAGAATGCAAAAAACAAGAGATTTGCCTGGCAGCCCACTATACACAATTTGTGTGATTTAAGCTGTTTTTGATTTGGTGGGTCATCCAAGCTGTACAGACCTGCTCAATGTGATGCAGGTACTCTGTTCACATTATGGGCTGATTTTAGTCTCACATGCTGAAAACTGTTAGTTTAGCAGCATCAGAACATGGAAAGAGAGAGAACACCCCTTTTGCACAATAGGAAGCGAGCATTTTGTTTTCTGGCAACCCAGCCAGATGAGCAGGGTGCAGATAATAAAATTATTGGTATAGTTATTTCTGTGACGAAGAGTCTAACCATAAGGGGAGATTAATCTTTTATTTCGTTTCTTTCCCTTCTTATTTGTTTTGCTTATAGGATCTTGCTCCAAGCACTTCAAACAAATGTGCCAATTTTTTTTATTATAAAAAACATTTTCCGTAGGGTTCTCCCACCCCTTGGATGGGGTCAAGGAATCAGAGCCTTGGCAAAATTTGGTTGGCAAGCAAGGGATGGACCCTGGACAGACCTTGATAGGCCTGAGGCAGCTGAGTAGTGGAGGCAGTGAGAAACCTGCTTGAGTTATGGGTGCAATCTGGTAGGTTGTGAAGAGTCACATGAAGCAAGAAATAACATGGAAACTCCTCTCATGCAATCTTGCACCAATAAAATACCGGCTGGCTGGTGACCCTGCTGTAGATTAGTTTCATTTGTACACAGCTCAACACCACCAGATTGACCACCATTAGCAATGTCAGTTGCCAGCCCCCCAATTCGAGACATTATCTGCATACCTCAGCCAATTGTGGAGCTGAAACAATTGCTCAATTAATGTGTGCGCACACAAAGAATGGATTCTGGTTTGAAAAAGTAGAGTTCCAAAGTTTCAAGTTACATTAGTAAATATATGCAAGTTGGGAAAGCACAAATAACGTCTGAAGAGTGCTACATACGTACACAAGCTTGTCATGGATGCGCGACAAACTATTTTAAAAAATCATCCGCCTTAAACATCAAAGTGATTGCGAAGGGCTCAATTTGCTCCTTTTAAAATACAGTAATTGGCAATTTGACATATCACCGTCTTTCTCATTCTCTCTCTTAGTGGGAAAAGGAAACCTGAGGTAGTATGATTTGCCTGTAAGGGGGAAAAACCTTGTGCTTTCACAGCTGTCTTAATTGTAACACGACTTTATGGCTTTTCAGCAGAAATTTATTTAGTTGGTTTAGGTTGCTTTGGTTTTCCTCCACAACATTCACGTTATTTCAACTCAATAAAAAAACAACACATTTACTAGGTAGAAATACATCATCTCTGAGTTCCATGGGACTCACTTATCAATAAATGCGCTTAGGGTTGCAGCCAAAGGAAGTGACAAACTCTATCAACTCGAACTGTTTCTACAGAATAGTCACCATAGAAAAAGCTGCCGATGGAGTTTTAACCAATGGTCATTACATGTATGAACGACAACAAAACGAGGCATGTGTAGCTTTAACAAAGTTACACAAAAGCACGTTAACAAAGTTAGGACAGAATTTGCTACTTCAGTACCAGTCTGCTGGGGGTGCAGATTTGATATATGAATAAAGTGTCAAAAATAACAAAAACATCATATCGCACCACAAATAGCATACTCCAAAAATTTGGAAGGGTGTGTGCCCCAGTAACCACAGCATATCATTAACTCCAAAGATTATTACAGTATTTTAATCCAGAAAATGACATAGAAATATTTGTGCAGGGCCTCTTATAAGTTTCTGCTAGTTATATAAACTAATTGCCTGCCTTATTAAAAATGTAAAAAGCACAAATGCAACTGTCAGCAATAGTGCAGAACTAAAGTAGATATTTTATTTATATAAAATGTATAGTTCAAAGGGAGGTAAAGGTACCCCTGACCGTTAGGTCCAGTCACGGACGACTCTGGGGTTGCGCACTCATCTTGCCAGTGTTTGTCTGCAGACAGCTTCCGGTTCATGTAGCAGCATGACAGCCACTTCTGGAGAACCAGAGCAGCGCATGGAAATGCCGTTTACCTCCCCGCCGGAGTGGTACCTATTTATCTACTTGCACTTGACGTGCTTTTGAACTGCTAGGTGGGCAGGAGCTGGGAGGTACCTGTTTGCTAAACCTTTGTGTGCCATATTGAATAAATTTGTCTATTTCAACAGGACCTTTAGTGAACTGCAAGTCTTAACATTGTCTACTTAAAAATATACTTGGATGAAGGTATTGTGGGGATGTTCATCAAATTTGCAGATGACACCAAACTGGGATGAATTACAAATTGACAAATTACAAGTGGACAAATGTACACTTAGGCAGGAAGAACCTGCTGCACAAATATAAGGTGGAGATACCTGGCTTGCCAGTAGTACATGAAAAGACAGGAGATTTGATAGCCATCATCAGATATCTCAAGGTCTGTCTCACGGAAGATGGAGCAAGCTTGTTTTGTGGTGCTCCAGAGGATAGGACCCAAACCAATGGATTCAAGTTACAAGAAAGGACATTCCAACTAAACATCAGGAAGAACTTTCTGGCAGTAAGAGCTGTTCAACAGTGGAATGGACTCCCTCAGAAGGTGGATGGCTCTCCTTCCTTGCAGGTTTTTAAGCAGAGGTTGGGTAGCCACCTGTTATGGATGCTTTAGTTGAGATTCCTGCATTGCATGGGGTTGGGCTACAACCTGATCCTCAGGGTCCCTTCCAACTCTACAATTCTATGTTTCTACAATGCTATGATTCGTTTAGATTTCTCCTCTCCCCTAAATGTTGGAATACTTGTAAGTAATGCTACTGGTGCTAATGGAGTTTCTTTTGAACTTGGAGGAACTTGCACAGCAAATAATTCATCACAGTAAAAGAGGAGTGGGAAGCCAGTGGCCCTCCAGAAATTGTAGGACTCCAACTCATGTCATCCCTGACCATTGGCCGTGCTGCTAGGGGCTGACGGGAATCAAGAGTTTGGCAATATCCAGAGAACCACAGATTCCCAATTGCTGCACTAAAAGCAGAAAAGCATGTAAAAAAAGATAACTCTGGCTAATGCCTTCACTATATTAGATCTCTCTCTCTCTCACTCACTCATACACACACATGATTTTTAACATCCTGAAAAGTGAGTTTTTAAAAGAAAGAAAAAGAAAAGGCAAAGAAAAATATAAAAACTGTACTAGCCTTTAAAACCTATTTAAAATACATTGCAGAACATGAAATAATTTTGATTGATTTTTTGCTAGTGCCAAAAAATGGAATAATAATAATGCAATCCTTTAAGTTTTTCATTTGTGCATTTACTTTTTGTTGAATTTGATATATTTGGCTAGTTTTCCTCAGGCAACCGCAAAGTATGTCATTTTCAGCTGTCCAGCCTATGGCACAGATCAGGCCCAGCATTGCTATGTTGCTCTGTGGGTGATGACAATGGTACTCATTGGTGGAACACTGCCTCCTCCTTGTGGGCCTTGCACACTCTTTGTGTCTGGTGGAAATAAAGAGGAGAGGAGCTCCCCAACCCCCCAACATACATCTGTAAAGGCCCACCAGCAACCTCCATGATGAGGACTCCCTCAAAGCTGGAGCCAGCTTCAGCCCAGATGCCACAAGCAGCACAGACTGTAGGGGCCTGAGGCAGTCTGGACAGGAATGCTCCTGGGCTTAGCTATGGCACAGAGTGAGGCCTGCCCATTTCTCCTGCCTGTTCTGTTCAGGGCACTCCCCAATCAAGGAAATGCACACAGCCGATAGTTAACTCTTTGTCGCCAAACATAACACAGTCATTTCTATGGCTCTGAATACCTCCCACGCCAATTTAGTGTCTAGGTGGCTGTTCCCAGGTCCATGGTCTATGAAGAAGAAGAAGAGGAGTTTGGATTTGATATCCCGCTTTATCACTACCCAAAGGAGTCTCAAAGCGGCTAACATTCTCCTTTCCCTTCCTCCCCCACAACAAACACTCTGTGAGGTGAGTGGGGCTGAGAGACTTCAGAGAAGTGTGACTAGCCCAAGGTCACCCAGCAGCTGCATGTGGAGGAGCGGAGACGCGAACCCGGTTCACCAGATTACGAGTCCACCGCTCTTAACCACTACACCACACTGGCTCTAAGAAGAAGTTGCAGCAACAGGGGGACCACTCCACCTCCACCAGTTTATGTACTTTCCCCCAAAACGCTGCATGCGTGCAGCTATAGACTATCCCTATCCTCTGCTCATCCCTCTTCAGTCCCCTCCTGGATCTGGGAGACAGTGGTGGGGAAGCACCTGGCCTTTCACTTGCCTGACCTGCCTCTTCCTCCTCTCCTTCCAACCCATTCCTGTGCACCACCTGAAGCTTCCCCTGCCTCCAGCACAGTTCCCCACAAATCACTGGCCCTCTCTCCTGAGCCAGACTCCAGCCTCGCTTCCCCTGGCGCACACTCATCAGCGTCCTGCCAGTCCCTGACATGCGCACAATGGCTCAACAAACTCAAGGACCTGTACACAAATTAGGTATGATGGGTTGTTCACACTGTAGTCTACACACTGCAGCAGACACCGTCTCATATATTGTACTAGCATTGTGTGACACACAGTTGCCAAAAACAGATTGGACACTAGCAGTGTTGTTCAAGAGTCTGATTACCAATATAATTTTTTGGACAATATTTTATAAGCTCAGCCTGTGTTTCTTAACCAGCATCATTTGGTGATGATCTCAGGGTTGCTTTTGAAACATCAACACACAAACCCCTCCTTGTTTTTTTGGAATGTATTACCAGAAATGGATGCTTGTGTTTTCAAAACGATGCCACAAACTTTTACTTTTCTGTAAATCACTCTTCACAAAAAGAACTAAAAATCACAGGTAGGGGGGAAAATTGATCTGCAACCAGCATGTTCTCAAGTGATTGGCTATAAAGCGAAAGAAGGCATGAGCTACAACTGAGCTAAACCAGACATGTGAGCAGTTTTGTGCCAACACTTTATTTTACTTGTAGTGTTGTTACCTGTAGAAGGATGGCTAACTTTTCAGTTAAAGGGGCACATAAAATTATTTGGATCCATGTAGTCTAGCCCGCCAGTCTGTACTTGGCAGGTGCTTGGACCTGTGAGACAGTAGCTGAAATTTAATTCTGCTTGGCTCTGCTGACAACTCTGGGCAAGCTCTTTCAGTGGCTCCTGAAAGGAAGGCAAAGCCTCCGCTTTGGGATCTGGGAACAACACCAGAATATGGTTGGATACAACGGTTGAAACCTTGGTGTATTCATTCGTATCCCCAGGGACAAAAGGCCTTTCCTTTTTGCCTACAGTTTCTTTCTGCTTTGGTAGTACAGCCAGAGCTCCATCATGGTTGACTTTGTGAACTTCCACGTAATCTGCGGGTTTTGTAGACGAGAATGGCGGCCTTTCTGGTGGGAGTAGCCACAACCCCGCTTGGCCGTGCTGAGCGTTTGAGAGTAGATCCACTGCTTTGGCTGGTTTTCTTTCGCCAAGAGTCTCGACGAGTTCAGGATATTGCGAACAACACTTTCCTTCCTCACTCCCCTTCCTGTTTATATTCATGGCACTGATTGCTCTTTTACATACATCCACTGTGTCATGGTAGGAACATTTAGACGTCTGACAGCTAGGGAGCTGACCTCCACACCACGTGGATGGCCTGGGTTCACCACTGTTAATCCAGGGGAGCTGACCTTCAGCGCCCCCCTTTGGTGACTCCTGCATGCTGTTCCTATGAGCGTTTTGCACCCCATAGGTATCTGGTGTTTTCAATTCCAAGAGTGGGTTTTGGGCTGCCTTGCGCTTCTCTGTCAACAGAGAAGGGCTTTCGCAGCTTCCTCTTCCCGAGTCGCTGTCTGTTTCCTGGTGCGCCAGCTTCACATTTTTACTGGGGTGGCTCTTTTCGGTGCTTGGCATTAGCTGCTGGTCTTCGCTGTCATCTATCTCCAAAAATTCTACCAGCAGGTCCTCATAGCCTGGTGTTGGAGGGAACCCCTGGCAGCCAAGAGCACTCAGCAATTCTTCCGTTTTCCCTGCCTGATGTGAAGAAATATACAGGGGGAAATATAATATAAGAACTATAATATTTGCATTATGTACCTGATTATGTCTGAAAACGCAAAGGAGAAAGATGTGGTACAGAGCACTCAACAACAACAACAATGATGCATGCTTTGATCTGAATTCAATTAAACCCCTGTGCTACAAGCAAATATCAGTAATATCCAAAGGCAACACGATGACCAAGTACAACAATGCGATGTCAATATAAACTCTTTATATAATCTATACAGAACATTGAACAATATGAAATATATGAAATAGGCACTCTGCAAAACCAAATAAACAGAAATCTTCTAAATCTCTGAAATGACCTTGTTATGAGCACCACCTGGGGTCGGGTTTTTAAGTTTCTTGCAACATGCAGTCAGTAGCAGTGGTTACATAATTTTATGACCACTGCTCCATAGCAATTGTTCATACAATTCCATTCACCATATAGATGGGGTATGTGCTTTTGGTTTTATTTCATATTGAATTGATATAACAGTTCTTGCATATAGTTTCTAATAATTTGAGTTACCATGTATATGCAGGTCATTGTTTCAATAATTCAATTGCAGTTTTTGAAGCATTTCTTTATCCTTCTGCTATGCTGAAGAAGAATTCCACAAAACAGTTGGTATATCCAGAATCACTGTTCACTACGTCTGTTTGCGGACCACTTTGGCAGCATTGGACATTATAAAACAAAGCTTTAAGCTTGTTTACTCCAGATATCTGACTCATTGCTTCTTTCAGAGACTTGCATAGCTCACAAAGACTTTCAGAGACCTATAAGATTTGTGTTTATTTGGTTCTATGTTTTCAAGAGAATCCATCAAGAGTATCATATTCTGTGACTTTGAGATTTAGAAGATCTATGTTTATTTGGTTTTGCAGAGAGTGCCTATTTCATATTGTTCACTGTTCTGTATAGATTATACAAAGAGTTTATATTGACATCGCATTGTTGTACTTGGTCATCATGTTGCGTTTGGATATTATTGTACTGAATTCAAGCAGATTAGCGTCAGCAGAAGTGTTAACAGGTTAAAGTTGTTAAAGGCTTCCAATGAGGTGTTTTCTTTTACCCCCTCTAAGAAAATGCAAGACAAAAAAGAGTGCAAAACTTCTCTAAGTGCCCAAACACTTACTTCTAGTAGCTGGGCATCAAAGCCTTTTATCTTTGGTCCTGGGACTGGTGGTAGAAGGCAAGCCACCATGCTGAAAAACAAGAAAGAGGGAAGGGGTTGGAATAAAGAAATGACGGAAATCATTTGGTTTCGTACTTGGTTTGATTTTCTTCTGCTAGATTGAGCATACAGAAAACCTTGCCTGCTGGAAAAACAAATATCCATGGCTGTAAAGAGGGGACCCACAGGATATTCCAATAAACTGATTTCACTTGTCCGTAGGATCTCAGGGAGCAGAACCAAGAGTGGTCTTTTAAGTGAAGATGATTTCTACACATAGAAACCTTGTTTTTTGTATTTGTGGATTGTCAGAATAGAGCACTGGCAGCAAGCTTCACACACAGTTCCACTATGCATAACCCCAGCTGGATGATGTATTAAATGCATGTTTGCATTTAACATGTCTGCTTTTCTAAAATTTAAATAGCAGTTGGTGGAGGAGATGGAAGAAGAATCACAGCTGCGACCACAATGTATGGGGAAGGCTTTCCATCCCTTTAACCCCATGCTGTGGCAATAAATTTGCTTGTTTTCTTTTTTTAATACACTACAATGTCAGAAGTAGCAACTTACTTAATTTTTTTCAAAGCCAGTGTCCAGATCATGATCAAACATACAACAAATGATAAAAAAGCCACGAAGATCCAAACAAGCATATCTTTCAGTCTGAACTCTAAGAGAGAAAATAAGAAGGGATTAAATTTTGTGCAGTCATTTCAAAACATTATTAGTTTAGGGCAGGTGGCATCTCTACTATTTTACTCCCACAACCACCCTGGACGGTAGATCAGTCTGTAATGCCGTGATGAGCATAAAATCGCCCAGTGAGCTCAGTGGTGAGATTTCAGAAGGGAGTTTCAGCAAGCATAGTTTACACGACAAGCTGTACCTGCGTAAAGTCTCCTTTCTACACAAATAAAGGTATAGAAGCCTTGCCTTCTTTTGCATACAGCCAACTTCATTTAGTTCAAGGGCAGTCAACATGGATACAGATGTTGCAAATGCCAATTCCCCCCATCCCTAGTCAACATGGCCACTGGTCAGGCATGATGGGAGTTGTAGTCCAAAACTTCTGGAAGATACCAGTTTGGCTCCCCCTGCACTAGCAGTCTGGAACTCACACAGCTAATATGTTTACCAAGTTGTCAGCTGAACTTGCCCAGATTTCCCAAAGCAGACCGCCAGGCAATGTTTTGTAAGACGCACACGTCTAGCACCAGCTTCATCACATGTCAGCCCTATCCTTGTTTCGTTGTGTTGCTGTTATCATTGAACTGTGTTTTCTTTTGTGATGGGGGATTTTATTTTTATTCTAAATAGAAAAGCAGGATATGAATAACAAACTCCTCAACTAGGCTTTCTAGCGTTTTCATATGACTGGGGTTAATTAACGAAAGGTCACTCCCAGCAGTTGTCCTCACCTTTTCGGAGCTTTATAAAACTTTCAGGGCTCCAGTCGCTCCACGTTCCATGATCTGATCTGCAGCGAACTTTTGCAATATACTTTTCTCCTGGATTTACACTGAACATCTTATATGTTGTTCTCTGACCAACAAATATTTTCTGGAAAGATAAGAAGAACACAGACATCCGTGACTCTGTTTCTGAAACACAGAGCATTTGGGTACTCCCAAAGATGCTTCCAGGCAGCCACTATTTTCAGATGGGATTAACTGGTTGCACAATTAAGGTTGATTTGGCATTCTTGCACAACATACCTTCAATTCCTCCCCCAGTTAGGCTGTGTGTGATAAGGAAAATGCAATGGGAAGTGTTGGAGAAAAATTGCTTGGGCACAACGAGGGTAAATGCTCATTAAACTGGTTGTCAGGAGATAGGGGTGGGGGCAACATCCAATTCAATTCACATGTAAAGGCATATCTGCCAAGTCCATTCCACTTCACCGTGGGGAGGAGTTGCGGTGGACCGCATGGCCACCCACTCTCCTCCGGGGGCAGGGGACGAAGTCCTGCATTGCCCGGGGGATCCCGGCAGCGTCAGCGACCGGCCAGCCAATCCACTGGCTGGTGGGGGTGTGGCCGGGACCATTTAAGCTGAGGCGCGAGCTGGAGGGCTTCCTCTTGGCTCGCTTGAATCGTTCCATGGCACAGAGGGTGCACATGTTGGGTGGCTGGGTGATTGCGCACCCACTGTAGTTTACAGCAAGGTGGCACTATTTTCGTGATGATGGCATACACATTTCTGATTGGGGGAATGATATCTGGTTGGCCGATATTGCAGAGGGCTTGAGGCATTGGTCACAGGTGTGAGGGTATTTGGCGGCGAGCCTTTAGGCTCTTGTGGCGGTTAGGCATTGTTTGAGGGGGGAAGGGAGGTGTGGCCATCACCTGCCCCTCCAAGCTTAAGGGTATTCCGTTAAAGGAATCCAGGGGTATGGATCTTGACCGAAGGCCGGGGTGGGGCTAGGGCCATGACACAACCCTGACGGAAACACCTGGGGGAGCTCGAGTTCGTATGCATCGATGGGGCTCCCCCTTCTGGTGGTTTACCCTTATAGGACTCCCTGCGCAACGAGCAGGAGCTAGATACAGTTGCGTCCATTCAATGCCTAAGTGAATACCACTCACATTCTGTAATCAATATAGTTGTGGCCAAATTTTGCCCAGTAACATTAACCTAATAGCTGTGTCATTGTGTGTGTTATTCTTCAATGAGGGGATGGTTTCAGGGTCTCGATACGCAAATCCACACTTTGTGAAACCCCAAGAGAGCTGAAACTTAACCATCCTTTGAAGTTCACACTAATCTGAATGTTGCGATGCACTCTTCCAGCCAGTGTTTACAAAAATGTATATATTAAGGGGAAGTGTGGGTAAAAATGAACATGTTATTGAGAGCAGCATACAAGAGTGCATCATTTTACGGAGAAATGGCTTGCAGAACTGTGTGTATGTCAGCTGAACCTGCTGACAAAAACGTGTTTGTTGGGATAAATTCACATTAAAATGCTGGTGGATGTTCATGAGGATTTATCTATTGGAAATGGCTGTAGAAATGTGGAGAACTGGATTTAGAATTGGGAAAACGAGAAGCTGAGAGGGCTGAAACTGGCAAATCTACACATCTGGAAGTGTTTCAAGAGTTTTCACCATTCTCACCTCCCATTCTTGTCCCCCTTCAGGCTTGATATGTAACTCATATTCGAGGGTTAGCCAACCAGATCTGATGTCACCCAGAGAAGGTGGAGACCAGTTCAACAACAGATATTTTCCATATACTTTTTTCTCAAATTCCAAGGAGAGGTTTTCGGGAGGGTCTGGCTGAACTGGAAAAAAGAAGGATGAGAGAATATTTATTGATCAAATGTATATGGACGGCCATCAATCCAATCCTCTAAGGAGGCTTACACAGCAGATATAATCACAGTACTTTAAAATGCAAAGTACAAGAGCTTTAAACAGCAAAAAGCAACTGCAAAAATTTCTCGACAGCGGAGAAAGCTCAGTTTAAAAGCATACTGTGGCAAGAATGAGAGCATAGGTTTTGTTTAAAATGTCATTAAAACAGTGAAGGCCTAGAGTTTGTTTTAAAAGGTCTTGGTACAAGAAAAGAGAATATGATTATTTATTAAATTCATGCTCTTTTTCATAGATAGAAACAGAGGCACATTTCAAATATCTCACATCAAGAGCAGCTTTCTTTCTTTTTATCTTCATAAACATTTATCAGAATTTTAGTGTGAATTCCTCCTAATAAACACATTTTTGTATGCAGTTCTGGCTAATGCACACATTTTTGCAAGCAGTTTGCCTTAATATAATGCATTTTTGTATACTATTTTCACTAGTGTCGGATGGCAATGGTGGTTGCTCGTGAGTAACCAGTCAGGATTCCGACCTGTCTTTTACAGGTTTTATTTAGTGTGCAGAACCACAAGTTCATGTCTGCCTCAATTGCTAGCAGAATCCGGGAGCGGTCATTTCCAGGTCCTCCCCCAACATAAGAGCTTAGTCACCCCCAGCCTTTTCCTTCCCTCTTTGCATTTTACACCTCTGCGCAAGGTGGGCGACGGAAGAGGCGTGCTTCCCTCCTGGCTGGCTTGGCCAAGAGCAATGCTGAGGCTCCCAGCAGCATCCTCTAGCCCACGGGTGTCAAACACAAGGCCCGCAGGCCAAATCCGGCCCGCCAGACCTCGTCATATGGCCCGTGTAGCCGCCGCCGGCCGCCAGCCTTCACCTTTTATTCTCGCTTTTTTTTTTTTACACAAGAAAGCCGCCTCTTCAGCGCATGCGCGGCAGCCTACAAGCCAGAGAACGTCTGCCCTCTAGCGGCGCCGGCCGTTCTACACAGGAAACCTCCACTTTACATGCATTCAGGAAACCTCCACTTGTTTTTATATTGAGCGCATGCCATCCTGTGATGTGACAGATCCAACGGCTGCCTGAACCCTTCTCTCCTGTACTGTAAGTCCTACAGATACAACCGGCCCTTTGAGGGTGACCAAACTGCTGATGCGGCCCCCGATGAATTTGAGTTAGACACCCCTGCTCTAGCCCTTTCCCCTCCTTTACCCAGGAGGTGTGGCTTTTCCCACCCTCAGACTGACGAGGGGCGGTGCTGGGGCTCCCAGAAGCATCCTTTGGTCCCTTCCCCTCTTCCCCACTGGAGGTGTGGCTTTCCCCATCGCAGGAAGAGGAACTGCTTCTCAGGATTTTTGGAGGTTCCCTGTATCCCAACTGCCCCTCTGCCTCCCTTCCCTGTTCCAATGGCAGTCCCCTGACAGCTAGCATATGTAGTTTATGCATTGCAAAATTCAGAGAAGTGCAAATTTCAAAGCATAGCTGTGCATTTCAGTTTATGAAGGGCAAACTGGATAGTTTCTCATTAAAATGCAAACAAATACTCTCCCCTATCCCTTATCAAAACACATGACTGGTCATATTTAGCTGATGGTATATAAGATGCATATAGAATTCGGGTCACAACTCTTAGGACTATTGGGATTCCCACCCACCCCCGGCCTGCCTTGCACACTTATGCTTGCACCACATACCTATGTTAGCCACATCCACATAATATGGCTGAGATGAAATACTCCCCATCTCATTAGTCGCTGTTATGGTAAAGTTGTATGTCATCCAAAGCGAAGTATGTTTTTTATCAAAATGACAGGAGTTGGGTCCCGCTGTTGTGTAGTCCGGGCATTCATAGTATGCCTTGTCTCTGAAAAACAGAACACAAGATTGAGAAGGAAATACAAACACAGCCTTCTCATTACACATCACTTCGAAAAGAATCCACCTTCTCTCAGAGGTGCAGGTTGAGACAACCGTAAAGCCATTTGTAACGCCTTACCCTTCCTTGTTATAGAACAGAGTGTAATTGCTCGGCAGACCTCCATCAGAACTGGGCTTCCACCAGCAAGTAAAGGTTTCTTTCTCAGGTGAGCGACATCTTATTAACTCCGGTTTCCCAGGAGGTTGGCCTGGAAAGGAAGAGATAGACAAGTCCTTTAGGCCAATAGGGTCAGAGACAAAGAAGGGTCACAGAGGTCATTCGGTCCAACGTCCTGCTAATTCAGGACCTACAATGCAGGATGCAACTAGGGGAAACCCCAGCAGATGGATGTCCAGAATCTGCTTCAACACCATCTCCTAAGGCAGTCTGTTTCACTGTCTACCAGCTGTTACCATTGGGAAGTTGCCTAGTGCTTAGCCGAAATCTACTCCTAACACATTTGATTCTAGTTCTGCCTCTAGGAACTGCAAGTAGGGAGAGAGTTGTTGCTCTCAAGTCCTGCTTCTAGGCTTCTCACAATGGGCATCTGGTTGGCGGCTGTGAGAACAGGGTTCTGGACTAGATGGGGCATTGCTCTGATCCAGGAGGGTTCTTCTCATGTTCTTACTAGCTTATTTGGCTTTTCAAAACAGAAAAAAATGATGAATGATTGACTCACCACTGTGGAGCTGGAGGTAAGTTTCTGGGCTCCATTCACTCCTTTCACCATGTTCTGTTATACAGCGAACCTGAAAAGTATATTTCACTGCTGGGTGCAGCTGGGATATTTCATACTGTGTTTGCTCTCCAACAAAACGAGTCTGGGAAGCAGTAAAGACAAGGGAAACTAAGAGAATTGTAGAGCATACAGGTTTTGCAAGGATGCCTCTATACAAGCAGGAATCTTTGGCACACTGGGCAGTTGGCACTGCAACATCTGTGACTCCAGAAGTCCTAGTCTTTTTAAGACTGAAGAACAGGATGGAGGGAATACATACTGTAAATAAATAAAATACATCAAGGATGAAGTCTGTGCAATGTGTGACCTTTCCAAACCGGCCCACGGATATCATGTATTATGGCTTGTCAAGGAGGTTTATCATGACGTGTGTGATTTGTTTTGCTTGGGTCCATGAGCTGTAAACCCATTTTAAGGACCACGATTCCCCCTGGTGCCATCTGGTCAGGTCTTCTGGGCGCACATCCAGGGCTCAAGTGAGCAAAATGAGGAGCCCCCCCCCCCAAGGAGTAAGCGAAATAAATATACATTGTGTGTATTCGCGCAAAATTGCAAGCCAAGGTTATTGGATCATCAGACCATACTTTTTTTATGTGCTGGTGCACTTGCAGCTTGATTGCTCCCTGCCCTGGCACGAATGAGTAAACAAACCAAGAAACAAATGCTTAGTATAAAATGTGAAGAAAAACATTATGGGTTTTTTTACCCTAAGAAAATCATGACTGATGAGCAACCATGGTTTGTCAGGTCAAAGCAAACCATGATCCCTGGTTTGGATATAATGCTAAGTTTTAGCCTTTGTGGCTTTTTTACCCACTTGCACTAGAAAAGTGACATAGAAATGATCAGGCCACATGGACAACATGCAGCATATGCACAGTAGGATTTATTAAGTCAAGAACATAGGCTTACTGTTACCTGTGAAAAGCAACATTGCGATCTAATGAGGTGCTCTCCATATAAGCATTAAGTTCAGAGTCTAAAATTAACTAATTGCACCACTGCACGATTTAGCCAACCTCTCTTTTTTAGAGACCTTTCAAGGGACATTTTTTGCCAGGAAAAATACAAATACAGTGGTACCTCTAGATACACCCACCTCTGGTTGTATATCTTTCAGGATGCAAACGTGGCAAACCTGGAAGTATTTTTCTGGGTTTTGCCGCGTGCGCATGCGCAGAAGCGGCACCTCCAGTTGCAAATTCCTCAGGACCTACAGAATGGATCCCATTCACAACTGGAGGTACCACTGTATGCACAATTTTCTGGTGCCCACTGGGTACTTTTCCTGGGATGAACATTTGCATCCATCTCACAATGAACTGATGGCCGGTATCTCTGCAGTACCATTTAACTTGCTTCAGTGTCCCTGCTTACATTTTACTTTACTGAGAAAAGATACGATAGCCATATTCGAATATCTAAAGGGCATTGAAGATGGGGCAAGTTTGTTTTCTCCTGTTCCAGATTCTAGGACCTGAACCAATGGATTCAAGTTACAAGAACGGAGACTCTGACTAAACATCAGGAATAACTTTCTGACTGTAAGAACCGCCCAACAGTAGAATGGACTCCCTCGGAAGATAGTGGGCTCTCCTTCCTTGCAGGTTTTTAAGCAGAGGTTGGATGGCCATCTGTGATTGATGCTTTAGTTGAGATTCCTGCATCACAGGGGGTTGGATTAGATGAGCTTTGGGGTCCCTTCCAGCTCTACAATTCTCTGATTCCATTACCTTTGGAGCACCTTTCAGCGCTCCCAGTCTAATGGACATTATTCTTTCTCATTGCCAACATGACAAATATAGCTTTGCAGTGCTCATTAATCTAAACAGTTCTCCGGAGGAAGCTTTGGAATGAAGGGTGGCCTCCTGTTCCATAGCTCTCTCTGTGCCAAACATATTAATCATAACTACTTCAACATATTCCTTTCATGATGCCCGAGTCACTTTCTGGTGCTGGCAAGAACACCTGATTTATTACCTTTATTTTATCCATCCTGGAAACAGAACCCCAGCTGCAATCAAACAGATCCACATGCAAATACATATCCTAGGAACACCGAGAAGCTACCTTACACCAGGCCAGGTTGGAACACAGAATACAGGAAAGCTGTTATATACACAGTCAGATCAGGGGTCAGATCAGTTCTATGGGGCCGAGGTTTCTTTGGCCCCCTCAAAATCTGTTGGGAGAGGGCCGGGACCCCCTCACTGTTGAGGAGGCGGAGGAAGCCATGTGTAAAGATACAGAAAAATCACAGCTATAGCACAACAAATGGTATGTCTGGAGAGTTTGGATTGAAGTTGTCCAAAATAAAGTCAGTTCGGTGCATCTGGATAAACTTGATGGGTGTAATTAAATGTACATGGTGGTTTTTAAAGTCTTGCTTTGCCTATGGCATACTTCGACTAGCCACTGTGTTTCAGGGCCTCCTTTGTAAATAAGGGAACAGCGACAGCATCTGCCTTTCTCCTATAATAAGATGCTTGTGAATGAAAGAATGGAACTTGCTTACCTCCCATTCTTTCTCTCCTGTAGGTCTCAATCGCAATTCATAGTTGCATATTTGCCCTCTTGTTCCATCATCAAGCAATCGAGGCGGCGACCATTTTGCCCACACATACGTTCTCTCTTTCAGCTGTTTGACTTCCAGAGATAGGTCTGTGGGAGGGCTGACATTAGCTGTACAAAGGAAACATTCATAAGTCAGTATTGTTTGCTTCTTCTGCCTAGGACACCTCTTTTGGCTATTCTGTATGTGAACTAATAGAATCAAATCAAAAGACAACAGGGAGAATATGTACAAAGAGCTGCTGCATATTGACATACGGGCACAGGGAGCCTATAGCTCTCCAGATGGCACTGAACTCCAACTCTGAAAAGCCCCAGTCAGAATGGCCAGTGGTCAGGGAAGATGGAACTGGAGTCCAACAACATCTGGTTAACCTTTCCTGAGTTAGATCAATAGTTTGTCTAGGCCAGTACTATCTAGAGATGGGCAAATATGTCACCTTTGGTTTCTCTCAGTTTCTGATTTTTCCATTATTAAGTTTTGGTTCTCCACCATCAATTTGTGGTTGGTTTGTTCTTAAAGTCCTCATGAAAATTCATTGGATTTTAGTACCAGTTTCTCCTAATGTACCATTTAGCATGCAATTTTGTCTAATAACACACATTTCCAAAGCAATATCCCCTAATACAACGCGCTCTCTCTCTCTCTCTCCCTCTCTCTCTGTGTGTATAAAACATGGCTGCATTGCAAAATTCAGAGAAGGCTGAATTTCAAAGGATGGCTGTGTTTCGGTTCTTTCCTTGTTTCAGGAAGTGTGAATTTGTCTTTAAATGTGAAGTGAATGATGATGGTGGTGATTTATTTCATGTAGCCCACCCATCTGACTGGGTTGCCCCAGCCACTCTGAGCGGCTTCCAACAGAATATAAAGGAACTCATTGGAACATCAAACACTAAAAGCTTCCTGAAACAGGGCTGCCTTCAGATGTCTACAGAAGGCCATATATTTGTTTATTTCTCTGACATCTGGCGGGAGGGTGTTTCACATGGCGGGCATAACTACTGAGGCTGTCCTCCCCCTGGTTTCACTTCTTGCAATGAGGGAATCTCCCAGAGGCCCTATGAGCTGGACCTCAATGTCTGGGCTGAACTTCTTTTCCCATCCCTAGCACTTTCTATCTTGAATGGCAAGAGATCTCCAGAATTTCAGACCGAGATCTTGCCCTGCACTGATTTCCAACAGGCTTTTTAGCCAAAGAGGTCAGGAACCAAACTTGGGACTTAGAAGATGTGAATTATCTACCCTATCTGATGCACTGAATTAGTTCTAGATCAGGAAATCATCTAGGTCCCATAGTCTTCCCTCTTCTGATGTTAAATTAAACTAACAACTAACTTGTTTCAATATTGCATTTCCTCAAAACACCTTTGGCCTCTAGGTTTGGACAATGTTTGAAAAAATAATGGTACTGATGAATCAGTCAGTCCCCATCCACCCCCTGCCCCAAAGTGTTGCTTTAGAGTAGAGTGGAAAGTTGTGTTTCCATGTGGCTTCCTGCCCTCCCCCCTTACCTAGGGTTTGAACATCCACATAATGAGGGTCAGAGACATTACTTCCCATGCCATTGGTAGCTTTCACTGTGATATTGTACGTTTTCCAAAGTCCGGTGACACTCTTATCAAAATAACATGAACTGGGCCCCCCGGTTGTATAGTCTGGACATTCAAAGGCATGCTTTCCTCTGAAATAAAATAATTTAAAATAGTAGTTAATAGAGACCTGTCCACACTCAACAGAACAAGTAAGAACAAATGCAAATACTCAACTCACTAGTCAGATTCAGCTTAATAAACTCACCATTGCAAATGCATAACCTGGAGTCAGTGGGGATTAATTTTATAAAAACCTAAGAGCCATACCGGATCAAACCAAATGCCCTTCTGGGAGATGCTTGTCTAGGTTTAGTCTATTGGACAATAGCCAGACAGGTTATTTCAGAAAACCCAGAAGGAGAGCACAAAGGCAATTGCTGTCCTTCCCTTGGGTTTGGTGCGAAATGTTGGCAATTGCATGAATGGCTTAAAAAAAAGTAAATTACACAATCTGAATTGGGAGTCTATCATGGGGCACAGGGCGGGGGGCGTTAATTAAGTGGAATATAAAATTTTGTTAAATAAGAATAGTAAACTGTACCCTGGGTTTCTTAACAAATATGCAGAAAATAAATATGCATTGGTCTTCATTGCAGGAGTGGCTAAAGATATACCAGTGACTGAACCATGTTTGGTTTTTTGAGGGAGGGCATCTGAAGGAGCCAAAGAAAAGTGACGAAATATGAAGTGGCTTATATACCAAAATATGTGGCATAATTTGATGCACCTCTATCATGCCCCCTTACTCACATTTTCCTCTAAACTAAAAGCTCCAAAGACTGTAACCTCTTTCCATTGGGAAATTGCTCCAGCCCCTTGATAATTTCCGTTGCCCTTTTCTGAACATGTACCAATATGTTTGTCAAGGAGCTGTTATTGGCTACACAGCACGTCTTTGGTCGGCTGAAAGTAATATGGAAAAGGGCAAGCCGTATCTCAATTCAAGCTGAGGACACCCTTGATTGCATCTAAAGCAGTGGGACTCCAGCAAAACTCTTATGTGAAAACATGCTTTATTTGCAGTTCTTGGAAAACAGATTAACCCTGGAACCTCAATAAAGATCTCAGAGGGAAGAAGGTGGCACAGTTACTCATCTCTTCACCTTGTAACTGGGAATGTGTTGTCTTCCTCTCGTGAATCTGTGCAAGGAACAACAAATGACTAAAAAAAACCAACCCCAAACATTTCCCTACCCTTCTGTGCTGTACAGCAGAGTGTAATTTGTAGGAAGTCCACCATCTGAATCAGCTTTCCACCAGCAAGTAAATGTTTCATTTCCTGAAGTTCGGCAACTCCTTACTGTAGGCTTTCCAGGAAGTGACTGACCTGAGAAAATGCAATCACAAATTAAATTATCATCACAGGGGCTCTGAGCAGATAGGGGCCTAGAGTCGTGGTTTAAGTCTATTTTCGACAGCGATGGTGGTTCTGAGGCTCTATTTTCCTCCCTCTGCTTTTGGAGAGAACCACTGCAATGCAGTATTGTGGTCAAAGAACTGAGCTCAGATCAGAAAGACTCAAGTTAAAGCTCACTGGGTGGTCTTGAATAGCTTGCCATGTCTCAGGGCTACCACTGCAACCCCCAAGAGCCACCCACCAAATGTCCGGCATCAGAGACGGCTATAGCGGCCGCACCCTGCTTGTAGGCTACTCAGAAGCATCTGGTTGTGGCCACATCAGAAAACAAAATGCTGGATCAGATGGGGCTTTTAAGTTATCCATTAGAGCTCTTACAAGGCAGACTGCAGGAACAGGAAAGTGGTTATTGGGGATTTAACTGTATCAGAGCAGACAAGGCTCATATTTACTAGACAAGTCCCCAAATGATAGATTGTTAGAAGTGAGTCTTCACCCATAAACATATTTTTTTTAATTTATATTCTGCCTTTTCCCCTGACAGGGACTCAAGGTGGCATACAGCTAAATAAATAGAAAAAGCAATCATTAAGAAGCAGTTAAACATTAATAGAAAATATGGAAGGCTGGTCGCCGAAGAATTGATGCTTTTGAATTATGGTGCTGGAGGAGACTCTTGAGAGTCCCATGGACTGCAAGAAGATCACACCTATCCATTCTGAAGGAAATCAGCCCTGAGTGCTCACTGGAAGGACAGATCCTGAAGCTGAGGCTCCAATACTTTGGCCACCTCATGAGAAGAGAAGACTCCCTGGAAAAGACCCTGATGTTGGGAAAGATGGAGGGCACAAGGAGAAGGGACGACAGAGGATGAGATGGTTGGACAGTGTTCTCGAAGCTACAAACATGAGTTTGACCAGACTACGGGAGGCAGTGGAAGACAGGAGTGCCTGGCATGCTCTGGTCCATGGGGTCACGAAGAGTCGGACACAACTAAACGACTAAACAACAACAAATGTGTTCTATTAAAACATATGCCTCATCCATCACGGCATCAGCCCTTTCATTAAAAACAGTCAGTTCCCAAAAGCCTGTTTGAACAAGGAAGCCCTTCACCTGCTGGCAGAAGGGCAGCAAGGAGAGAGCCAGTCTATATGTAATGGCTTGCATAATACCGCTGGGTATGTCAGTTACATAATTTTGTTATGTCTAATTCCATTGGTAGATTGTGAAATGGTTATTCACATGCATATCAGGGACAGCCAATGTGGAGCCCTCCCGATGTTGTTGATCAGAACTCCCAGCATCTCTGACCATTGGCTCTACTCACTGGAACTGAGGGGAGTTGTTGGTGTCAAGCCAGCTTGTTGGCTCTCCCTGAAGTAAGGTTACATTAACTATTTTTGTCAGGACTTGGGGAGGTTAGCCTCTCCAAAACGACATGGGAGAATGTGATGCTAATGTCCAATACCAAGAAGAAGAAGAAGAAGGAGGAGGAGGAGGAGGAGGAGGAGGAGGAGTTTGGATTTGATATCCCGCTTTATCACTACCCGAAGGAGTCTCAAAGCTGCTAACATTCTCCTTTCCCTTCCTCCCCCACAACAAACACTCTGTGAGGTGAGTGGGGCTGAGAGACTTCAAAGAAGTGTGACTAGCCCAAGGTCACCCAGCAGCTGCATGTAGAGGAGTGGAGACGCGAACCAGGTTCACCAGATTACAAGTCTACTGCTCTTAACCACAACACCACGCTGGCTCTCAAGACGAAGGTCTACCCGTTTTGTGTGCTGAGCACACTGCTTTATGGAAGTGAGTCATGGGCAACTTAGAACCATCAGGAGCCATGCCCCAACATCTTCCACGTGATGGATGAAGAAAATTTTGGGTATCACATGGCAGGACAGCGTTTCCAACAAATATGCGCTCTCCCAAGCCCACATGACGTTTACGCTGGCTTGACCATGGCCACAGAATGGAAGATGGTAAGATCCCCAAGGACACTTTCCCGATTTTAAGTTTTGAAAAGGTAAAGGGTGTTTTGAATGCTTACCGTTAACAAGCCATGTGTTTAGAGCAAGCAGCAGAATCAGTGCACCTGATGGTGACATCTGTAGCCGCAAGTCAGCCTCACCTTCCTCCTTTTCCTCTTCTACCACCTCCAGCAAGGAAGGATAGCTCACTAGGAAATAAATAATAATAATAATAATAATAATAATAATAATAATAATAACCAGCTACATTTACTAAAGTTTCTTGATGGCACACATTCATTTTATAATGTTTCTGGCCAATGAATCATTTTCACACACCCAGGTGTCCCCCAACAATTCATAATGCTGGTGTTTTAGACAGAATCGCTAGCTCTAGAAAATGAAGGTGAAAGATTCTGTTCAATATCATCAAATCCAGCCAGATATTAGGAGACTCAAGGGCTGAATTAGAGAGGCTCAAAGACCAGGTTAAATGCACAGTCCAACTTTACTAGTCATGAACAATCCATTTTCTTGTAGGAAGGCAAAAGTTGTTGTTTTTTAAATGAGCAAAATTGTTCATTGGTTAATTTCTAAACTGCGTATTACTCCTATGAACCACACTGAGATCTTCAGATGAAGGGTGGTATATAATAATAATAATAATAATAATAATAATAATAATAATATGAATGGAAGCTGCCAAGTGTGTCCCATGAGCAGAGTTGCATTAAGGGATGTTTCTACTAGTGAAAGGAGAGTGGCCTTTTTTTTTTACATCCATTCACTCCTTAACCCTCTTAGCACATAAAAATTATGCTACAGTGGGATCCTTTGGAGCAGGAGAAAAGGGGAAAGGAGCTTCTGTTTTGCATGCAAAAGGTCCCGGGTTCAATCCCTGGCATCTCCAGTGAATCTTCTTTGCCTGAAATCCTGGAAAACCACTCACTGCCAGTCAGTGTGGACAATATTAACAAGGTAGGCCAAAGGTCTGATTTGTTATAAAGCAGCTCCGTAGTTTCTTATAAGAGGTGGTCCAGGTGGTTGATGGAGAAAAGCAGAGAAGGGTGAAAAAGGCCACCCTGCTCTAGAACCATAGAACTGTATTGTTGCAAAGGACCCTGAGGGCCAACTCATGCAACCCCCTGAAGTGCAGGAATCTCAATGCATGGTCTCCCATCCTATCTGAAACCATACCAGAACCTGCTTAGCTTTGCAAATGTGCTCACAGTTTTATTGCTGCACCTCTAGCAGGTGTCTTCTCTGTATCCCAGCCTCTTCTCAAAAGCAGGAGGAACTCTTTCATTCATAAGGGGGGGTTGGGCTCCAAGCCCAAGGGTGTATCTTTGGAGACCATTAAAACTGATATAAAGCTGAATGATTACACTTACATGGAAGTCTAAATGGAATTTATTGACTGGTGTAGAATTTGGAGTACTTTGGCAAAGGCCTCTGAATTAGATTTGTTATTTATTTTGCACTTACAATATAAATTTGTTGGTAACAACTACAGCTTTGGTTCCCCTTAGCTATTCTCTCCTCTCTTCAAAGGCAGTCATCAGCAAGCCGCAGTTAATTTATGAACTGTCTCACATTTTCCTCGTAGCACTTAGAGAAAGTTCAATTTTCTTTTCTCTGAAATACTGATCAAGCAAGTACCTTACTACCTCCCCTAACATTAACAAGTCACAAGGGATTGTAGAGAAGCTTAATTAATTCCTTGCATCTGTGAACGATTCTGGACTGATATCCACAACTGAATCCAATGCTTTCAGGAAAGGTGTCTGAAGACCAGAGAGGCATTCTTCTCCCTTTGCCATGAGCTGACATAATGAGCTCATGGAGATCCATGCTCTCATCTTCTATCTCTTTATTTTTTGTAGAAGAACAGACCCTCAGTGTCACCCTGTATTTGGATCAGAACCATGGCACTGGGAAGGGTGGCTTAACCCTTTCCTTCTTACCATTTTCCAGATGAGAACCACCTTCTCCTGAAACTGTTATGGCCCCCCATTAAGCCTAATCCAGATACAACACACACAAACACACATTTTTTTAAACAATATGGTGTACCCCTAGGAAAGTGGAGGTGGGTAGGGAAAAGTTGTGTATTGTTCATTGCCAGTGGTGTTGCATGTGGTATCTGGTAGGTGCCACAACGTTTGAGGCAAGCGCAATCTACATTCTACTCAGTACGCACAAGGGCAGTTGATTTGATTCTTCTGCTCCTTTCCTTCCACTGTCTTCCTTTCCCTTCCCTTTGCTCACAGGCACAGAAGACAGGAACTCGGGTTTCTGCTGGGCAAGTCTTCGCAAACAATCCCTGGAAGCAGGGGTGCCATTTTAGATTTCATTGGACCTGGGTGGCATTCGGGTGCTTCATAAGCAAAAGCAACAGAGTGGGCTAGAGTTCCTGAATCATGTGTTGTTAGAAAATCGGGCATGACCATTCCCCACAAATACCAGGCTCCACCAAGACAACAAGGGGTGTGCGCACTGGTGACACAACACACTGAGCAAACACAGCTTTTTGCAACATATTGGGCTGTAGAGGTTTTTGTCTGTATGTGATGGCCTGGGATTCGGACTCAGAGGTTGAACCTGAGGAATCCCAGCCTGCACACGAGTCCCCGCCTCCAGAACCAGCTGAGCCGGGGCTGGGGCCTGAGCCTGAAGGGTCCTCACCTGTGCTGGATCCTTGGGTGCAGGCACCAGCTGAGTCTGCTCTGGCCCCTGAGGTGATGGAGGACCCATTGCCTGCAGGTGCTCCACTCTCAGCCCTGTCAGGGGAAGACCAGGTTGCCTCTGGGTCCGGTAACCCTCCAGCCTCTCCTGAGCTGCAGAGGCTCAGGGCAGAGAGGCGGAGGGAACTAAGTTCCCGCAGGAGGAGTGCTTGCCTCCAGGCCAGGAGAGGTGAGTCACCAGAGGATTGGGGCCGCCCTATGCCTCGGGGCAGATAAAAGCCAGTCAGACCCAGTCCCAGGTTGCGGGAGCAATGTTGTTGCTAGCCTGTTCCTGCCTGCACCCTGTCCTGCTCTTCTGCCAGAGTTCCTGACCCCACCCGACTCCCTGCCTTGGACCCAGCTACAGCTCTGACGGACAGCCTCCATACCACACCATTGACCTCGGACTGGACTCGGACCTCGCCTCTCGGTTAGCCCCCAGGACCAGCACACTGTAATTGCTTCGGTTATGCACAGCCCTTCCTTTCCCATTTAATTAAAAGAGAAGGCCCCTTAGAGTCTAGAAGACTACTTTCCATTTCCCAGCAGGGAAGCCTCTGTTCCTGATTTATTCCTTTTAATTTGAATCAGGCCGACTTGAAAACACAGACAAGATAATGCAATCATGCAATAAGTGGTCTGTGGGATGATACTTTGAATCAGGCATATATTAGGCAGTAATAACTTCCCTGTGCAATTACAGTTCTTTTCAATAGCACTATTCTGTATTGTGTGTGTTTTTTTCTATTTGAGCACTTAGTGTCTTTAATTTCCATTTGCTAATTGTCTCTTTGCTTTCAAATTCGGTCGTATGTTCCTGAACATTGTATTAGTCACTTTCCAAATCTCTTTGTGTCCCACCTCTCGGTATTTATTTTCTTAAAGTGGAAGTTGTTGGAGAACAAAGAGCCCACCCCAAAAACTAATTCCACCCACAGACAACTGCTTAGTATGCCCCTCAGCCTCCCTCCATGTCTCCCTCCTCCTTCAAGTCTCTCCTCAAAACACGCCTCTTTAAGTGCAACATTTACAGCATGGGTAGGTAGGCAAACTAAGGCCTGGGGGCCGGATCCAGCCCAATCGCCTTCTCATTCCGGCCAGTGGATGGTCCGGGAATCAGTGTGCTTTTACATGAGTAGAATGTGTCCTTTCATTTAAAATGCATCTCTGGGTTATTTGTGGGGCCTGCCTGGTGTTTTTACATGAGTAGAATGTGTGCTTTTATTTAAAATGGATCTCTGGCATAGCTGTCAACTTTCCCCTTTTCTTGTGAGGAATCCTATTTGGAATAAGGGAATTTCCCTTTTTTTAAAAAGGGAAACGTTGACAGCTATGAATTCTCTGGGTTATTTGTGGGGCATAGGAATGCGTTCATATTTTTTTCCTAAATATAGTCTGGCCCCCCGCAAGGCCTGAGGGACAGTGGACCGTCCCCCTGGTGAAAAAGTTTGCTGACCCCTGATTTACAGCAACAACAGTTTTTAAATACATTAAAAAAAGGGTGGTGGTGGTATCTGGACCGGGGCCAATGCAGATGGAGAGAGAAGGTTTAACTCCCAACCATGATGGCTATGATCTACCTCCACAGTTGGAGGCAGTATGGTTATTGGAAACTCATAGAATTGCAGAGTTGGAAGGGAGCATAAGGGTCATCTAGTCCAAAGGCTCGGACCCGTGCTTTCTCTGTAGATGGAAGGTTTTTTTTAAGGTTTAATTTTTTTTTAATGTTTTGATATCTGATGAAAGCCACCCAGAGTGGTGGGGCAACCCAGTCAGATGGGCAGTGTTATCATTGTTAGTTTTATTATTATGATTGGCATGGGACAAGTACCAGTGCCAGTGAGGCCTTGCCTGGTACTTAGTGTTCCATTTGTTCCCGAGTTCTGTGTCTTTGTTGCATCCCTGTGTCACACTGTGACATAATCAAGAAATGGAACATGGATAAATGGGCAGGGCTATTTAAAAATGAGTAGGTGTAATTCTTAATGGCTTCCATTATGGAACAATATAAACAGGCTGCAATCAAAAGCAGTATTGGGGGGAAAGTTAATTTGTTCTTCAAAGGAAACCGGGGCCACAAGTTGCTTGTTTCCCAACATTGTGTTCCTAATGTTGTACGCCATCTTGGGATCTTTGGATAAAGGGTGATATAAAACTAAACTAAACTAAACTAGACTAAAGCATTGCTTGAGTTTCTTTCCCCTCCTTAGTCAGCTTCCTCAGTCTCAGTACTGCCCTTGCAGAACTCAACAGAGAGGAGATAAAATTAAGAGGAGTTGTTGTTCCTCAGGCGCCACCTACTGGTGACCTCCCTGTCTTCTACCCTATCTGCCTCAATGACCACTGGCAATGACTGCTACCTATAAATCTGAATTTTTGTTCGATGACTAGAAATGACTAGAAATGGCGTACATCAGGAAGGTCAATGTTGCACAACCTTCACCTGTTTTGTTCAGCATTGATACTAAACCAGGAAGTGTATATTCCTCCTCATTTAGAGCTGCAATGGGATAGTGGTGTTGATCACTTAAATACATCGTTTGACAGTGGGTCAGCATAGATAGACTCTCCATGCCCAAACTTCTGGCAAAAGACTGTTATTGATTCGCTGGAAAGATAATACTATGGCACCCTTTGATCAATGGATAGAATATATGACAACTCTTGCAATAGACAAACGGATTGCTTTTAGATGCAGATTGTGTATAGATAAATACAATGATATTTGGAATGCATTTATTAAAAAATATAAAGTTGTGTTACTAGTTTTACATTAGTTTGCATAACTGCATTACTTATATACTCATATTTTGTATTGTATTACAATTTCATGTATTTTTTTTCTTTTTCTTTTTGCCTTTTTGATATATATATATATATATATATATATATATATATGCGCGCATCAGGGACAAGAGGCAGGTAAAAGAGTCCTCCAAAGCTGATAATGAATGAAATGATTCTCAGGTGATCTCAACATGTGCATCTCAATCCCCATGCTACAGAAGTCAGTGGGGTGATATGTCTGGCTATTTCCGCATTTCATAAGTGCATACAAGCGTTCTTTGTATAAAGACTCTACCGTGCAAATGTATGACCAAGGCATCATTCTGTACTTATGCAAAGAGTGCCCATCACTAATACATAAGAAACCAGCCAATTTACCAGATTAATGTGCTTGTTCATCTTCAGATTTTTCACGGGGGGCCTGCCAAATCAGATGACTACCTAGAAAGGAGGAGGGAAAGCTTTTTGAATATTCATGTTTAAGTCAAAGAACTTCATTTTCTTTTCAAAAGTAGATGGGACTGGTGGCAGGGGAGAAACTCCATGGGCTTATATAAAGCTTTGTTGATTTATGATGTGCAATGATTTGTCCCTTAGAGGAAAACAAAAACACCCCAAGGCTGCAATCCTACACTTATCTACTAGGAGTAAGCCCCAGGACCCTCACTGGAGCTTACTTCTGAGTAGACAGATACAGCATTGCACTATATTTTGTTTAATTTCCTCTTTATAATGGAAGAGAAGAGAAAAACTGAAACAGAGGAAACCGTGAGATTTATGTGTGCGTTTTAGCTCCTTGACTTTATGAAAGGCAATTTCATTTTATATACAAAACACAGGGACCATAAAATTTACAATCCAGATATTTCTGAACATTCCTATTGAATTCACTCAGACTTTTCTGGCACAAACCATATGTGAAGTTCACTTAAAGGACTTGACTTAACAACAACAACAACAACAATTTCATTATTTATACTCCGCCCATCTGGCTGGGTTTCCCCATTTCACAATAGTTGCATTGATTGCAAATGACGAAGATTTGCAAAGCATCATTTGAAATGACATAATTAGACAGATCTAGGGCACTCCCAGAAAATATGTTTATTGAGCATTCATCCTGATGTGATGGGAGGGAAGTTAGGTGACATTGGCTATTTGATGAGCATTCACTCCTACATGTTGACGTGGCATCAAAGCAGTAATTGTCCCATGCTTCTCCGTGCCTTTTCCTGTCACTTTCCTTATTGCAAAAAGTCTGCTCTTTGGAGGAAGCGGGTTTTTTTGCACCAGAGATTTCACTGTGCAACTTGAATTGGCTAGTATGGGATCGAGTCCTGTCCGAAAACAGTGACAGTCTGGAAATGGCCCTAGAGATTAGAAATGAATGGAAAATGGAGCAAAATAAATACAGTGGTACCTCAGGTTAAGTATTTAATTCGTTCTGGAGGTCTGTTCTTAACCTGAAACTGTTCTTAACCTGAAGCACCACTTTAGCTAATGGGGCCTCCCGCTGCCGCTGCACGATTTCTGTTCTTATCCTGAAGCAAAGTTCTTAACCCGAGGTAATATTTCTGGGTTAGCGGAGTCTGTAACCTGAAGCGTGTGTAACCTGAAGCGTATGTAACCCGAGGTTCCACTGTATAGATATATCGCTGGCTCATGAATGCAACTGGGTATTCACATGGCCATGGCTTACAATTTTCACTGTTCTTTTATTACACAAAGATTCCACTTAACACACACACATGCAAGGACTTGTATCCTTAATCCCATTTCGCTTCCAATGCAGTGCCCTCTCCTGTCCTCTAGAGGGCTCATGCGTGCCAGAAGGCTCAGGGTGTGCCACCCTCTGCCCAGCCGAGTCCTTGTCAGGTGCAAAGTTATAGTTACCATGCAGCAGGCAATTAATGCACAGGTTGGGTTAGGAAACACACCTACCCCCATTCATTCTATGGCAATGGCCACTTGTCATAGCAAGAACTTCTCCCTGATCTGTTTCCACAGCTGGTATTTGCGACAGGCACTATGTTGGTCTACAGCAACAGGCTACTCCAATTTTGGGGATCACAGGGGAACTCCCTCTTCCCAGTGCTCAGAAAATGACAGCTCTCTGCTGACCTCTTTCTTCCTCTGTCCTACACCCCCTTGAAACGATAGCCCTTCTCTCCTTTTCCATGCGCGAGTAAGTTACCAGTGCAAGGGTCAGTGGCTAGAGAAAGGGCAAAGAGTGCATTGGGAAACAGCTGAGATCCTTCAGCCATTACACTAGAACATTATTCATATCAAGATGAGTTTTTACAACCACCCAGGACACTCTACGCAAACCATATAAGGCAAGGGTTGGGGAACTCAAACAATAAGTTACCAGATCTCAGTGTGTTTAGCGCCCCTGCAATAAACTTGGTGGTAAGGATAAGAAATCCAGCTTTTCTCCCCAAAAGTACAACACACTGTGAAACCGGGTTAGTTGACAGAAGCACCTTGTGCGTGCAAGTCTTGTGTGTGCAGCGAGCCTCTTTGTGTATAGTAGATGCAATAAAAATGGAATATGATAAGCTGTGTTTATGTTATGACAAAAGCTTGAGCAATCTCGCCTGATGTAGCCCGAGCTGAAAGATTATGCGATACAGAGTTCAGAAAAACAACTTAGGGACATAAGAAAACCCTGCTGGATCAGGCCAGTGACCTATCTAGTTCGAATTTCTGTTGTCATGGACTGGCGGCATGTAGCTGCTGGGGAACCCCCAAGGGAAGACGGCTCAGAGCCAGGGGATTGGTGGTGGGATGACGATGAGTGGTCAGGGGGAGAAAAGGGAGAAGACTGGGAGAAGGAGGTGATGGGAGCTGAAGAGGCAACAGGGCAAAGGAAGCAGCAGCAGGTACACCCTACACCAGTGGTTTTCAACCAGTGTGCTGTGGCACCCTGGGGTGCCTTGAATGATAGACAGGGGTGCCACGGGCAACACTGGCCTCTGTCCCTTTCCTTCTCTCCCTCCTCTGAAGCTCAGAGACCAAGGGTGGCTGCTGAGAGGACTCCCAAGGAGAGGGGAAGCTGAGGGAACATTTCACATGGGAGCGTGTTCGCAAAAGGGTGAGAGGCTGCCAGCTCTGCAGGCAAGGGGTGACATAACTGGGCTCCTGAGCCCCACAGGGGTGCTGCAGAATGAATGTAGTTGGTCAAGGGAGCCTTGGACCAACCTCTGCCCTACACCCACCATACTGTTCCTTGTGTTTCCGAGCACAATTCAAAATGTTGGTGCCCTAAACGGCCTCGGCCCAGTATACCTGAAGGAGCGTCTCCACCCCCATCGTTCTGCTCGGACACTGAGGTCCAGCGCCGAGGGCCTTCTGGCAGTTCCCTCGCTGCAAGAAGGCAAGTTACAGGGAACCAGGCAGAGGGCCTTCTCGGTAGTGGCACCTGCCCTGTGGATCGCCCTCCCACCAGATGTCAAAGAGAAAAATAACTACCAAACCTTTAGAAGACATCTGAAGGCAGCCCTGTTTAGGAAAGCTTTTAATGTTTAATAGGTTATTGTATTTTAGTGTCCTGTTGGAAGCCGTCCAGAGTGGCTGGGGAAACCCAGCCAGATGGGTGGGGTATAAATAATGTTGTTGATGTTGTTGTTGTTGTTGTTGTTGTTGTTGTTGTTGTTGTTGTTGTTATACTAGTTTGACCATTTAAAAGGGTAAGGAAGGGCTGTAGCTTAGTGGAAGAGCATCTGCCTTGTTCATAGAACATCATAGGATCTCCAGGTAGGGCTGGGGAAACCTGGAGTGTTGCTGTCAATCAGTGTGGACAATATTGAGCTAGATGGACTAATGGTATAAGGTAACTTGCTGTGATTAAGAACTTCAGAATGCCTTTTCCCCTTTGGTTAGCTTTTAACTGACTTTTCCCACCTCACTTTTCTTAGTTCCAGCTCAGTGTCCAGCAAAGAAGTCTACAGTGGTACCTCTGGATGCGAACGGGATCTGTTCCGGAGCCCTGTTCGCATCCTGAAGTGAATGCAACCCGCGTCTGTGCGTGCACGGGTCGTGATTCGCCACTTCTGCGCATGCACGTGACATCATTTTGAGCATCTGCACATGCGCGAGCGGCAAAACACAGAAGTAACGCGTTCTGTTACTTCTGGGTTGCTGCAGAGCACAACCTGAAAACGTTCAACCTGAAGCAACTTTAACCCGAGGTATGACTGTGTCGCCTGAGAAAGTTTACTATGCCATTTTTTTAACAATAAAAACCTCACAAAAATAGTTAAGATACATTTTCTTCTCCCCTTCCTCTTACTGTATTATTTTGCAGTAAGGAAGAGAGCTGCCTCAGTGGGGGCAACTTACACAACCGAATAATATTGTAAGTCGTGTGCAATTTGCATGTTTGGTTCTGCTGGGAATGCATTTGCATAATTTAGCTGTGTAATGCCAACTTGCAGCAAACAGATCCATAAATGGCCAGCTATTCCTGCCGGCTATTTAAAAAAGCCATTTTTGCACAATGACCTCCTGCCATGCCCAGCCTCATAAACTTTAGATTAGATCCAGAGGACTGAGAAAATATTGGAAGGGAGGGGGAAAGAGAGAGAAGGTAGGCTGTGAAAGACCAGGTGCCTTTTTACAAGCGCAAACATGCCCAGATCTTAGCAACAGCCACCAGGCACATCTGACTGCTGTTTGCTCAAACATTCCCTCCCTTAAGTGGATCTCTGTATGAAAGCCTCCCTCTATTTTGCTATTAAAAAATTAAATCCAATCCAAGTATGTTTCAGGCTTGCAGTTCTGCAACAACGAGAGAGCTGTTCTTCAGCAGTACTGAATTAAGCGACTGCCAGACCATTTGAAGGGGAGGTGGATGTTTCGGTTTTTAAAAGAAGCTTCATCTAAGAAGTTGCCAAGCTCAAACTCCTATAGAGGGGCTATTATATATTTAAGGATTGCTTAGGAGGAGTGCTGGTACTGGTGTACAAGGCCTGATGTAGCTTAGGACCAGGGTACCTAAAATATTGTCTCACCCTTCTCATACTCAGCTGATCACGGCACTCTGCATCTCATCTGGAGGTCCATTCTGTATGACATAGGAATTGGGCTTTTAGTGTGGAGTCATCTGCCTTTTGGAATCCCTTCCCACTACACATTAGACAGCTGTTGTCTCTGTTGACTTTTTGGCAGCTGCTGAAGATCTTCCTCTTTTAAGAAACCTTGTAAGTGGAGATATTTATCCCAGTCTACATCTGTATTGGACCATATATATATATTTGGAACTATTTTTTTAAACTTTTTATATACGCAATTGTTTTCAAGTTTTTGCATCGTCTTTATATATGGAATAGTTTTAGTTGTTTTAGACACTGCACTGGTTTTTTAAAACTGTTTTTACAGTTTCCTTGTTCTTTGGTTTTCACTGTTTCATAACTGTGTATTCTATTGTTGCAATCTTTTCTGGGGCCATATGGTAAAGGTCAGGCAAGATACCAAACAAAGTGATGTTCATTTCGAAGTCTCCACAGTTGTACTTTTGCAGTTGCCTGAGAACAAACCAGACATTACAAGGTTTATTTATATTTAACAAATTTCTGATCCAGTTTTTTTTTTAAGGAAGATGCTTCAATAAGCAGCCTGTGATCCCCAGCAATTGAAATTCAGAGGCATATGACCTCTAAAACTGGAGATGATACAGCCATCATGACACTGGAGGTTATAAAATGACTAGCAGCCATTCATAGTCTTATCTGCCATGATGTTATTGAATCATCTTTCAAAGCTATCTAAGATGGTGGCTGTCACCAACTACATCTCATGGTAGCAAATTCCATCATGTTGTGTGATGTGCTTCCTCTTAAATTTCCTCTAGGAACTAAAGAGACCAAAGGAGAAAATGAATGATAGTAGAATGGAGAAATCCAAAGTTTCAAGTTTGCTTTTTAAGCAGGTTCAGTGGTCTGGCTTGTGGTCTTTTCAGTAATGTGAAGAATAACAGCAAATCACTCTTGCAGGAGTGAGTGTCCACGACTCATTCCATTTACTCCTCAGGACTTACTGCTGAGACGTTTCTCCCTTTGAACTCAAACCTCAACCCAGCAAATATACTCAATGAACTTTGGTTGAGAAGATGTTTATGGAAGTTTTATAAACTTTGCCATAGCGATTGGTGAGGCCAAAGTCTAAAGGACACAGAAAATATTGCTAGTGGGAAGGGCTCTCCTCTCGAGTTATGGGTTCAAGTAAAATGCATAGTTGTAGCCAAAGGCCACAGTAAACCACAGCTGAATATCTGAATGAATACAGGTGCCTACAAAAGGAACACGTCCCCTGGGAGTTACACGTGATGCTTTTGTGACATGCAGATTGTTCCTAACAGTGAGATTACAAAAGGCTGTAATCTTAAATGGAAAGGCCAATATGGGTAGAAACAGTTTGAAAGAGGAGGGGTTTTTAAAAAGCTGCTCTGGGGAAAGGAGTTGTTGGACCTGCCCCAAGGTGAAAGACTTCTGGGAAAAGATTTATAATGAATTGAAAAAAATGTTGAAATATACATTTATAAAGAAACCAGAAGCCCTTCTTCTTGGAATAACGGGTCTGGAATTGCCCAAGAAAGATGTTAAATTATTTTTGTATGCCACAACTGCTGCTCAAATTTTACTAGCTAAAAAGTGGAAAACGCAATAACTGTAGAAGAATGGCAGATGAAGATGGTGGATTTTTCAGAGCTAGCCGACCTAACCGGAAGAGTCCGCGACCAGAAGGAGGAGGAGTATCAGGAAGAATGGACAAAATTTAATGATTATTTAGTTAAATACGTTAAGTTAAACTAATTCGAAATAGCTTGCAGGTACTAGATCGGCTTAGGATTCTACATAAGTTAAGTGATGAATTAATATGTTTAATACCAAACTGAAAAGATAGAATGATGTTAAGTGACTAAGTTAAGTTTATAAGAACTCTGATTTGGAAAACCGATAAAAGGATATGCATTGAAATTCAACCAAGGGGAAGCAAGGAAGTCACTTAACAATGTTAATAAGTGTAATTTTAATAAGGTTATGATTTTTGTTTGTTTGTTTGTTTGTCCGTTTATAATTTTGTGAAAACCAATAAAAAGTTTTTTTTGGGGGGGGGAAGAGTTGGGATCCTCCTCGGTCTATAACAGCCTTCTGCTTCAGAATGCAACCTCCTTTGCAGTTGCATTTTGAAAAAGATAAAGCATATATTCCCAGCCAAAGTATACCTGATGAAGGACATGTGAATCTGTAGTTTCTCAACAGTTCACATTTTCCCAACCTGAAGCTCATTTCCCCACAGTTCCACATCTGTTTGCAAATTCATTTTCTTTTTCTTTTTTTTTTAAAGTCGCCATGAAAAGTCTCCAGCAGTTTAGTGCAAATTTCTCCTCATATTCACATATGCGATTTTTGTACAATACACAATCATTGCAAACAATCACATATAATGTATTTTTTGACGTTCTTTTCATGAATCTGTGTACTTTCCCGCAATGCATACATTTTGTTACGCACTACTTTGTTGGAGAACTGCGTTGCAAAATTCGGAGAAGTCTGAATTTCAAAGGATGACCCTGTTTCAGTTTACATATTGTTTCAGGAAGGGTGAATTAAGTAGATTCATCTTTAAATGAGCACTGAACCAGCTCTCTCCACCATCCCTCTACTTGACTGAGCATTATTGGGCCTTTGTGAAGAACCCGCTGTGCTTAATCATAGGTCACACCTCAATTAAGCTACCAGCACCAGAAAAATGTTTGAGAGTTGCTCTGCATATCAAGCACTATCTACTTATCAGCATAGTTTCTTGCAGTAATTTATGTAGAGGGATTACAGCAACGGCCATTAAAATTGAAAGGTATCCTTTTGTTTCCTAAGTCCCAAAGACTACGAGACTAGCCTGGGCACAATTCCAGATAGGTAATAGAACACATAGCTATAAAAGGCAACTTTGCTAAACTCTGAAATTAAAACTGGTGAGGAGGCAGTCATGCAAGCAAATTAGAGGTGTGGATTCAGTTTTTACAATAAAAAATACTTTTATATCACATGAAAAGGTCAGGTGCTTCTGTAATCCCTGGTTTAAAGAGCCTATATTCTGTTCTCGATAACAGGCTTTCCTCCCCTGGCTGTGTACCTCCTTTATTATTAAGTCAAATAAAAGCTATTTGACATCCAAGTTTTATTTCAGACTGGGAAAGCATACAGCTGCATTTGGCCACAGTAATACGCCGTGGTTTATGTATAGGAACAAGCAGCAGCCAGCTTAATCTTGCCTGATAACCACCTCCCCTCTCCTTCTGTGATGGGGTTGGAAGCATTTCTTGATAAATCAGAGTTCAGCAATATGTACACACCCTAAACTGTGGTTAATATTAACTATGGTTTGCTGAAACAAGGTGGCTTCATAACCCAAGGTCTGAAGTTCCAATAAATAATAGTTAATTAAGGTCAAACACTGTTCGGCCAGGTTCAGGCGCCATGGCAACCTGCAGTTAATTAAAAACATAGGTGAAGACTACTGATTTCCTCCCTGGGGCCTCTGTGAACATTGCTGACATATGATTTGATAATTTAATACAAGCGCTTCACTAGCAACCCTGCCAAAGCAGGAGACAGCATGAAAAATGTGCTGAAGACTGGATTAAAGTGTCAAAATTCCACAGGGAGAGATAATGGAAGACACAGCAGACAGAGATTCTGTCATGCGGTATGAAGCGGAAAAATGTGCTGAAGACTAAATTAAAGTGACAATATTCCAAGGGCAGTGACTTAGAAAAAGATCTTGTCAACCTCCCCAAGACAATTCTTCAAATAACCTGGTGCAAAAAGTTATCAGATTTCAGCAGGACTTTAAAGGGTATACACCGGAACTGAAAACACCACACAACATTAGCAGGTGTAAATGGCATTGGAATTGGGCCCTAATAGCATCATGAGCACAAATAATAATGGGTGCACAATAAAAAGGACATATGGAAGGGCTCCTGGAAGAGGTGTCCATGAGGGTTTGTTACATGCTCATATCTAATTATAGACTTGTAAAATTGGAAGGGACCACAAAGATCACCCAGTCCAACCCCCTGTGATGAGGGAATCTTTTTGCCCAGTGCAGGGCTCAAACCCACAACCCTGAGAGTCTCATGCTCTACCAACTGAGCTACCCTGCATCTACCTTCATGCATAGATCTACCCACAGAATCAAGTCCCACTGCGTACAATGGGACTTCCTCCCCGGGTAAGGTGTGCAGAAGTTCACCCTTAGCTGAATTATTCTGCAGCCTCAGCTGAATTCTAATTATGTTGTTGATGCAGACACAACTTCACCAGTGATTTCCTGTAAACAAGGCAGCTAGTCTCCAGAGGGACCTTCTTAAAAGACAGATATGATGAATCTGTAATTCATGTGGAAATATCATGCTTCCAGGAGGCTTCCTGAAAGAGGGCTTGCTTTTACCAAAAACAGAACAGATCATGATATTCTTTGAGAAAACTGTAGACTGAGAGGAACAAGAACTTACAAAAATAACAATAAGTACCTTTGGGCTAGTGGGAAGCAATGAACTATGGCAGCAACCAAATTATGGATTACAGTGGTACCTCGGGTTACATATGCTTCAGGTTACATACGCTTCAGGTTACAGACTCTGCTAACCCAGAAATAGTGCTTCAGGTTAAGAACTTTGCTTCAGGATGAGAACAGAAATCGTGCTCTGGCGGCACAGCAGAAGCAGGAGGCCCCATTAGCTAAAGTGGTGCTTCAGGTTAAGAACAGTTTCAGGTTAAGTACGGACCTCTGGAACAAATTAAGTACTTAACCCGAGGTACCACTGTATTATTTTTTTTTTAAAAAATCAAATAGAGTGTATCCACACAGCAGTTTTCTGTGGACTTTGCACTGCTTGTGCTAAGAAATTTTCCTCAGCATCTGCATAACATTGCTGCCAATATAGTTCCTTTATTTAATTTGAAATTGCCTGTGGAAAGTCCAATGCTGTGGAAGCCTCTTAGTGCATTCTTTTTGGTGGGCGATGCTTCAATGAGCAACCTCTGTTGCTACACCCTTATTTCTGTTTTCTCCTTGCATGAGCAGATTTATGCAAGTCTTGTAATAATAAAAACAAATGTTTGGGTCTGCTTGATGCTCTGAGTGTGTGGGGTGGTGGTGGGGATGCTATCTTTGTGTCAAACATTCTGCAGATTAAGATAATTCCTCTCCCCCCGATTTCTCCAACTGACGTTCAATTTCAACTGCAAACACCACAGAACTTGGGTGCATTGCTGAGATGGGAATGGGAGTCACATTGGTCCTGACTGCTGAGCCTCTTCTCACTGTTTCCCCCAGCTTCTCTGAGAGTTTCCTTGCCTCTTCCTTGCTGAGCGGGGCTGTCTGATGATAGTTGAAAGAGAAAAAAACATAAGGAAGAGGCAAGCATCTCTGTTCGGCAGGAAGCGGCATTGAAATCTCATGCTTTTTCTCTCCAGTGCTGCAGGGAACTCTAGAAGAGGTTTGAAAAACAAGACAAACAGAGGTTCGGGACTGAATGTATTCTCCTCCCCACAATCAAATCCTGAGGTGCTTTAAATCGAAATTGAACATCAGCTGAAGAAGGCTAGGATAAAGGAGTTATCTTACTTTGGCTTGGCACATGCACACCCAGTTAGTGAACTAAACAACCCCCTTTGGTTTTTATTATTACAGATCTAGCATAGCAGAGCTGTGGGGGGGGGGGGAATTAATAATGTAAGCTAACTTGTGATTGACGGGTAGGAGAAAAGACCATACCCAAGGTATTTGTCAACAGCCAAAAATGAAAACAGAAAAATCAAATCTAAATGACCTGTTTGTGGGAATTTGCCCCCATGTGGACACAGCCCTAAAGAAATTTCATTGTGGGAATTAAACTGGCCCTGTTCTCTGCTGTTCCACTTACCTCAGGCTGATCCAGGCAAGAAATCTAGCAATTGCATGATAATACATACAGTCTGTTCGCCAAGATGTCTGAAGCAACTGAGTTTATTGGATTAAGAGAGAATAAGACATTCTTTTCTCTTTCAGATCTCATAAGAGAATAATATAACAACCTTTTAAAAATGAAAAATGAGTGAGGGTTCAGGAATTAAGGATAGCATATATTTATGGTAATTGTGCCAAACATTTTTTTCTAGGATGGATGTTTATTATTCCATTAATCTTACTTATGATACTTATTCCAACTGTGATATGTCTTTATGCTGACTGAGATTTATATGTTAAGTTGTTTGTGTGCTAATTATTTCTCCTATTTAGTTCATTAAATTTATACACTACACGACTTTAAAGAAAAACCTCAAAGCAGTTTACAAGGTTACGATACTTAAAAAACTTGTGGAACAGTAATTACAGTGGTACCTCGGGTTACAAACGCTTTGGTTACAAACGCTTCGGGTTACAAACTCCGCTAACCCAGAAGTAGTTGTTCCGGGTTGCGAACTTTGCCTCAAGATGAGAACGGAAATCGCACGCCGGCAGCGGGAGGCCCCATTAGCGAAAGCGCGCCTCAGGTTAAGAACGGTTTTGGGTTAAGAACAGACCTCTGGAAAGAATTAAGTTTGTAACCCGAGGTACCACTGTAATTGTGTTCCCTGCTGCTCAGTTTCTCCACCTGGGGTACAACTGACCCTGTAAACATGCAGTTTGTTCCTGCATCTTTGGAAAGGACCTGCCCATCTAGGCTGGGCAGGGGGAATTTCTGTAAAAGAGTTCCTGTTCTACTGAGCCATTGGCTAGGCAGCAAGTTAGCCCTGACCTTCTACATTTCTGAAAACTCCTTCAGGACTGACTTCCTGGATAAACTCCTATCTCACCTCCAACAGTTCCTTACAGCACAGTCTTGGCACTGTCTTGCCCGTTGCCTTCTTTGGCATATATATACTGAGTCACACTGAATACAGTCAAATAAATATTGTGAAACCCCATTTTTTTGTCCAAGAAAAGACAAAAGGAATCATAAAGTTTCCCAAGGGATGTCAAGTAGAAATAACTCAGGGTTTTGTCAATGGTAATTCCTTCTAACTCAAGGATTACAATGCTTGCATTTACAGGTCAACTAGGGTGAATCCATTTTCCTGAGAATGTCCTGGTTTTTACCTCAGGTTCATTAACTTGTGGGAACAGGCCCAGCTAACAACAACTACTGCCAAATATACAAACTGAATGAACTGGTAGGGAATAAGAAGGGGTGGGTGGGACGAAATACCATACTGCTAAACAGTCCTGATTTGAGTGGGACACCTTGGGATTACAGAAGCCATCTTGACTTCTCATTGGATCCCAGAATGTTCTGTTTTTTGGTCTTGCGCCACGACGCCGGATCAAAAGGCACTCGTGTTTTCGGCCAAAAGACGAATGAGAGGGCTAGACCAAAAAACTAGAATCCTGGTTTTAATCAGCAGGATGTTGGAGGGTATGAGATACTTCCTTCTAACCTCTTCTGGGTATACGGGGGAGATTTTATATGTAATTGGCCAAGCAATTTCAGGCCAAAGTAGACTGACCCAGTTTTGCTATTCTCTCCTTTACCCTCCCAGTTTTATGGTGATATAATAAAAGTATGCAAAGTGCAAACTTAGAGTTCACCCACATTTCCACTTGTCCCACAGCTTTTCCCTAGGAAAACCCATTGTTTACAATTGAACTGGAACAAATACCTGCAGATTGTTCCGATTCAGCAGTAAACAGCGGGTTTTCCTGGGAAAAGTGGCGGTGCAAACGAAAAACCTTTACCAGGAAATAGGAAGAGATTCATGGCAGGCATCCCTTCTGCTTAATGGTCTTGGATTATTCAACTGGTTGGCAATACATTAACAGGCCATCATTGAGCAAAGGTTTTCATGGAAATTAGACATGATGTCCACAGATGCAGTAAACAGAATATTTCCACAGATTAAGACAGCTAGAGTGAAGCTCATAGATGACTTAATCCAACCCCAACTAATGAGATGCAACACATCTTTTGCAAAGGTTAATCTTACAAGAAATTAAATTAGAGTTTCCCAAGCAGATCACAACAGGAATGACTGAAGTTATTCAATTCCACAGAAGCCTTTCACACAGTGCATGAGGTTCTGGGCTGGTGGAATGTCATAGGATCACAGAATCATAGAATTGCATGGAACTGGCGGAAATGACTGGCAGAATCCAAGACCAGGGAGAAGAGTCGGTGGAAGAAGATTGGAAGAAATTTAAAGTTTACTTACAGAAACATTGTAAAATTAAGGAATGTTAGAAGGATGTCGGAATGAAGTAATGTGGTTTTAGCAGAGATGCTGTAAAGGATTAAGAAAAAACAGATTGTTAAATGGTGAAAGGAGGGAAAGTAAAGTTACATTATATTAAGATAAAATAGAGGACAAAAACTGGAAAGGATGGAAAGGACTTGCTGAAATAGCTAATTGAACTAGAATACAAAAAAGGGAGGTGTGAGGAGGTCAAGGAAACAAGCAAATGAAAGATAAGTTATGGGAAGATTCATTGTATTTTTTTCTTTTTTCTTTTTTTCCTTTTTTTCTTTTTTCCTTTATTGTGATGTGAGGTTCTGTTTTGGCTTAGTATGCTGTTTTCTATTTTTTCTTTTTGTAACCTTTCAAATCTTAATAAATATTATTTAAAAAAAACAAAACAGAATCATAGAATTGATTCTGTGAAGCTGGAAATGTTTGAAATATGGCAGCCCTACTCAGCCAAAGCGTCCGAAACAGATGACCATCAAACCTCTGCTTAAAAACCTCCGCTGAAGGAGAACCCACAACCTCCTGAGAAAGTCCATTCCACTGTTGAACAGCTCTTAATGCCACAAAGTTCTTCCTAATGTTTAGTTGGGATCTTCTTTCGTGTAACTTGAAGCCATTGGTTCGAGTACTACTGGCTAATTTAGATCCATCACAATCTGCAACATAACTGGCACCTAAGTAACAGACCAATGACAAACCTAGACAGCATCTTAAGAAGCAGAGACATCACCTTGCCAACAAAGGTTCGTATAGTTAAAGCTATGGTTTTCCCAGTAGTGATGTATGGAAGTGAGAGCTGGACCATAAAGAAGGCTGATCGCTGAAGAATGGATGCTTTTGAATTATGGTGCTGGAGGAGGCTCTTGAGAGTCCCATGGACTGCAAGAAGATCAAACCTATCCATTCTGAAGGAACTCAGCCCTGAGTGCTCACTGGAAGGACAGATCGTGAAGCTGAGGCTCCAATACTTTGGCCACCTCATGAGAAGAGAAGACTCCCTGGAAAAGACCCTGATGTTGGGAAAGATGGAGGGCACAAGGAGAAGGGGACGACAGAGGACGAGATGATTGGACAGTGTTCTCGAAGCTACCAGCACGAGTTTGACCAAACTGCGGGAGGCAGTGGAAGACAGGAGTGCCTGGCATGCTCTGGTCCATGGGGTCACGAAGAGTCGGACACAACTAAATGACTAAACAACAAAGTAACAGACTCCTCTCGCTCATTAATTTTCCAATTCTTTAATTAAAATGGAAATTAAACGCAGGTCCTTTTTTTTTAAAAAAAAAAGGGTGATCCTTTGAGTTAAAAACAGAGGGAAAAGATAGTCTTTAAACATGTTTGCTAAACAGGTTGCACTTGTCCCTCTGCTTCAACCACTTTTGACCATCAGCTTGCAATGCCATTTATTTTATTTTTGCCATTCTCTCCCTGTAAATATAAGCTTTATTTATTTATTTCTTATGGGTGGGGAGACAAATGTCTAATCTGAGGCTCATGGTTATGCTCCCGCTTCACGGACCACAAGCTGCAATCTAGGTTTGTTCTTGATTACAGCTCCTGGATCAGGAGCAGAGAGCTTAACCCAAAACTTGGGTTTAGACAACACGCTAAGCCAAACCTTAGCATTTTTGCTCAGGCTGACTAATTCCCTTCTTTCCTCGCCTCGCCTATAAAAATCCAAGTTTGTTCATTTTTTTACTTAAAGCTGCTGATTCCCATAGCTCGATGAACCGCTCTTTTAAATGAAGAATTTCTTTTCCAATACAATGTCATCTCTAAGACTCTAATACACAAGGACGCAGCAAGAAAGCCAAACAAAGCCTCATTTTCTGAAAGGAATGTGGAAAAAGCACTCTAAACAAACCATGGAAAGCCATTAGCCCAGAGTCACAGGGCAGGCTAGATGGAACCACCAAGCGGCGATTCTGGCAGCCACACTGCAGAAGTGACAAAGATAGCATCTTTCCATGTTTGGCTTTGTTACATGTGTGGAAAGGATGCTTGCAAGAAAATAATCCTTCCAGGAAGAAGGAAGAAGCCTTCAGTTCCAAGAAATGTAGAAGGCAGTTACCAAATTATCCTCAGCAATTGCTCGTCACCTTAGACTGCTTCTTTTAAATTCAGACTGTAAACAACTCATTAGTGGGGTTTTTTTTGATGTTGCTGTTGTCAAACTTGCATCTCCTTTCAGTAGAAAGAGCAAACACCACTCAGTACCAACACGTGATGCTGAACCACATGGCGGTGGCAACCTCACAAATTATTTTATTGGCTTTCTGAGCCACTTAATGTATAATTTGATAACATACAAATTGCCTTGCTTGGAGCAGACCTCAACCTCCAGCATGCCGTTTCTAATTGCAGCAAAACAGATGTCTCTATAACCAGGGTAGACAACAGGAAGACTTCCACATGCTTCAGACTCCAGCTCCTATCAGCTACAGCAAGCATGGCCAGTGCTCAGGGATGATGGGATTTCTGGGTGGGTGGGGCAAGGGGGGGTTGTTGCCTCGGCACATGCTTATTGAGGGTGCATTTTGCTTTTCATGCTGGCCCTGCCAGCCCCGTACAGTGGTACCTCAGGTTACAGACGCTTCAGGTTACAGACTCCGCTATCCCAGAAATAGTACCTCAGGTTAAGAACTTTGCTGCAGGATGAGAACAGAAATCGTGCAGCAGCGGCGCAGTGGCAGCGGGAGGCCCCATTAGCTAAAGTGGCACCTCCGGTTAAGAACAGTTTCAGGTTAAGAACAGACCTCAGTCTGGCAGATGAAGATGATGGACTTTTTGGAGCTAGCTGACCTGACTGGAAGAATCCGCGACCAGAAAGAAGAAGAATATCAAGAAGACTGGAAGAAATTTAAGGACTATTTGAATAAATATTATAATATAAATAACTAGAAGTCCCTTGAAAGTACCAAATAGGCCTAGGACTAGATTAGGATGTAATTATATAAATGTGATTTAGATGGTAAGAAAAGTGAATATGATAGATAACAGTTGGAAATACGTTTGTTTAAGAATGATATTGGAAAGCTGTTATATGCAGATACAAGGAAATTCAGAAGGGAGGGAATAGAGGAAGTCAACATGTAATTAAGGTTGGGTTTTTAAAGGACTAAGTTCGTCTTTTTTTTTTAGTATTGTGGTGGGTAGGATGGGGTCTTTTGTATTGTTTTTCTTTCTTTGATGTATTCCCCCCCTTTGTTTGTTGTTCTGTTATGTGATATTTGTTATGATTGTGGAAAATTAAATTATTATTTTTTAAAAAAACAAAGAACGGACCTCCAGAACTAATTAAGTTCTTAACCCGAGGTACCACTGTACTGCTTTGCGAGTCCGATTCCACACCCTAGACTCACAAAGCAGCGTGGGGCTGGCAGGGGGTCAAGAGCATGACGTCAGGGACAGGGCAGAGGAGGAATGGTGGAGACCCCAGCCTGACCCTTCCCGTTCAGAATTACAACAGGGGTTTGAGGGAGGTCACAGCTCAGAGGCAGATTAGGGGGAAAGCTAATGAGAGAGAAGGAGGAAGAAGCACCGGGGGTGGGGAGGACAGCTGACAGACACAGTGTCTTTAGAAAGCATTCCAGACCCCCCTCTCCCAGAACCCGGTGGGCATTGAAAGTAGGAGAGCAGAGAGCTCAGAGGCAGAAGGCACACCTCAGCAACTGTTGTGATGATGCATAATGGGAGAGAGGGAGGGGATGGGGACTCACTTGGAGCAACACCATTATTCCAAGAGGCCACATTGGTAAGAACAGGCATAGGCAAACTCGGCCCTCCGGATATTTAGGGACTACAATTCCCATCATCCCTGACCACTGGTCCTGTTAGCTAGGGATCATGGGAGTTGTAGTCCCAAAAACATCTGGAAGGCCGAGTTTGCCTATGCCTGGGTAAGACAACCTTCCTTGTCTTATCCATTCCTGGCAACCTATCATGGAGGGTTGGATCCTCTGATGCCTGACACATGTATCCTTAAAATCAGATGGATTTGAATGGCATGTGCCTGCCCTGCTGCATTCTCCTCACATCGCCTGATGACAGGACAGCATGAGGAGGATGCAATAGCCATGCAGCCTTTGATTCCATCTTCGCAAAGTGAGGGCGAGGCTGAGGTCAGAGGGTGCATGGCTGTTGCGTGCTTCTTATGCCACCCTCCCTGAGCTGTTCTGAGATCATCCCGGGCTTGCAAAGCAGATCGGGGCTGGGGTCACACTGGTGGCGAGGGCTGGGCTGGTGCACCCTGCCTTCCTGGTGCACGCTCTCGCCCTTGGGCACCATGAAGACATGCACCACCACTGCCAGAGAAAGATTGGAAGAAATATGATGCAGTTTTACTGCAAGAAACCAGTTCTCATCAGTTGTCTAGATGGGGCTTCCCAGGAGTGAGCAGGAAGAGCAGGCACATGCAAACTCTGGCCCTCCAGATGTTTGGGACTACAATTCCCATCATCCCTGACCACTGGTCCTGTTAGCTAGGGATGATGGGAGTTGCGTGGCAATTCCCGCCTCCTCCCACAGATGGAACAAATAAAGACATAGGGCACCAGAATTTAGGTTAATGGGCGAAAAATGGCCACAACTTTATTGATTACAGGTAAGAGCGGTATTGGCTTTAGGCATTGGCCCTATCAGACTAACCGGTATAACTGGGAAGGGTTAAGCACCAGCAGGAGGAGCCCCCGAGATGCACATCCCTAGGCGCTCCCCGAGGGGTTACCACTCGGGAGCGCGCTTTAGGCCCTAGCCTCCATAGGTTTCGGACGAGGCAACGCCCCCCGGAGTCCTTTAACGAACTACCCTTCAACATTTGGGGGAGGTGATGGCGTTCCTCCCCCCCAACTCATTTGCATAATAATACCCCTGCCAATGCCTAACCGCCAAAACCAAAGGTGTTGTGGCGTTTTGCTACGAGGTAGGCGAAAAAACCAAGTGGCCTCCAAAATACAGCCAATTAGCCAAATGGAAAAACTCCTACCAGGCCTCTTGCGGCGACCAGCCGAAGCCCATAGCAAAGTCCAAATGAAAACCTAAAGGGCGGGAGGGTGGGAAACCGCAGCTGCTGAAAGAAAAAGGGGCGAGCATGGGCTGCCCCGACCTTAAATGCCCCCTACTAGTCCTGCCTCTGCCGCCAGCCGATTGGCTGGCGCGGTGGATGATGAACGCTAATGAATCCCGGGATTCCGCAAGTCCCGCGGGGCTGCAGCCAGCCCCGCGAGGGTGTGAATGGGGCGTGAGCCAGTAACCCCCCCTCCTGATGTCAGGAGTGGCTTTGTAGTCCCAAAACATCTGGAGGGCTGGAGTTTTCCTATGCCTGAGGAAGAGGGAGGAAAGCACCTAGGACCCAGCTATACAGCAGCAAATAAAACACTTTGAATGTGTTGTAAAGTGCAGTATACAATTGTGACACTAAATGTCAGCTGTGAGCTAGAGCAGATTCAATGCATTTTTCAGAACAATTTTTTGAAAAAGCATTTTTTCACATTTTTAACTTGTTTGTAGATTCCACCCAAGATCAGTAGAACAGAGTATTTTTAAAAAGATAAAAATAAATTACCACCATCTTTGTTTATAACTCCTGCCCAAGGAGCTTCAGCTTGGAAACAAATTGAGCTAAATGAAGATCTTATTTCTTTAATCACCGGAGCCTGTCTTCTTTCTGTTCTCAGGGCTGGCCGAAGACATTTTGGCACCTGAGGTGAACCACAAAACAGCAGATCACCCAGATCTTCCAGCCAGGGAAGAAGGGGTGAGTGAGGATCTATATCAAGAACAATGGGCGGGAATAACAATCTACATTGGGACCTGCCGCTCCTGTGGATCCAGCCGCCTGAGGCAGTCGCCTCACCTTGCATCTGGTCCTGTCTGTTCTGCTTCCTTGGAATCAGACATAAGTTGCTCTGAGCACTTTGGAGGAACACAAACCAGAAATATGGGCCAAAATCCCAAACAGGTGTGCTTCCAGTGTGGTGTAGTGGTTAAGAGCAGTAGACTCGTAATCTGGTGAACTGGGTTCGCTTCCCCGCTCCTCCACATGCAGCTGCTGGGTGACCTTGGGCTAGTCACACTTCACTGAAGTCTCTCAGCCCCACTCACCTCACAGAGTGTTTGTTGTGGGGGAGGAAGGGAAAGGAGAATGTTAGCCGCTTTGAGACTCCTTCGGGTAGTGATAAAGCGGGATATCAAATCCAAACTCTTCCTCCTCTTCCCATGGGCTTAAAGACAACTATCTCTATTTCTATCTCTGCTGTGCCTGTCTGGAAAATCTGGCCTTTCTGTGCATCATTCTGGATTTTATAGGCATTAATTTGCATGTTTCTGCTTTTAGCGATTTTTTTTAACCCCTTAATGGTAGTATGGGAATGATCCATATGTGCAAAGCTTTCAGAATCCTGACACACAAACCTTAATTGTCCTTTGGGCAAGCCACTCAGCATCTCTGTGACTCACTTCCCCTTTCATAAAGTGAGTATTATAGTAGTACAGTCCTGTCTCAAATGATTAGGAAGGCAGTGACTTAATTTTAGGACCTTGGATGTCCTCAGAGGCGTCTTTCCCATAGGGCTTAGTGGTTTGTTGCGCCAGGGCGCTGGCCTCTCAGGGGCGCCCCAGCTGTGCCTTGCCAACTATATGGCTGGCTGGTGTGAAGCACTCTCTTTCTCTCTCTCTTTCACCTGCCCACCCTGTGGGGAGAGGGAGGCAAGTGATGGTGATGGGGAAGCAGAGCGCGAGGAGGAGGAGGGAAGAAGAAGAAGAAGAAGAAGAAGAAGAGAGGTGCCCCCCGACTTGCCCCCTTTCTTCCTCCTCTAGCCAGCCCGCAAAGCCTCCACACTGGGTTGGCAGCCCTGCTTGCAGGGTGCCCTTGTCCTGTTCAGCTACATCTAGCCCTAGCCATGAGTAGCAGCAGCTGCCGCCCTGGTTTCTCTCTCTCCCTGGAATCATGCCCTGTGTTTAATGTTACGGGCAACTCTACCCCGGGGAAGGGAAGCCTCCTTACTTCACTCTTCTTCTTCCTCTTCTTCCTCAGGGGTGGGCTCCTTCTCCGCCCCCCCCACCAACAAGGTCCCTAGGGGTTGTAAAGCACGCCAGATAATTTAGCACCGACCCCATTCATTCCAGCAGCTGGCCATCATCCACTCACTCCAAGCCCTGCGAAAAATATCATCACCATTAATTACTACTACTACTACTACTACAGTGGTACCTCAGGTTACAGACACTTCAGGTTACATTTGCTTCAGGTTACAGGCTCTGCTAACCCAGGAATAGTACCTCGGGTTAAGAACTTTGCTTCAGGATGAGAAGAGAAATTGTGCGGCGGCAGCGGGAGGCCCCATTAGCTAAAGTGGTGCTTCAGGTTAAGAACAGTTTCAGGTTAAGAACGGACCTCCAGAATGAATTAAGTACAGTGGTGCCTCGCAAGACGAAAAGAATCCGTTCCGTGAGTCTCTTCGTCTTGCGGGTTTTTTCGTCTTGCGAAGCAAGCCCATTAGCGGTTTAGCGGATTAGCGCTACAGTATTAGCGGCTTAGCGGATCAGCTGATAAGCGGCTTAGCGATCAGCTGTTAAGCGGCTTAAAGATCAGCTGATAAGCGGCTTAACGATCAGCTGATAAGCGGCTTAGCGATCAGCTGTTAAGCGGCTTAGCCGATCAGCTGATAAGCGGTTTAGCGGCTTGGGAAAAAGGGGGGGGGAGAAAAAAAAACCCGCAGGAACTCGCAAGACATTTTCGCAAGCACATAGGAAATTCGTTTTGCGAAGCACCTCCAAAACGGAAAACCCTTTCGTCTAGCGGGTTTTCCGTCTTGCGAGGCATTTGTCTTGCGGGGCACCACTGTACTTAACCTGAGGTACCACTGTACTACTACTACTGCTACTAGTACTACTACTACTGCCCCTCCACCCATAGATATCAGGGGGCTCACAGCCTGAAACTACGGTGCTAAGCACATGCTAAAAACTAGAACAAAGGCAAAGCAAACCAAGCCAGCAATGCTCCTTCTCCCTTATTTGTGAAACAAGCCTGTTAATTGCCTATCCAAGTAAAAAAAAAAAAGGCACTGAAGGTTTTTGAGATCAATGCAAGCTAAAAAGCATTGCAGGGGGTTGGGCTAGATGACCTGCAGGGTCCCTTCCAATTCTACGTTTTTCTGAAAAACACACACACACAACCCAACTATGGTCCCTCTGCAGTCCTCACCCCAAGCAACTGTGTGTGACTTGCTCCCCAGAAAGTGTGCCTTGTCTTGCTACCTGTGGTTTTTGGTCTCTCGTCAGCCCCCTCCCCCCGATCTATTCACACTCCTTTCTCCCTAATCTCCAATATTATATTTTCCTCTGGTTGAGACTTAAAACAGAAAGCCCTAATTCCCAACTGTGTTTCTTGCTGCAGTCCTACTGTCTACTCAGAAACAAGGTCATATTAGATTCAGCAGGGCTTACTCTCAGGTAAGTGCAGTTAGGGTTGCAGCCCTTTGTGACCCAAGTTTTGGGTCCTTTTTAGGTTCAGGGTGTCACTGCTTTACACCCGCCCCCACAATATTTGAAAACGTCAGCTTTGTACTTAAACACAAATTGGCCGGGAACTTCATTGTCTGTTGTTCTTTAAATAAATTAATAAAGACACAAACTGGTGATTGCTTTAACTTTTTGATATGTGGTGATTTGAATCATGAGGATGAATTAAAAGAACTGCTGAGTCTTGAATGAGTCTTGCTTTGGATCTGAGGACTTCATTAGATTTTCTTCTGCCTTTTCATTTCATTTCCATTTGTTCTAAGGGCCTGTTAGAGATAATGTGTAAGTGTGGTGTCAGCTCCCTTAAAAAGCTCAATAACCTTGGGGTTCCCCCCTCAAAAAAGGTCCACAACTCTGGGAAAGGGGGGGCAGAGGAATCGTTGCACCACAGCGCTGGATATGCTTAAGATGGCCCTGCCAAGCCAACTCTCTCTCACTGGGAGCCAGTGTGGTGTTAAGAGCGGTAGTCTCATAATCTGGGTTCGCGTCTCCGCTCCTCCACATGCAGCTGCTGGGTGACCTTGGGCTAGTCACACTTCTCTGAAGTCTCTCAGCCCCACTCACCTCAGAGTGTTTGTTGTGGGGAAGGAAGGGAAAGGAGAATGTTAGCCACTTTGTGACACCCTAGGGTAGTGATAAAGCAGGATATCAAATCCAAACTCCTCCTCCTCCTCCTCTTCTTCCTTGCTCAGTACAGGACCTGCAATGTATGGCTATAACTACAGCATTTCTGACAGGTGACGCTGCCTGTCCTCTGCTTAAATACCCCCAGCATAGGAGTGTTCACAGCTAGCCTGCTGTGTCCTTAATGTCAGGCTCATGTTTCGCCAAAATTTGCTTCTCTAACCTACTGGTTCTAATCCAGCAATAATAAGCAAGATACATGCTGTTTGGGTGTTTATCTATCCTGTGGCTGTGGTTGTGTGAAAGGGAAAGCGAGGCTGCATTTGATGGCCCTCCCCGTATCACATCTCACACCCGGCTTCCCATGTGTTAAGGTGAAGACCTGAAGAGGGGAGCATACACTACATTTGTAGGTTCCCCAAGTGATCTAGAACCCAGATAATGTTGAATGCCCAATTAGAGCTGCATCACAGCAATGAAGGCACGCGGGTGGCGCTGTGGGTTAAACCATAGAGCCTAGGACTTGCCGATCAGAAGGTCGGTGGTTCGAATCCCTGTGACGGGGTGAGCTCCCATTTGCTCGGTCCCTGCTCCTGCCAACCTAGCAGTTCGAAAGCACATCAAAGTGCAAGTAGATAAATAGGTACCACTCCGGTGGGAAGGTAAACGGCGTTTCCGTGCGCTGCTCTGGTCCGCCAGAAGCAGCTTGGTCATGCTGGCCACATGACCCGGAAGCTGTCTGCGGACAAACGCCGGCCAATAAAGTGAGATGAGCGCTGCAACCCCAGAGCCAGTCACGACTGGACCTAATGGTCAGGGGTCCCTTTACCTTTACCTTTACCCAGCAATGACAATGCTCCAAAGGTATTGATCCACTCAGATACCAAGTCACTCTACAGAAGAGCAGCTACAGTTGTTTTGGAATGTATGTTATGTTGGAAGGCAAAAGAAAAATAGTACGAAGTTTGAGGCAAAAGCTAAGAGTGGAAGAACCAACCTGAGTGTTTGCGGAGCTGTATCCCTTGCGAGTATCAAAATTACTAAATCGAATGAACATGTTCCATGATACAACTGTGGCAGCACAGGGATGACTGATGGCTTTTAAAAGAGGACTAGGCAAATTCATGGAGGAAAAGGTTATCAATGACTACTAGTAGCAGTGCCAACTTGAATAAAATATGGGGGGGGGGGCAGGTAAGTCCTGGCCTACATAACCAATCACAAGATGCAGCAGGCACACACCAGACAGGTTATAGCGACCAACTGGAAAAATGCAGAAGCGCTAAGGGTGAACCAATGGAGGGGGGAAATGAAAAATATCATAACCTTAGAATATCTAACTGTGAAGATACATAGAATGAAGGGGTTTAAGGTCAGTGAGAAGGAGGAGGATTGGTTTGAGAAGGTATTGAATTATTTGGGCAGATTTGAACAATTTGGGGCAATTAAAATGTTAAAAGTTAAATAAATCTTGTGGAGGGAGGAGTGTTAAGGTATATAGAATTGTACATATGGTTGATTTGAATATGTTGTTATTGATTATGTATACCCAATGTATCAGCCGCCTGGGGGTTTTCACTGTGTTTTGGTTGTTGGGGGGAAAAAATGAAAAAATCAATGACTACTAGTAGCAGTGCCAACTTGAATAAAATATTGGGGGGAGGGCAGGTAAGCCCTGCCCTGCATAACCAATCACAAGATGCAGCAGGCACACAGCATTTGAATGGCAATGCCCATAAACTTGGGAGGAGGGTTGGCCCCCACAAATATTTTATGGGGGTGGGTGGGTTGAAGGGTCCTCGGTCCATAGAAGTTGGCTCCTATGATTACTAGCCATGATGACTATGTTCCACCTTCATGGTCAGAGGCAGCAATCCTTCTGAATATCAGTTGCTGGAAACTGCAGGAGAGGCGAGAGTGCTCTTGCAGTCGATACTAAACTAGATAGGTCGTTGAGCTGATCCAGCAAGGCTCTTCTTGTGTAACTAGTTTCTGCTGAGAGTCCAGGGCTGTAATATTTCTGGTGGGTAAGTTATAGGTTAGCAGGGATGTGGGTGGCGCTGTGGGTTAAACCACAGAGCCTAGGACTTGCCGATCAGAAGGTCGGCGGTTCAAATCCCCGCGACGGGGTGAGCTCCCGTTGCTCGGTCCCTGCTCCTGCCAACCTAGCAGTTCGAAAGCACGTCAAAGTGCAAGTAGGTAAATAGGTACCGCTCCGGTGGGAAGGTAAACGGAGTTTCCGTGCGCTGCTCTGGTTCGCCAGAAGCGGCTTAGTCATGCTGGCCACACGACCCGGAAGCTGTATGCCGGCTCCCTCGGCCAATAAAGCGAGATGAGCGCCGCAACCCCAGAGTCGGCCACGACTGGACCTAATGGTCAGGGGTCCCTTTACCCTTTTTAAGTTATAGGTTGAGTGCTCCCCGATGTAAATAGGTAAGTAAGAAAGAAAATAATGACCCTCTTAGAAAACATGTACGAATTGGACAGCAGTGGGTGAGAACTTGCATTCTGCAGACAAGGTCTTTGCAATGGGGAGGAAATTTCAAGCAGGTGGTTCCCCACCTGGCAGTCCTGATTACCGTATTTTTCGCTCTATAAGACGCACCAGACCATAAGACGCATCTAGTTTTTGGAAGAGGAAAACAAGAAAAAATAATATTCTGAAACTCAGAAGCCAGAACAGCAAGAGGAATTGCTGCGCAGTGATCCCTCTTGCTGTTCTGGCTTCTGGGATAGCTGCGCAGCCTGTACTCACTCCATAAGATGCACACACATTTCCCCTTACTTTTTAGAAGGGAAAAGGTGAGTCTTATAGAGCAAAAAATACAGTATGTAGAGGAGCTCTTAATCACGGATCTTACTCACAGAATGTAGCCAGAATGACAAAGTGCTTTACAGCACCCATTAACTAAAGACATTAAAGGCAACCTGACAGTACAAGTTATGTCCATGAAAAATGGATATTTTGCAATGCATAATTATGAGAGGTTTAGGCTAGAGTGATGGGGGCAGGTGGGAATGCAATCAAATTACATCTGACTGTGGCTGCTAAGAACTGTTGTTCAACCACCCTTTTCTTTTCCATTTGATAGTGTGTTAGGAATCTGAATTATTCTAATTAGCACACAAAAGTTCTCTAGCAGAAGATTCGGCATAAATGACAACTCCTTGCAAAATGCCAGAATGGGGAAAACAAACAGGACTGCGTGGGATGATATTGTATAAACAATCAATTATGTTGTCTTTCAGAGCTTCTTTAAATGTTTTAATGGACCACATAATATTGGATTTTTAAATTTTTTTTAAAAAACCGATTATCTTTTTAAGGGAGATTCTGTAAGATGTGGGAACTTGTATCTTTTCTTCATAGGCTGAAAACTAGCCGTGGAGGTGGGTTGATTTTGAGCTAACAAAATCTGGAGAGGAAAGTTAACTAGTGCTGTTCCACTCCTGAGAGCAGCATCAGAGGTTGCTTTTCATCTTTAAACGTCCTCCCCTAAACCCCTAATTGTGGGCCATGTTTACTCAGTGTGCAAGATACGCAAACCAGCTCAGTGGCAGATTTATACTAGACAAGGTCCTATGTCAAGTCACCACTCAAGGTTACTGAGAGCTCCAGAAAGAGCTCTCTTGCCTGTCTTAGGATCTGAGCAAGTTAATATATGGAGAGGCTTTTCTTCAAATATTTGGGTCCCAGTCAGTGGTTACTAGCCATAATGGCTATCTCTTCCATCCTCAGTCAGAGGCAGGAGGCACTTAAATTTCTGGGAATCACAAGTGGGGTGTGTGCTGTTGTGCTCAGAATCTGCTTTTGGGCTTCCCATGGGTATTTGGGTGGCCACTATAAGGACAAGGTATGGGATGAGATGACCTGATTCACCAGACTCTTCTTATGTTCAGAAGTTGTTATGGGCTTTATATGTCAATAGCAGCACCTTGAAGTGGGCTCGCTGGAAAACAGGCAACCAATGAAACTCTTATAAAACCAATGTTCAATTCTCATTTAAATGAGTCAACCGTGGGGACAACTTGGATGATCCCTGGGAGAGAGTTCCACAAGTGTGTGTGTAGACACAGAAAAGGCTTTATCTGCATATAGTCACCTGCATATACTGCAGATCTGTGATGCTGCAAAACAGGAATCATGTCTGGAAGGTTATAGGAGGATACAAAATTGTACTGCAAAACCCTTCAAATTAGTGGCTACTTTAAGAACACTTCTTTATTCAGCCAATCAGCACATGCAGCAATGTGCATCACATGGATGTGCTTTAACTAGTAAGGTGTTTTTCATAAGCAGTGCACCTGTCATTTTCTGTCCACCAAGCAGGTGCATTTGTGCCAGCCATATTAATTTGGCTGACAACATGGGAACAAACCACAGTAACCAGCCAACCGTCTCCAGATGTTTCTTAGCCTCATAACAGTGTTTGTATCCCTCATGATATTAGAGAAAGACCCAAATATTACAGAACCCCACAGGCTGTTTCCATTGGATCAGCTCTCATTGCACATTCAGGTATGCAATAAGTAAACCTGGATGGCAATGCATGCTGCCATCCTATCATGGGCACATTGTTGTTTAAGTACAATGTGGACTGGATACACTAGGACTAGATACACACCCTGGTGGAGGAAGAGGAGTGTGGGGGGAGTGCACAGGGCCCAGCAGCACAATCCAGGTGGGGTGCCATCGCAGCTGCCCCCATGCCTGTGCTGGGCACCACACCCCCGCAGGCAGCATGCCACGCCCCAGGATGTGCACCAGCCACGCCCCCTCGGTACCAGAGCATGACGCTCTGCCACTGCATACACACATTTTATTCTATATTCAATGGAGGCTGAGCATGCATTTTTTCCATGTACAGCGGTGCCTCGGGTTACATATACTTCAGGTTACATACGCTTCAGGTTACAGACTCCGCTAACCCAGAAATAGTACCTCAGGTTAAGAACTTTGCTTCAGGATGAGAACAGAAATCTTGCTCCAGCGGCACGGCAGCAGCAGGAGGCCCCATTAGCTAAAGTGGTGCTTCAGGTTAAGAACAGTTTCAGGTTAAGAACGGACCTCTGGAACAAATTAAGTACTTAACCCGAGGTACCACTGTAGTCCACACACAGTCTAGATCTATTGCATATTTGTTGCCCCTGAAAAATGCTTCTCAAAAAATGGGTTTCATTCCAAAGATTGAAGCTCATTACAGATTGATTCTTCATTACCCTGCAGTGTGTCCGTTTGAAAACAGATGGCAGTGGAACAGAATCCCTCCGAAGATGGTGGACTCTCATACAATCTGAGATTTGATGCAATCTCAACTAAAACATGCATGACAGCTGGCTATCCAACCTCTGCTGAAAAAACCTCCTAGGAAGGAGAATCCACCATCTTCCAAGGGAGTCCGTTCTACTGTCAAACAGCTCTTACTGCCAGAAAGTTCCTGATGTTTAGTCAGAATCTCCCATCTCATAACTTGAATCCATTGGTTCAGGTCCTACTCCACAGGGCAAAAACAACAACAACCCAAGCTTGCTCCATCTTCCATGTGAAAGACCTTTAGATATTTGAAGATGGCTAATGGAAGTGTTTAAACAGAAGTATGGTGGTCATCTGTCATGGAGGCTATAGGGGCGATTCCTGTAGGGGGTTGGAATAGATGGCCATTGGGATTGCTTCCAGCTCTACAATTCTATGATTTCATGTGCATGCGCTGTCATCTGTGCATGTTCAAAAGCTGAACCGTGGCTTCCATTTTTGAACTGTAGGGAAGCTGGATTGGAAAAAAAAGTGCATCAAAGAGTATTTCTCTACAAGATACAGATGAATTATTGCTAAGGGTAAAAGTAAAGGTAAAGGGGCCCCTGACCATTAGGTCCAGTCATGGCTGACTCTGGGGTTGCAGCGCTCATCTCGCTTTATTGGCCGAGGGAACTGGCGTACAGCTTCCGGGTCATGTGGCCAGCATGACTAAGCCACTTTTGGTGAACCAGAGCAGCACACAGAAATGCCGTTTACCTTCCCGCCAGAGTGGCACCTATTTATCTACTTGCACTTTCACGTGCTTTCAAACTGCTAGGTTGGCAGGAGCAGGGACTGAGCGATGGGAGCTCACTCCGTGGCGGGGATTTGAACCGCCAACCTTCTGATCAGCAAGTCCTAGGCTCTGTGGTTTAACCCACAGCGCCACCCACATGCTAAGGGTATCTTAAAAAAAACCAAAAACTAGTGGTGGGATTGGGCTGGAGCAAATGTTCATGTGGACACACCCTTAGACATTTTTCAAGATGCAGGAGAGTTGCTCATGGATAAGCAATTCATAAGGGAGTAAGTCCCATAGAAGAAAGCTCCACTGAGTTCCAAGTACACATACTTAGGATCCAGCTGTACACCTCTCAACCGCCTCTTTGCCTTCCTTCAGTATTTATTTCACACTTCTGTCCTTGAACTGCCTCCCTGGTACATGATTTATTGGAAGAAAAACCCGTGGTTGTTTTTATGACTGTAGTAATCTGTTCCTCACCTGCTTTATTTCCTTGTTTTATTATCTTAGTACATTTGTATTTGTTAGGACATGTGCTCACTTTCTCATTTTGCTCACCTGGGTGAGACGTGCACTTTTTATAGCATGCTTGTAAAATCCCCTTTATGGCTTCCAAAGGGCTGTGAAAGGCCGTGTGGGAAAGAGCCAAGGCCCCAGCAGCCCTTCTCTGGCAAATCCCATTGCTGCAACTGACACCCCACCCACAACCCTCTTTAGGGTTAGGGGTCTTTAGTCTCCATATTCCCAGCTGCCAGGTGGAGGGGCTGACATCACCTCACCTCAGAGTAGGCCCAGGGACTGATGCCCCAGAAATGAAAATCAAACTTTAATAGGATCACATAATAATAATAATAATAATAATAATAATAATAATAATAATAATTTATTTATATCCCACCCTCCCTAGCCGAAGCCGGGCTCAGGGTGGCTAACAACAATAAAATAATACAACATTCTAAAATCATTTCATTAAAATTAATTCAACTCAAATTGATGGCAACCATTAGGCTAAAGTTCTGTGAAGATTGCCAAAGGAGGAAGTCAGGCTATGCCCTGACCAAAGGCCTGGTGGAACAGCTCTGTCTTGCAGGCCCTGCGGAAATATGTCAGTCCTGCAGGGCCCTAGTCTCTTGTGACAGAGCGTTCTACCAGATTGGAGCCACAGCTGAAAAAGCCCTGGCTCTGGTTGAGGCCAGCCTAACCTCTCTGTGGCCTGGGACCTCCAAGATGTTTTTGCTTGAAGACTGTAAATTCCTCTGTGGGACATACCAGGAGAGGCGGTCCCATAGATACGAGGGTCCTAGGCCGTATAGGGCTTTGAAAGTTAAAACCAGCACCTTAAACCTGATCCTTTACCCCACTGGGAGCCAGTGCAGCTGGTATAATGTGATCTGAATGTGATCTCGCAGCGAGGACCCCGTAAGGGCCACATGCAGCGTTGCAAGATCTGGTGTTTATCAGATTGGGCAGGGTGGAAACCTTTTGTGCTTTTGACACAGCAGTCCTGGAATCTGGAGCAGCTGATAGCATCTCCTGTAGCGTCAGAAAGGTGTACGGGTTAAGTGAAAAGTATTCTTTCAAAAATGGTTTGGCCTGGAAGATCTTGATGGGTCAGCCAACTCATGATTGTGGGCTGTTCAAACTGGATGCTCAAGTTTACCCAAGGCACACCTCCAATTCCTGAGGTTGTCTCGGCAGCCTTGATCTTTATCGGCCTGGCACTTCCCACAAAAGGAACTCTGGCCAAGACACGGTTTATTCATCCAGGTTTCATTGCTGGTTCCATCCAGGCTAAGTAACAAGCTTCATGGAAATGGTGGGTCCAGCCAAAGTTAAATGCATGTAAGTACTATTGTTTTGGATGTGTGAGAGAATAAAAAAAATGTGCTCAGCTCTCTTCTGCTGGAAACGCCAAGAGCGAAAAATTGGACTGAAGTCACTACTGTTAAAAACAAAAGTATGTGCAAAACCATTTTGTAGAAACTTACACAATAAACTTCTATTTAAAAGAGGTATGGGGAAACTGTAGCTCTACAGATGTTTCTGGACAAATCCCCTGACCATTGTTTGCTTGGTTGGTTGGTTTAGTATATTTATCTACTACTTCATACTTAATAACTACGTAGTTTACAAAATAATGAAACTGAAAACTAAATTTGCAATGCAATATAAAACAATAAAATACATAGCAGTATATTTTGAAAACATCTTAAAAGTCAGGGATTCCTTCCTTCTCCAGCCTCCCTCTTGCCAAGGGACATCCTGATTCACAATATACAAGATTCACCCCAAAACACATATACATTGGTAACTACAGTGGTACCTCGGGTTACAGATGCTTCATGTTACAGACTCTGCTAACCCAGAAGTAGTACCTCGGGTTAAGAACTTTGCTTCAGGATGAGAACAGAAATCACGCAGCGGCAGCGGGAGGCCCCATTAGCTAAAGTGGTGCTTCAGGTTAAGAGCAGTTTCGGGTTAAGAACGGACCTCCAGAACAAATTAAGTTCTTAACCCGTACTAAATGTGCAGCCCAATATTTTGCATATAAGGACTGGGCCAAGCCTCCCTCCACAGTTTCCCCAAAATATTTTTATATGCCACTGCAATTTATGAGCTGTGCGAGATTCCAGGTGCTGCAGATGTTCTTGCGAGGGTCTGTGTTTCCTTTTGGAAATGAGGCACAGCGGAGACCGTAGTGTCTTTATGATATATTGTTTATTTACACATATATACAACCTAAGCCCGCAATTGAGGGGTTCACAGCATTAACACACACCCCCCACAAGAGGTTCTGGCTTCTCCCATAGCCACTGCATTGGTTTCAAAACAGACATAAGCATTCTGCTTTTTGACTGTTTTTCCAGCTCGCTCCAGTAACTCTGTTGCTTAACTCTTAACTGCCGTTCTCAACTCCAACCTACCTAAAATAGTGGCATTGTTATTATGAACTAAACTCAAATGAAAGAGGGAGGAAATCCACTCATTTGCAAATGAGAGATTTGCCCTTCCGTCCTTTGTCGTGCTAATGGCTCTGGCTTTTGACATTTAGCTTAATTAAGGGATTAGCAAAGTCTAGCACACGGCTTCAAAACACACTGGGACTGGGTCTGTCTTAAATACACATACGAGTCTGGCTTTCACCTCCACGGAAATTAGCTTTGACACCCCAAACCTTAATTAAATTCTAGCACCTATTACAATATTCCGTCGAATGGCGCTAATGGAAACACATGGATCAGGACCATGGAGGGGCAAAGGGTTAAAGCCCTTTTCTGCAACAATACAGTACCAATTCAGCTCTCTCTCTTGTACACACAGACTGCACCAACTATTTGTGAAGGAAACATAGAACAGCAAACCACATTAAGAAGCATAGCATCTAATTTGTTGATGAAGGCAGCCTGTACTCAAACTGACCCAATTAGGTCTTGTGTTTCCACCATCAGAGACTAGACTGACACAGAGCTCTATCTTCTCATGGCAGCAACCACAGCTGTGGGATTCTTTCCTTGCCTATTTTTCCCCCACTAGCCTAATTTTTGGTGACTATCAGCAAAACAAACATGTGCTTGCTTCTGAAGCTTCATTGAGCTTCTTCCTCCCTTTCCTTCTTTCTGAGGTGTTCCACCTCCAATATGCCTCTGAATCCAGTTCATGGGAATCCCAAGTGTGAAGAATGCCCTTGTGCTCAGGTCTTCCTTGTGGGAGAAGCCAGGACAACTCTGGGAGCTGCTGAGTGATGCAACATCAGGTGGCTGATGGAAGCTAGCAACAACTTTGAGGTCCACAGTGGGCAAAACTGCTATCACATCTAGGCTTCTAGTCATTCTCCCATAGTATGAGTCTTCTACATGCCTGAGAGGTGGAAAGAAGTGGATTCAGAGATCCACCATTTATCTGAGATCTTTATGGTAGAGGCCCATTTGGGTTCAAATGGCAAGCCTCATGAATTGCTCCAGGTTTATAAAGGCCCCTTTAACAGCATCTCTTTAGTAATGCCCTGCTTCCCTTTCATGGCACCAGTTTTGCAAGGCTCTTGCAACCATTAGTCATATGCCTCTTGAGTGAGCCTTAATTGCCCTCTCTTATGCACAGACACACAAGTGCACAGTGTTTACCTATGCCCATGATGAGAACCAGGTGCTGGACATTACATTCAAGGTAATTTAATGTGTGTCAGATAAAATTCTGCAGCCTTGCAACACACGCAACTGTCTGTACTGCTCAGCACATCCTGGCTACTTTGCTGTGCTGCATGTATTTCCTATTGGGCGATGATGTGTGTGATGTCATTTCCAGCCAATAAAAATGTGAAATGGCCTGAATGTGTGAATGGCACGAAGATGGCCACCGAGGCTAATTTTCATCTTGGAAATATTGAAGACTTTAGCAAGATTTCAAGGCAAGCTCCATCTGACAACCTTCCAGGCTGGATGGAGCTGCATTCAAGTCCGGTGAAATCTCTATTAAAAGAGAGTGGACACCTTAAAACCAACAGTAACACCCATATAAAATGCAAAGTACAGTGGTACCTCGGGTTAAGTACTTAATTTGTTCCGGAGGTACGTTCTTAACCTGAAACTGTTCTTAACCTGAAGCACCACTTTAGCTAATGGGGCCTCCTGCTGCTGCTGCGCCACCAGAGCACGATTTCTGTTCTCATCCTGAAGCAAAGTTCTTAACCTGAAGCACTATTTCTGGCTTAGTGGAGTGTGTAACCTGAAGCATATGTAACCTGAAGCGTATGCAACCCGAGGTACCACTGTAACTGTGAAAACCTCTTTTTTCTGTTGAGTAAGACTAGAGTTTCAAGTTAACCGTCTTGTGGAAAGAGAAATCAGCTTGTCAAATTTATTTTGATTATTTTTGCCATCAACTCCCAGAAGTGGACATTTCTAAATAGAGTTTAAAGACATGTACCCCAATTGGATGCATGATTATTTTCAAGCAAGTTCAGCCAGGGTCAATGGGAGTGACTTCCTAATCGGAATTAGGACTTTAGCCTTAATCTGTATTTAAAACGGGATGTGCTTAAGTGATAGCAACCACTGTAGCTGAACTAGAGGCATTCTCTGTTAGCAAACCACAGAGAACATATGCCTCAGGCCTGTTCTTTCCTGCTTTTAATGACGACACGCAAGGCATGAATGGCAGAACTGCCTGCCTGTTTTGACTTTGCACGGGGCCATCACAAATCAAGGCACAAAACAGTTATTAGGTACAAGTTACACTTAAGCATGTATCCATTTCCAAACTGATGTGCTTATTCTTCTTTCGCTGCCATCCTTGTGGCATATGCTTTCAAAACTAACAAGCTAGTTGAATTTTGAAAGTGTATTACAAGAATATCGGGGGGTTTTTTGTTTTAAAAAAGAAAACCCAAGCAAGTCTAAAACAATAAAATCTAAGAGCGCGGTTTTTGCTTTCAGGAAAACACATATATCTAGCAGTTGCTATAGCAATGAATATAGTAAGTTAAAGCTGAGCAACCATGAGATTGATTCAGAAGGCAATAATTGATTTAAAGCTTCAGTGACTCACTCGGCAAATCCTGCCTTGACTATTTTGCTGTGGGGCACAACATGCTCTTAAAAAGGCACATACAAGTTGATAAATAGTTCTGGGCTCTGTAGCTCCTTTGATGACTGAATGCTGTTTGCAGGGTTAACATAAATAAGAAGGGAGATTACAACATCTTCCAAGACAATAATGCCCACTCACATCACAAAGAACTCATAACCCACCTACTATCAGCAGCCAGAAGCACCATAACCAGACACTGGAGAGACCTGTCAGGAGTAAGCATGGACCAATGGTACCAAATAGTATGGGAAACAGCCTTATTAGAAAAACTAACCAATAAACTGAAATGGAAGAAGATGTCTTCACCCCTTATCACATACACAGCCCAACAAGACAACGACAAGAATCCACCAATAGCATACGAATCAATATGGCTAACCTGATTCAAAAACATCCACCCATCCCACTCACACATGAAAACAAGCCAATCACAACCAACCAACCAACCACACCCTAGGCCAACCCCAACCTCTTTTACCCCCAAAGAAACACAAGCGAATAGGAAAGAGAACCCGCACAAGCGATGCTGACACAAAACCCTACACATACATTAAGTAAAATAGAAACATCGCCACCCCACCCCACCGCACCATGGCCCCTCCACCTCTTCCCCCCTTTTCTTCCTAATGTAACACTGATGTCTCAGCAAATGAAACTGATCTGCAGAAAATGTAACTCGAAGAAAAAGAGACATTGCACATACTCTTGTAAACCAATCTTTAATAATAAAAAAATGTTTAAAGAAAGAAGGGAAATTACACATTGTCTAAAAAATCCTAATACTATCCCATGTCCTGACCTTCAGGATTTGTATGAAGGGCTGCAGCTCCAAGGTAGAGTGTCAATCCCAGGTTCAGTCCTTGACATTTTCATAAGGTCTGTGAGGACTTGAAACCTGGGAACTATGTAAAAAAATGAAAGGTTTCTGGGAAATGATTTATAATGAATTGAAAAAAATGTTGAAGTATATCTTTGTTAAAAAGCCAGAAACTTTTCTGTTAGGAATATTAAGAAATGACATAAAAAAGAAGGATGAGAAGTTGTTTTTATATGCAGTAACAGCGGCAAGAATTTTGGTGGCACAAAAATGGAAGCAAAAAGAAATTCCGACGAAAGAAGAATGGAGAATGAAGTTGATGGAATACGCAGAATTAGACAAACTAACAGGGAGAATTCAGAATCAGCGAGACCAGAGATTTACCGAGGACTGGAATAAATTTTCAGAGTATATTAAAAATACATGTGAAGGTCAATTAATGTTTGTAGGTTTTCAAGAAGTTCTGTGATAATAAGGGAAAGAAATACTGTTTTATAATAATTGTTAAGATTAATTTGGTCAAAAAACAAAAAAACAACAAAAAACAATACAGATATAAGAAATGTGAACAATTGTGAAAACATGAAAATTTCCAGATAGACTGAAGGAAGTCTGAAAGTGGAAAGATTAGAATTGGATGTATATATTAAATGGAATGTGTTTTTTTTTATTGTTATATTTGAAATTTTATAAATAAAAATTATATATATATAAAAAAAGAAACCTGGGAACTAATTGTCAGCCAGCGCAGTTGAGCCAGGTTTGGTGTTATATGCTCGAACCATCTTGTCCTGGTGAACAATCTGGCCATTTAAATTTTGCACCTGCTGAAGTTTCCAAACTGTCTTCAGAGGCAACCCCACATATAATGCATCACACAAGTCCATCCTAGAGGTTACAAAAGCATAGGCCACAGAAGTTGCACGCCAGCCACACCACCCCATTTAAACTTATAAGTATTGTTGATAACAGGTAGATAGTTAAGAACTTAAGCAGCTTCAGAGGTGAGCACCTGGCGCCCCCCCCCAAATTCGATGCCCAGGTGCCCTCCACCTCTTGCACCCCCGGGTAAAGACGGCCCTGACTTCAACTTGATCAATGCTGCAGTTCAAGTTTAATGGGGTCTTCTAAAGCCCATGCCTCTTCCTCAGTCATTAAGCTAGGGTGTGCTGCAGCCTTCCCTGTGCCCTAGTTTAATACCTCTCCACTTGTTCAATCAACTATCCTTTATTAGGCATAGCAAACAACACATTATCAAACAGACACCGTATACAAATTGTGCAAAATATGAGCTCAGCATATCAATCAGATCTTTAACTCCAGAGAAAATCAATTTGCATAAATAATACAATACAACACTACCACATCACTGATCAGTTAAGAACCACTAAATCTCTTTATAATGGCCCAGTCTTTCTACATGGACAGCACTCAAAAATTCAGCCACTATTAATGTAATTTGATCATTCGTGTCCGAAAGCAGGTCCTGAACCGTTGGTAGCATAGAAATCAGCCTATTGAGTTGTAAGGCCTCTAATAATTGTCTTCTGGCATAAATGCCAAAATCACAAGAAAAGAAAATATGCTCCAAAGTATCAGGTTCCTGTTTACTACATTTGCAGAGACGCTCTGATTCTGGGAGAGCTAAATATCTTCCTCTCATTTTCATTGAGGGAAACATATGAAATCTGGCTAACATAAACAGCTTGCACAATTCATGATTCTTCAGATTTGTCATGTATCCCTTTTGAAAATCTCTACACAAAGGGAGATTTGAATAGAGAGGAGAGCAAGTGCTGTGCTTTGCAACCTCAAGAGACCTCTCCATTTGTTGTGAGGAAAGCACACTGAACTACACCTAAACTACTCCAGATATTGCCCAGTGCCCTTCAGCCCCCAACATTATTACATTCTTAGATAAGGCACAAGTGAAAACAACTGGTGTTGAATAAGGAGTAGGAGCCAATTTAAATCTGTGCCAAAGATCGTTGCACACAAGAGACTGCTTATGAGCATGGGAGCGCTCATGTGCATGGTTTTCTCCATGCATTTTAATTTCAAACTTCGATTAGCCACTTTCAGAATGGTTTACATCAAGGTGGGAAAACTCCAGCCTGTGGGCCAATATTGGCCTGTCATGCCCCCCTATTTGGCCTGCCAGGCAGTCTGGGAGATACCATGCCTGCCCACCCTACATGATATGACTCTTAATCTCAAGGTTGTGGGTCTGAGCCCCACATTGGATGAGTGATTCCTGCATTGCAGGGGGTCGGAGTAGAGGATCTTCGGGGTCCCTTCCAACTCTACAATTCTATGATTCTACAATGTCAGGTGTGTGATGGGTTAGGCCAGGGTTTCAAAGAAACAACTGGGAGCTTAGCATCGTCTCCTGATTGTTCCCTTGCAGGAGCAAAGCACAATCCCATCTGCCCATCACCTGATGGGCTGCAGGAGTGCGACCTTGCTCAAGCAGGGGGAAGCGGCTTCCATTCAGTGGAGACTGCTCCTTGCCTTGCCCTGCTCTGCTGTTTGGAGTGTCCCTTGCATTCCCTTCCAGCTTCTGAAATCAACACCTGATAGCAGCATCAGCTCACCCAGGGCTCCATTTGGCTGTGCACACCTGTTCCCCACCCCTGGGAACAGGCACCCACTGCCAAAGAAAGCTGCCTGTTTTGGAAGCAGCTGCCTTTGGGGGAAGATTGCCTGCATGCAGGACTCTCCTACACGCAGGTGATCTTCCCAAAGGCAGCTGCTTTCTTCATCTCCCAATCAGATGATTGGGAGAGGAGATAATCAGTCTTTCCAAAAGCACCTGCTTATCTGCAGGACTCTTAAAGGAGGAGTGTTGCTTCAGGCAGCCACCGCCCTTCTCCTTTAAATGTAAGAGGAAGGCAGATACTTCAAAGAGCACTTTTGAGAAGCGCTTAAAGGCAGCCCCCTGTGTCCCCATTTCAGGCTGAAACAGGAGTGTCTTACAGGCTTTGCAAGTCCCCCATGCTCTCCTTTTAAGCTGAGACTGGCAAAGCCACCCACCTGTTGATTGTGTGATGGAATAACGATGGCATGTGATTGACTTGACCCCATGCCAATAGGTTCCACATACCTATCAGGATCTGACCTGTGAGGCTGATCCCGATAGGTATGAAGAACCAAAAAGTTTCCCATACCTGCCGCACATCGTGAAACATGAAAACGCAACCAAAAGCATTTCTGCAGAGAGAGTTACAAACCGAACATAAAATAGAAAGCAAAACTAAAAATCCTTGGCAAATTAGAAAGTTTACCTCAAAACCAAAAAAATGTTGTGCCATGGGATGATCCCCTCTTGGACAGAATTTTCACGCACAAGGTGTCTCTGCATAGCTGTCAACTTTTCCCTTTTCTTGAGAGGAATCCTATTCGGAATAAGGGAATTTCCCTTAAAAAAGGGGAAACGTTGACAGCTACGTGTCTCTGGTGTCTAGCCACCTTACTTCACTTAGTGGAGGGATGTAGAGCAGTGCCTCTGAGAACGTCAAAAGTTGTTTTTTTTAGTTCTTGGAGTTCAAAGTTAATAATGAGCACTATATTAGTGCATGTGATGTTGGAAATGTTCTCCCACATTATCAGACCCAACTCCTGCTAAACTGAAGAGGGGGTGATACAATAACAAAAGGGGGCAATAAATTCATGTCAGAGCTTATGACCAAACTGCATGTTAAGTTGAGTGAGTAGTTTTGCCTTGTGTCAGATAGTGGCTTTGGGAGAAGAGTAGGGGTTTTTGGGTCAATAATTTGGCATCGGGGAAAGGGTTAACCCTATACACCAGTCCTGATCAACCCTCCTCCACCAAACTGGCTGCATTTAAAGTGTTAAGAACAAGAGCGCATTGCAAAGCTATGTGTTTAGTGTAACATGTTGTTTGAGAACATCTCTTTTTTGAGAATGCCAAGATTCAGTTGTGATCCTTGAGCATGGAGTGTTTTCTGCTGCAGAGGTGAGCATACAAGGAATTGTAAGGTCTGGATAATGTTTGAGGGCCAGGGATAGGGAACTTGTATCCTTCCAGATGTTGCTGAACTCCGAGTCCTATCGGCTCCAGGCCCAGCTAGGATGGTCAAGTGTCAGGGATGGGAGGAGTAAATCTGTCAATTTCAGTTTTTCATTTTCCCAATCTTAAATACATCAGTTTGTGGTTGTTGTTCATCATCACTTCATTCATCATCATTTCAGTACAGATTTCTTCTATTACATTATTATTATTATTATTACAGTGGTACCTCGCAAGACGAATGCCTCGCAAAACGAAAGGGTTTTTTGTTTTTTGAGCTGCTTCGCAAGACGATTTTCCCTATGGGCTTGCTTCGCAAGACGGAAACGTCTTGCAAGTTTGTTTCCTTTTTCTTAACACCGTTAATACAGTTGCGACTTGACTTCGAGGAGCAACTCATAGCACGCGGTGTGGTAGCCTTTTTTGAGGTTTTTGAAGACTTTGGTGATTTTTGAAGCTTTTCCAAAACTTTTCCAACACCGTGCTTCGCAAGACGAAAAAAATCACAAGACGACAAAACTCGCGGAACGAATTAATTTCGTCTTGCGAGGCACCACTGTATTATTATTACCACCACTACTACATACATTGATTATGGACAATTTTGCTGAATGCACACATTTTTGCAAAGCCCCCCCTCCAATATAATGCATTTCCTGTATATTTTGTTTTCATTATGCATTTTAAGGCACAGTATGTGCATTTTAGTACCCATTACTTGGCTGGAGAAAAGCACTGCCAAAGTCAGAGAGCTGCAGAATTCTGGAGGGTGGTTGTGTTTTAGTTCTTGTGTTGTTTTAAAAAGTGCAAATAAGATAAGGTCGCCTTTAAGCGCAACCAGATTCCGAAAAAGTTTAACCATTCGGCAGCCGTAAAACGACACCAGAAGTAGCGATACAAAGGGCTGTTCATCAGCTGTTTTTCCTGAAGATCAGCCAATTTAATGTGTGGAAACTTGTAAGCGATGTGTTCACGACTCTGCTGAAGTGTGAAGCTGTCGTCAGTACTTAATTGCTGATGTAGTTCAAATATTCACAGCCCACTTCTCCCCAAATGGGAAACAAAGCTGCTAACAGATGCCACAAAGGAATGTGCTGCAGGTTTGGCACAGTGGCTAAAAGATTGAGTCTGAGTACAGTGGTACCTCAGGTTAAGTACTTAATTCGTTCCAGAGGTCCGTTCTTAACCTGAAACTGTTCTTAACCTGAGGTACCATTTTAGCTAATGGGGCCTCCCGCTGCCGCGGCGCAATATCTGTTCTCATCCTGAAGCAAAGTTCTTAACCCGAGGTACTATTTCTGGGTTAGCGGAGTCTGTAACCTGAAGTGTATGTAACCCAAGGTACCACTGTACACACCTTACGTTCAAAGCATAAAACCTGCCCTAAGGAATCCTGAGAACAGTAGTCCGCTAAGAACTGTGCTGGGAACTGTAGATCTGTGAGGTAAACTACAGTTTCCATGGTTCTTTGAGGGAAGTCATGTGCTTTAAATGTGTATGGAGGCTGAGCTATGAATCAGGATGTCCCTGGTTCAAATCGTGGCGCTCACCGACCTCGGTTCCCCTATCTGCAATATGAGTATAATAATATAGTGTTATCTTACAGGGTTATGCTGTTGCAACAATTACTTCACCTGCATTATCTAATTGTATTTGGAACATTTTGAACTGTGATATGAACATGAAGCATCATGTGGAACCTGAATGAGAAGGGACTTCCAATGAAAAATTCAACAGTATCCTAATTACTTCACATTAATTAGTCCGCTTTTAAAATATAGATCTCCACTGGCACCATCCGACAAGGAAAGTTCATGCCAGTGGCATTTTTGAAACTAGGTGCATCACTTGAATCCAAAAACGTGTTAATCAAAGCCTTTAAGAGGATACATGATACTGTTATGTTATTTAGTCAACAGAAAGCACCATGGACACTTATAATTTAGCATTATCCTGCAATATCCCAACTGCGGTTTTCTTTTTAGTTCTCTTTAGTTGCTCTGTCAGTACTAAGCAGACCTCTGCCAATTCCATACTGATACCATTTGCTACATTAGTTTGTAAGGGAGATGAAAGGAAGGTTTTTTTTTGTTCGTTTGTTTTTCTCAAGCAGAAAAAGTGCTGGTTATAAAGTTGATGTGCTTCCAAGGCAGTGTTTATATTCAGTTAGATTAGTCTTTTGAACACTGTTTTTGGAGCACCTGGGCACTTCATTGTTTCAAGTCCTTTAATTGTTTATTACTCTGTCATATGCTTTAGCTGTTGTTGTGGATTTTTCATCTCATGCAGTTTCACAGCTCTTAATTGTTCCTTTAAGGGCCTCTTCTAGATCCACACAGATGAACCCACATGTGGCTATTTCCATTAACGATCAAGGAAAAGACAGCTCTTTGAGGCAGGAAAATGATGCAAGTTTGACCTCCAATCACTGGGTTCTTAAAAGGCACAAGGAAGAAAAAGATGACAATGATTTAATTTATATACCACTTCATGTTAAAATAGGCTTTTATATAACGTCCCTGCAGAACCAAATCTGAACCTAAGCCATTTGCAGAGCAGCAAAGGGTCACCTATGTCAAGGATTGAAGACTTCAGTTTCTGTGAATTGCAAAGCAAACTGACCCCCTTGGACTAATGTGTGGTTGGGAACATAATTATGCTAAGATTTTTGCATGTCTCTGAATTTTGCAATACAGTACTTGGCTCAGAAAAAAATGGCAGAGCACATCTTTGATCTGACAGCCACTGTAGCTAAACAGGCAAGGCAGGTTTTGAAACAATAAATATCTGTTTATCAAAGGCAAAAGTTGAGAAAAAATATACATACACCACAAGCCCCAACCCATCTTCAAAACCACCTTCAACTGTCTGGGAAAATTATCCTCTGAGCAAAGAGTATAGCACTGTACAGAATGAAAATGTAATGCAGTTAGTGTGTACCTCTGTGCTTGTCCAAGTGCCTTTGTAAATGGTGGGTTTTTCTTTTCTTTTTTGAAGAAACATGCCTCTTTTCTAATCATCCATGTGACAAGAAACAATATTTATTACGTGTTTGTAAGAACAAATCTTATGCATTAAAAAAGAGAAAATTGATGTTGGATCAAAGTGTTTCAAAGTTTGCCAAATCAAAATACATATAAAAAATGGAATGGAGTTACAATTAGCTACTGCAGGTATGAAAAATTGGCAGTGTTTCTTCTTATGTAATACACTGTGAACCTGCTTAATTGCATTTAAACACATACAGAGGCGCGCGCGCACACACACACACCTTTTCGCAATAGTTCCCAAAAGCTGACTCAGTTCTCATTGCTATTCAAGTTTGCACTGCTATTGTGAGTGTCACTCAACATTACCTGAAACTGCAAGCCATTTCTTTTCACTTGTAGTTCATTTCAGTAGTTTATTGTTCTAGCCAAAGGCAATGACAAACTTGTAGCAATAATATTAATAAAATACAAAACAAGCGTCCATAATAAGCTGACATCCATTATGTAAGAGAAGATACCAGAGAAACCAACAAGCTTTAATTTAGTTTGATTTCAGATTAAACCTTTGTATCACCAAAACAACTCAGTGATTTGATCTAGGTCCCTTTTCCAAAAATTTTTTTGCAGCCAGTGCATAGAGGGCCACTCTGCATGTTACCAAGTTGTAATTATCTACAGGATTTGTCAATCAAAATCAGCACCCACAGAAGATGTGGCACAAACACAGCACATCTCAAAGGAGTTAGGCAATCATCCTCTTTGGCTCTTCTCACAGGACTTGCCCTGACTAGAAGTCTCGACTCCCAAGTTAAACTATTGCCAATCACAGATGGGAGTTCTGGGAGTTATGCCACCAGAACATTATCCCAGAAGAAGGCAGCATATCCATGCAGGATCCATCACCCTCTTTGAATGTTCCACCACCATCCATAACTCCCGGTGCCAGCATATCAGGCAGAAGGATTCTGTCTTAACCTCGTGTGGTCTGAGAGCTTGGAGCAACCAGCCCAGACCTCTTTACACCCAGAGTTCACATGGCAGACAGAGAAACAACAGGCTTGACTTCATTCCTCCCAAGGTGAGGGGGAGTAATCTTAGTTAAGCCAGGCAGGACAACATACTCTATGGCATTAACCCCTTCATGTGTTAATTAGACTTAAGCATTTTGGTTATACGAGGCTTATTATCCTACGTTGACAACTGATTTGATTCTTCCAAACTGTTGCAGAATGACATGCCGTTTGATGTCCACTCTATGCAGGTGTCCCATCACTATCTTTGCTTAGGACCTTGCTAGATTTGTTTTTTATATGATAGGAGATGCTGGGCTTTTTATTTGTTTTGCACTGAGCAGCATTCAAAATTATGATCGCAAAAGGACAGCGCTAATGACTGTTCTTCAATGTCACTCAGCTCTGGGTGTGGGGAGAGCCTGTGTAAACAGCCAAGATGGGCTACAGCAGAAGGCAGTCCCTTATAGCTATACCATTAAAGGTGTTATTCATATGGTAACTGGAGGTATCATTTGATACTCCAAGAGTGTGAATAAGCTTCTGCCATCGTTCATCATGTTATGAGTCACCACAAATCAAAGTGTCTCTTTCCACCTCAGGGAAATAATTAGCCAAACAGGAGCCTATCTGCAAGATGATAAAAAGACAAGAATGTGTGTTTTGCATCTCTCTAGCTGAATGATTGATGCTGCAAATAGTGTCTCAATTTTCTGTTTTCCCAATCTAAGCATCACTCATTCCTTTCAACTTTTCCCCATATGCCAAGTATTTCAAACTTACGGAGTGCAATCCAGCTCCTTCTCCACACTGATTTTAAGGGGGAAGCTATTCAAGCCTTTAACATTAACATTCCTCTCTTCTGACTTCCCTCAAGCCTTCAAGCTTGTAAATATGCTCATCAAGTTTGCTTTAAAAAATAAATGATTACAGATTTTCTTGCAAGAAATAAGCAAAACAACCAAACATGTATTGGAAGTCACCCCAGAACTGGCCCTGTTGAACCACAGGTCTCTCACAACAGTCTATACCACACTCAAAATATTTCACACTAACCTGCTTGTAGCACAGAAATGTAGTTTTTCCTCATTCTGGCACCGTTCATGCTTGTCCTCAGCATGTTGCTTTCAATCTAGATTGATCCTAGATCCTGCTGTCCACAAGGATGGGTGTAGTTACTTGATACACATTTGAAAACCTTCCCCTTGATTAGGTTATGCAAGCCTTTTCCTTCCTGTACTTGCCCCAGCTGAGGAAAGGAGGAAGTGATGATAACCATCTTGATAAATTCCCACCCACAATGCCATTGGGCAGGGGAGGATACAACTCCCACTGCTGGGACGGCCAACTTTTTTTCCAAATGGATATGCAGTGGGGTAACGCGAAAATCAATCGTCAACGAGCTTTCATTTTTGGAAAGGAACTTGTTTCTCAAGAAGCACTTTCCAGGGGGCAACAAATATGCAATAGATCTAGATTGTTTGTGGATTATATAGAAGAAATGTGTGCTTCATTGCGTCTAAAATAAAATGTGTGTACACTCTCTCAGAAATGAAAAAAACCCCAACAGAACTATGGAGGCTTTCTAAAGTATTGGTTCGGTTCGGTAGACCAAGTTTCATACAGCGTATATTTAGCCTAGAGAAGAGACGATTAAGAGACAAAAGCTAACAATTTTCAAACCACGTTCAAACCATTTTTCTGCCCACTGTCATGGAATACCCTGCCAATAGAGATTTAGCAGGTGCCTTCTCTTTCAATCTTTAAAACGCAGGCTGAACACTTTTTTATTCTACCCAGTTTCTCTAAGCAACTAATAACACATCTTTCTATGATTGATGGTCTTAAATTGATGGCCTCTGGTTTTAATTTGTCTGTTTTTCTTATTAAAAAAACAAAGTAGTTTACAATAATAGCTCTCTATATTGTGGCATATAAATATTTTTAAATGAAATAAATGATAAATATATGAAGGACTGTCAAACAGATGGAGTTAATTTGATTCGATAGTGGAAACTAGAAGGGAATCCATCAGAGATGATGTGGGGTTAGACCTGGTAACATTTGAGGTCCCATCCAACTCTATTATTCTAACAAATCCAGTTCATTCAGAACTCCCAGATCAAGGAGGAAATTCTGATTAGGAGAGTATCAGAAGTTTCCCTAGCACTAAGGTTGAAACCTTCTACATTCTAAGTAGAATGTTTAGGGAAGCTTTTAATGTTTAACAGAGCATTGTATTTTAATATTTTGTTGGAAGCCGCCCAGAGTGGCTGGGGAAGCCCAGCCAGATGGGCGGGGTATAAATAAAATTATTATTATTATTATTATTGGTGCTAGTTTCTAACTTTAATTCACAATTCTCTTAAAGAGCTACGGCTGTCATTCACTTTGCCCATGCAATCTTGCTGAGCCACTAAATTGACTTAAAAATACTACAAATGTAGGAGCACAAAGTACTTTGGACTGGAGCCAGCAAGACCTTTTAAAGCTTACAAACTCATTTTGCAGACAAATGCCAACAGTGTATACATTTTTCTTGTAGTTTCAACAGCTTCCTCATGTTCCTCTAAAGGTTAACAAGGCTGAACATGTATGGATGTGTCATCAAAATGGCAATATTACTGCATGCTTGACTCACTGGTACATGAACTAAAGATCCTTCCCTTATGTTCCTTCCTAAAATATCCTAAAGATGTGTGTGAGAGAGAGAGCTTTATTATCTCCAAGTGGGCAGTAGAACCAAGACATATTGATTTTTGCACTGCATTCTGTAGTAAAATTGCTATAGTACCACACAAATACTTTTTTCTTTGATATTCTGATCAGATTAAAAATAACTGAAAGAACTTCCCTATACAGGGCTGCCTTCAGATGGCTCGGGAGTCAGATAACTCCACACCCTCCAACATTTCTCCGATGAAAATAGGGACGTCCTAAGGAAAAGTGGGACATTCTGGGATCAAATCAGAAACCAAGATGGCTTCTGTAAATCTGGGCTGTCCCTTCAAGGGTTGTGGAAGCTCCATTGTAGAAGAAGACCTAGCACTATTTTAGACACAAGCCAGATGATCCAAGGGGGCTGAGGACCAGTCTGCATAGGTAGGTTGTTCTTCATTTCTGCACCTCCCCATACAGTATATACATTTCCATAATTAGGTAAAGGTAAAGGGAACCCTGACCATTAGGTCCAGTCATGGCCGACTCTGGGGTTGCGGCGCTCATCTCACTTTACTGGCCAAGGGAGCCGGCGTACAGCTTCCGGGTCATGTGGCCAGCATGACTAAGCTGCTTCTGGCGAACCAGAACAGTGCACGTAAACGCCGTTTACCTTCCTGCCACAGCGGTACCTATTTATCTACTTGCACTTTGACGTGCTTTCAAACTGCTAGGTTGGCAGGAGGAGAGACTGAGCAATGGTAGCTCACCCTGTCACGGGGATTCAAACCACCGACCTTCTGATCGGCAAGTCCTAGGCTCTGTGGTTTAACCCACAGTGCCACCCGTGTCCCATTTCCATAATTACCCCAGGGCTATTTGCCTTTTGAGGCAGCTCATCTGGCCTGAATACAAAGGCCAGACTTCTCTAGAAGTCTCTCCGCTGTAGCTAATCTTTCTCATCTTTTATAATTTCTGAAAAGCAGAAACATGTGATAGATCAAATTCTAGGAAAATACATGCAGCCATTTGACTTTTGAAAGCTGCTTGGGAGAGTTCCAAATTACCCATCACAAATCAAGATCAGCCCAGTCATAAAGCCCAGCTTTTCCTACTGCAGAGCAAGCACTGTCAAAGTTAACGGTCCAGAGGTGAGTTTTGAGTAAGCAGGCAAGTACAGAGGCGGTGGAGGTGGCACCATCCCTGAGGGGTGTGTGAGACAAAATCCCAACCGAGTCCGATTGCCGCCAAGCCAGATCCCACCCCCTGGCCTGGCCGCTGTGCTGGATTGCACCCCCTGGCCTGGCCGGATCACACCCCCCAGCCTGGCCACCATGCCGGATCGTGCCCCCAGTCTGGCCACTGCAGTGGGGCGCACCCCCCAGCCTGGCCACAGGGTCAGAATGCATCCCCTGGTGTGATGGCCTGGGATTCCGATTCGGAGGATGAAACAGAGGAATCCCGGCCTGCACAGGAGTCCCCGCCTCCAGGGCCGGCTGAACTGGGGCAAGGCCTTGATGCTGAAGAGCCTGCACCTGTGGCAGTGCATCAGGAGCTGGCCCCAGGTGAAGCTCCTTCGGGCCCCAGAGGGGCTTGATGACTCAGTGGCCACAGGTGAGCCTCCTCCAGGGCCCAGTAACCCTTCGGCCTCTCCTGATCTGCAGAGGCTTAGGGCAGAGAGGCGAAGGGAACTGGTTGCCCCCAGGAGGAGTGCTCGCCTTAAGGCCAGAGGAGGCGGGGCTCCTGGGGACCGGGACCGCCCCTGGCCTTAGAAGAGGATAAAAGCCCAGTCAGCCCGGCCCCAGGTTGCGGGAGCAACGTCGTTGTTGGCTTCGGACCTTCCTGTGTTCCTGATCCCTGCTCGGCTTCCTGTTCCTGACTATCCGGTACTCCTGTTCCCTGCTCGGCCTCCTGTTCCCGACCATCCGGTGTTCCTGTTCCCTGCACAGCCTCCTGTTCCAGCATTCCTGTTCCCCGCCCGGCTCTCTGCCTCGGACCTTGCCCCTCTTCGTGTGGACTCTGCTACACCCAAGGTACCTTACCCCGGGACCAGCACAGTTTGCTCCCGCCAAACCCGCACTCCCCTTCGTAGGGGTGCGTTCGGGAAGAGCCAGAGGCCATGGCTGACCAGGCGGCTGCACTGGTGGCTTTGGCCCAGAAGAACCAGGCCTTGACTCACACCGTGCAGCAGCTCAGTGACGCGGTTGTGGCACTTCAACAACGCTTGGAAGCCCTACCGGCTCCTGGGGCCGACGCCCGGCTCCTGGCAAGTACCCAGTGGCTTTGCCTGAGAAATTTGATGGAGCCCCGGCCAGCTTTCCCATGTTCCTGGCCCAGGCCAAGCTGTATATTCAGGGGCGAGCCCGGAACTTTCCTGACGACCGCACCAAGGTGCACTTTTTGATTAGTTTGTTAAAGGACCAGGCGGCCAAGTGGGCGTTGCCGCTACTCAGGCAAGACTCCCCTTGCTGGCAGACTATACGGGGTTTTGCAATCGTTTGGAGGCCGCGCTCGGCAACCCCCAGAAAGGGAGTCAAGCCAACCGGGCGATTCGGCGTTTGAAACAGGGCAAGTCCACGGTGGCCGCATATACCACGGAGTTTCGGCTGTTGGCACAGGACTTGACCTGGAATGATTCGGCACTGCGGGACCAGTATCTCGAAGGGCTTTCGGACGAGGTACTGGACCAGTTGGCCACAATGGAACGCCCCACCACGCTAGACACTCTCATTCAACGGAGTCTACAAATAGACGACCGGTTGGAGGATCGTCGTCAGGCCCGGGTCGCCGACACTTCCAGTTCACGGCACCAGCTTTTTCCGGGAGCCCCACGGTCACAACTGATTTAACGGAGGAGCCTATGCAGCTCGGGGCAGTGCGGCCACGCCTTCCCCCGCAGAGAAGGCGCGGCGTCGGGAGGGAAATCTCTGTCTTTACTGTGGCGGAAGTGGACACTTCGCTCGGTCTTGCCCTGAGAAACGCCAGCCGCAGGGAAACCGCCAACCCCAGTAGCTGATGGCCCTAGCTGCCGGGGGTCCCAAACCGCGCAGAATGGGCCTGCATCAATGGACTCGCAACATCTTATGGTTCCGGTACGTTTATACCCTCCAGGTGGGCCCTGGATCCCCACCCATGCTTTGGTGGATTCAGGGGCAACCCGCTCTTATATGGACGCTGCTTTTGCCGCCCATCATCAGGTGCCACTTCGGAACAAGCCAGTACCGGTCCAGGTGGAAGCGATTGACGGACGACTTCTGTGTTCAGGTGCCGTTACTCAGGAGACCCAGCCCCTGGTCCTGTGTTTCCAGCAGCACCGGGAGTTGCGAACTTTGGACATTGCCTCTATGCCCCGCTTCCCCTGGTGCTCGGGATGGACTGGCTGGAAGCCCACAACGCTCAGATTCACTGGGTCAAACGGACCGTGCACTTCCCAGACCCATGTTCCCATGCTCAACTGGGACGCTGGCGGCCGCGCCTCAGAGGAGGCAGCACCCACGCTCCCAGCCGTGTATCAGGACTACCAGGACGTGTTCGAGGAACGGGGGCAGACCAGCTGCCGCCGCATCGGCCTTTGACTGCGGCATAGACCTCCAACCCGGAGCGCCTCTACCAGTGAGTCGCTTATATTCTCTAACAGAGCCAGAGCGCGAGGCTTTGCAGGACTTCTTGCGCAAGAACCTGGAGCGTGGGTTCATTAGGCCGTCCACCTCGCCTACCGCGGCACCAGTGCTTTTCGTTAAGAAGAAATGTGGGGACTCCGCCCTTGCCATGATTACCGAGCCTTGAACAAAATTACCGTCCCAGACCGATACCCCTTGCCCCTTATCTCGGAGCTGCTGGAGCGGGTGCAAGGGGCACAGGTGTTCACCAAGCTGGACCTCCGGGGGGCCTACAACTTGATTCGGATCCGAGCCGGGGATGAGTGGAAGACAGCGTTTGGGACCCGGTACGGGCAGTTCGAATATTTGGTTATGCCTTTCGGGTTGTGCAACGCGCCTGCTGTGTTCCAACGCTACATCAACCACGTGTTTCAGGACTTGTTAGACAAGTACGTGGTGGTGTATTTGGATGACATACTGATTTACTCCCGTGACCCGGCTCGCCATGAGGGACATGTCCGGACCGTGCTGCAGCGCTTGCGTGAGCACCGTTTGTACGCAAAGCTCAGCAAGTGCGAGTTCCATCAGCGGACTGTGGACTTCCTTGGTCACCGGCTCTCTCCGGATGGGGTGCAAATGGACCCGGGAAGGTGACAGCGGTTCAAGAATGGGCGGCACCCCGGAACCGCAAGGACATACCACGGTTCCGGGGGTTCGCCAATTACTACCGGACCTTCATCGCTGATTATGCTCATCGCACCACCCCGTTGACCCGGCTACTGCGCCCAAAGACGCCGTTTTCCTGGGACAAGGAGGCAGAGGAGGCGTTTCAGGGGTTGAAGGCCTGTTTCCAGAGGGCACCAATCTTACAACATCCTGACCCCTCTCGACCCTTTGTGGTGGAGACCGACGCCTCCAGTACGGCTCTCGGTGCCGTCTTGTCTCAACAGATTGGGCCCGAAGCGCCACTCTTACCCTGTGCCTTCTATTCCCGCCAGCTCCTACCAGCGGAGCGTAACTATACTGTGTGGGAGCGGGAACTACTGGCCATCAAGGTAGCCTTTGAGGTCTGGCGCCACCATCTTGAGGGGGCACGACATCCGGTGGAGGTAAGAACCGACCACCGGAACCTGGAGTACCTCCAGACCACCCGCAAGCTGAACCAAAGACAGATCCGGTGGGCGTTGTTCTTTCCCGGTTCCAGTTTCGGATCCGCTACATCCCTAGCTCTCAGAATCTGAAGGCGGATGCCCTGTCCCGGAAACCTGAAGACAACGCAGACACGGTACAGCAAGCAGAACCCGCCACGATCCTACCTCCGGCCGCATTCCTGGCCACCCAGGAGGCGCAGCCACTGCAGGTTCGGGTGCGGGAACAGCAGCGGGTCGACGCTTGGGCCCAGGAACGACTCCGGGAGCTGGCTGAAGGGTCCAGCCCACAGTATCCGGGGCTGGTCCTGCATCAGGGCCTCCTGCTGCACCACGGTCGTCTGTACATCCCGCCAGGGCCACTGCGGCTGGAGGTTCTCCGGATGGCCCATGATGCCCCGGCAGCGGGGCACTTTGGACGGTATCGGACCACCCATCTGGTCAGTCGTGAGTTTTGGTGGCCCCGCCTGAAGGCTGACGTGGCTCGCTACGTTGCTGGTTGTGATGTCTGCCGACGCGCCAAGGGGCCTACCGGGCGACCCCCGGCCTACTTCAGCCATTGCCAGTTCCACCGCGCCCTTGGCACACAGTTTCGTTGGACTTTGTAGTGGACTTACCCTCGTCTCGTGGCTGTACCTGCCTTCTGGTTTTCTCCGACCATTTCACCAAGATGGTGCACTGCGCTCCCTGTCCATCTGTACCCACAGCCAAGGAAACTGCTCAGCTGTACCTTCAGCATGTCTTCCGCCTGCATGGTCTACCTGAGCGCGTGGTGTCCGACCGGGGCGTTCAGTTCACATCCCGGTTCTGGCGAGCATTACACCAGACCCTCGGGACAGAGGTCTGCCTCTCGTCAGCCTACCACCCACAGACCGATGGCCAGACGGAACGGGCGAACGCGGTGCTGGAGCAGTACCTCCGGTGTTACTGCAGCTACCAGCAGGATGACTGGGTCGACCACCTGGCATTGGCGGAGTTCGCCTATAACAACGCGGTGAATGCGTCCACCCAGCAGACCCCGTTCCAGGCCAGTTATGGTTATCATCCACGGCTGTTTCCAGAGGTGCTGCCGGCATCCGCGGTCCCGGCGGTGACGGAGTGGCTTCAAGAGCTCCAGTCCCAGCAACAGCTTTTGGTGGAGCAACTGCACCAGGCCAAGGAAGCGTACAAAGCCCAGGCCGACCGCCACCGCCAGGTGGGGCCGGAACTTCGCGTCGGTGACCTGGTTTGGCTCTCCACTCGCCACCTCCACCCCTCTCGACCTTCGCGGAAGTTGGACGCCCGCTTCACCGGCCCGTTCCCTATCGTAGACCAAATCTCTCCTGTGGCATTCCGTCTCCGGTTACCCGCAACCCTGAAGGTTCACCCGGTCTTCCACAGGTCCCTTTGGAGTCCGGTGGCCCCACCCGACGAGTTCCACCAGAACCGTCCCCGACCGCAGCCAGTGTTGGTTCGGGGAGCCTGAGTACGAGGTGGAACGCATCCTGGACTCCCGATACCGCAGGGGAAAGCTGCAGTATCTCATTGACTGGAAGGGGTACGGACCGGAGGACCGTTCCTGGGAACCAGCGGCCAATGTCCATGCACCTGCCTGCCTCCGAGAGTTCCATGCGACGTATCCCGGCAAGCCGGGTCCGGACCCTCGGTTGAGGGGGGGGCCTGGGAGGGGGATGGTGTGATGGCCTGGGATTCCGATTCGGAGGATGAAACAGAGGAATCCCGGCCTGCACAGGAGTCCCCGCCTCCAGGGCCGGCTGAACTGGGGCAAGGCCTTGATGCTGAAGAGCCTGCACCTGTGGCAGTGCATCAGGAGCTGGCCCCAGGTGAAGCCCTTCGGGCCCCAGAGGGGCTTGATGACTCAGTGGCCACAGGTGAGCCTCCTCCAGGGCCCAGTAACCCTTCGGCCTCTCCTGATCTGCAGAGGCTTAGGGCAGAGAGGCGAAGGGAACTGGTTGCCCCCAGGAGGAGTGCTCGCCTTAAGGCCAGAGGAGGCGGGGCTCCTGGGGACCGGGACCGCCCCTGGCCTTAGAAGAGGATAAAAGCCCAGTCAGCCCGGCCCCAGGTTGCGGGAGCAACGTCGTTGTTGGCTTCGGACCTTCCTGTGTTCCTGATCCCTGCTCGGCTTCCTGTTCCTGACTATCCGGTACTCCTGTTCCCTGCTCGGCCTCCTGTTCCCGACCATCCGGTGTTCCTGTTCCCTGCACAGCCTCCTGTTCCAGCATTCCTGTTCCCCGCCCGGCTCTCTGCCTCGGACCTTGCCCCTCCTCGTGTGGACTCTGCTACACCCAAGGTACCTTACCCCCGGGACCAGCACACCTGGCCTGGCTGCCTTGGTGCAGCGCCCCCTGGCCTGGTCGCCGGGCCAGATTGTGCCCCCCGGGCATGGTTGCCCCACCCCCTGGGTCAGGAGTCACGGGGGGCGCCATTACCCCACGCTCCCACATGGAGGAGGCAGGCAGGCAGGCAGGGGAGAGGGTGGGAAAGGCAGACGAGCAAAAACAGAGGGGGCGGAAATGGCCGCTGTGCCCCCTGTCCCTCCCTATGGACGGTTCGCCCTGCCCCTATGGGCGGTTTGCACCACCCCAGGTGCCAAGAGAGACTCCTTCCACCACTGGGCAAGTCCATAGATAAACAGATGAGTGAGTGGGCCCAGCCGGAGAACAGTCAGATCCTTTCTCTAGCACCAAGATATTCAGAACGAGCCAGGCACAAATCTGAGGGTTTACAGGATTAAGTGGGATGTTACTGCCCCCTGAGTCACCTGATAGCTGCTTGGTAGCTTCTGGCCTCCATCATTGGAGGGGCCTTAGCATAGTGGTGATGAGGCCAGATGCTGCCACATTGATCCAGCTAACACAGTACCTTCCCACTCTGAAAGAGGATACCAGCACATTGCAGTGTGCCAGTGGTGGAGTATTTAAGCCTATAAAATAGATATGGGAAATCAGTGGTCCTCCAGATATTGCTAGACTCCAGCTCCCATCATCCCTGACCATTGGCTGGCTGGGGTTGATGGAGTTCAGCAACATCTGGAGGACCACAGGTTACCCATCCCTGCTGTTATATAGCACAGGTATTTAAATGTGAGCGGATGTTTATAGCACCGATCATGTGTGACATCACAGGCATCATCCAATAGGTGCTTGAGGCATTAACACTCCACTCACTAGTAGAATAATGAGTGGGGAAGGTTTTAAAATGTGGAAGGGGAGGTTTATTGGGTTTTTGTTTTCATTATATATTTTCTTTTTGTATATTGTGATTTTATGTTGTGAACTGTGCTGAGATCTACAATTATACAGCAGTATACAAATGTAATAAATAATAATAATAATGATAAATTGCAAAGGAATGGGATTTTTTCACCTACGTTTCCAGATCACAGAAATACTTTCTCCATGAAAGATATCTAGATTCCCCCCAAAGTCTAGAGTAACTACTGTACTTGCCTTGCTCAAAATCAAATCAAGCGAAAAGCTCTATATTAGGAATGGCCAAACATGGCCCTCTAGCTGTTTTGGGACTACAACTCCCATCATCCCTAGGTAACAGGACCAGTGGTCAGGGATGATGGGAACTGCAGTCCTAAAACAGCTGGAGGGTCATGTTTGGCCATGCCTGCTCTATAGGCTGCACAGTCCTAAGCACATGTACTAGGAAGCTGGCTCTACTGCACTCAGTGCAGCTTATTGTGAGTGAAAATGTGAATGACCAACCTGTATTAGTATCTTTCTGTGTTTGGCTAGACCTGCGGCACTCTGCCAGTCCAAGCCAAGCCAAGAACATTATGCTGCCAGAAGCAGAAAAGCAGAGATGGTGTCTCTGTCCAAGGTCCAGGTCAAATGGTGCACAAGGTTAGCTAAATTGTTTTAACACCTGAGGCGGCGGGGAATCTGACACGTGGCTCTTAGAATCATAGAATCAGAGTTGGAATAGACCACAAGGGCCATCGAGTCCAACCCCCTGCCAAGCAGGAAACACCATCAGAGCACTCCTGACATATGGTTGCCAAGCCTCTGCTTAAAGACCTCCAAAGAAGGAGACTCCACCACACTCCTTGGCAGCAAATTCCACTGTCGAACAGCTCTTACTGTCAGGAAGTTCTTCCTAATGTTTAGGTGGAATCTTCTTTCTTGTAGTTTGGATCCATTGCTCCGTGTCCGCTTCTCTGGAGCAGCAGAGAACAACCTTTCTCCCTCCTCTATATGACATCCTTTTATATATTTGAACATGGCTATCACATCACCCCTTAACCTCCTCTTCTCCAGGCTAAACATGCCCAGCTCCCTTAGCCGTTCCTCATAAGGCATCGTTTCCAGGCCTTTGACCATTTTGGTTGCCCTCCTCTGGACACGTTCCAGTTTGTCAGTGTCCTTCTTCTTGGGAGTAAAAATGCAGCAATAGTAAAATTAAATGAACAACAACCAGGAACAAGCCTCCTAACAGGATGGCTGGCCAAGCTGGTTGAGGCTGATGGGAGTTGTAGTTCAGGGGCATCTGAAGAGCCACAGGGATTATTAGCCACACCTGCCCGACATGGAGTGAGCAAATCAGACTGGTGTGAGTTCAGTGATCATCACAACACGATGGCAAAGCATGTTAACAAGCTGCCGGAGCACTTAATCCTCAAACAAGTTAAACTAGACAACATGTAGGAGATACATGGGTAACATCTCAACATGGGTAACATCTCAACTGGTGTCTTCTGAATGAAAAACCAGCATTAGAAGTTATTGCGAAGAGAAGTGGGAGGAGCAATTCCTGAATTTCCTTTCTTTGTTTGTTTGTTTTCCCACTCATTATGCTCCCCTTCCACCACTGAATCTGATCCGATATCACATCAACAGTGGGGAAGTTCTGGGAGGCTACCTGTAGTTTTGTCCTGTTGTTTTGGGGCTGAAAATGGTTTGGTCAGCCTCATATGCTGGGCTGTCCAAAATACAGTGGCAATATCATCACTTGAAGTTAATGGAAGTGATCAATCTGGCTTGAACTCAAGTACTTCTGCCTAACTGGTTTGTGAACTGAGCCAAGTGTCTCTTTCATCAACAGCAGTGATAAATTGGTATTCGCAGTGTTTATTTAAAACAAAAGGCTCCGGCAGTTTTAGTGCAGTCAGGAGTTCTTAGTCAAAATATATTAGAACCTCTAAAAGGGAAAAAGACAAATATACCCCAGTATAATTAGCAGCAAAGCTGTATTTGAGATTATGTGGTGAAATACATTTCAAAATTCTTAATTGTATTTTGTAACGCCCCATGTTGATCATATATCCACAAGCTTCAACATAAGGACACAGTTCATCCTTCGTTCAGGCCTCAACTCTTTACAATTTCCTGATTTTCATACTCCTTCCAGTTAAAAAGTCAGACTGATCTACCTACTTCCTGCAATCTTTCTGATCTCTCTTCATTTCCTCTGCAGCCATTACCACACTCTTATCAGAACTGGGAGCAAATAAGTGGTATGGATCCTGACATAAATAGAGGAAGGGCCTCTTGGTATCGACTGGAGAATGGGGTAGAAATTCGGTTTGGCTATGATTTCAATGTAAACCTGCCTAATTTGTGCTTTCCAAAACAACAGTGAACCAAAACACAGCTCTCCTTAAAAAAAAAAAAAAAATGCACTTCTCCAAATTTTGTGGTGCAGTTCTCCAACAAAGTAACATGTACAAGAATGTGCATCTTAATGAAAATGCATTATATTAGAAAATATTGCTTGCAAAAAAATGTGTGTACCAAATGAATTTTGCACTAAAATGGTGATGAATTTAAAATTGCAAACTGACACAGAAATGTGGAGAACTGGATTTAAAATTGGAAAAGTGAGAAACTAGGAGAAGTGAAATCGAGAGATTCCTCTGTCCCTAGTGCCGATCCAGTAGGTCCTTAAACTAGAGAAATATATAGCCTTAATTATGGAATATTCCTGTAAAGGGTTTGTCTTCTTGACAGTCTGAGTCAATATTGTTAGCAGTGAGGTGGAAGAGCAGAGCGATTCCTTGCCAGCCAATGTTTTCATATTTTGCATAAACTGATGGGCCCGTAATTAATGGGGAAAACAGGCCATCCAGAAGCAGAGCAATCTAGCTCATCCACTGCGCTGGACTCCTTCCAGCAAAATCTCTTTATTACACAAAAGTGCCAGCTCACCCATCTGTGACAAAGGATGTAAGTTGTTCCAATGAAAACGAAGGGATCCCATGCTGGAGAGCACTTAAAGACCCTGTCAAACAGGCAGCCAGACAAGGGAACATGCTGCGCTTGTTGTGCCAAGAAGGCTGCCATGACCCTGGAGTAATATCCCCTCACCTAGCTCAGTCAGTAGAGCATGAGGCTCTTAATCTCAGAGTCATGGGTTTGAGCCCCACACTGGGCAAAAAGATTCATGCATGACCCTCATGGTCCCTTCCAACTCTACAATTCCAAGATATTACGGAGAGGAAGGGGAGGACTCTGGAGTGGAAGGGGAAAGGCATGCAAGACCAACTCCACCCCCCAGCTGGAGAATGTGGTACTGCCATCATCTGACTCAGATGACTCCACTGCAGAAGGAAGTCCTGAGGCTCTCCTGCTCAGTTGCAGTAGAAGGTTATTGGAGAAGGATGCTCACTTTTCAGTGGCATCTCCCAGCACAGGTGGTGTGAACCATTAGACTGCACCTGCTACCATAGAAAGGCTCAGTTTCAGCTTGTGACTTGCCCGAGCAACTTCACAGCTCCGCATTCCCCAGAACGCAGCATGATTCTTTGCGCTGCGATTTGCCTCCTGTCTGAAATTTGCCCTGCCTTACGCTCTGGTGGGGCCTTGCCGTGCTGCAGGGCACAACAAAGGCACACTTAAGAATGGAGAAGGGAAAGAGTAATACGGAGTATGCACTATTTTGCCTTAAGGCAAAACCTCATCTGTTGGGCAGAGATATGGTTTTCAGAAACATAGTGCTTCAGCTATACCAAGCCAGAGGCATTCTATATAGAAGAGGGGTACATTTCACATTTGTTGGGGATACCTCCCTCAAGGTGGCTACCGCCCAATTCCCAGAGACACTTGTGTTGCTTCCAGGTGACCTGTTTATTGAGAATTCATCCTGATTTGTTTGTGGGGAGTTTAAAAGACGTTGAGTCAATATATTTTATTTCCCACTTACCGGTGCATTTTCCTCATCACCTTCCATATTGCAAAAAGTCTCATCTTTGGGGCAGTTTTGTTGTGCAAGAGCTTGAAACCAGCTTTAATTGCACAACCTGAATTTGCTGGTATGTGACTGAACTCCACCCAAACACAGCAACAGTCTGGAAGCATCCTTCGGAAGTAAGTATTCCACCGAGACCAGCACTTTGCCATCTCAAAAATGGAATGGTACTTCCAAGTTCTACATCTGTGAGATCTAAACTAATCTTAACCTGCTGGTGAACGGCAGGTAATACATTTAACATCAAAAACAACAGCAACATTTCCAGCCCATGTGTACAGTGGTACCACGGGTTACAGACGCTTCAGCTTACAGACTCCACTAACCCAGAAATAGTACCTCGGGTTAAGAAATTTGCTTCAGGATAAGAACAAAAATTGTGTGGTGGTGGCACAGCGGCAGCGGGAGGCCCCATTAGCTAAAGTGGTGCTTCAGCTTAAGAATAGTTTCAGGTTAAGAACGGACCTCCAGAACGAATTAAGTTCTTAACCCGACGTACCACTGTACATGAAAAAAAAGAAAGAAATACCTTTACCTTCCCATTCAACCCAGCTCCTTCAATCCGTTCCCTTCAAGTCCTATAATCAACTGGTTGCAAGACCTGCAGCTCCAAATCCTCAGATGAACTCATTTTAAATGAGTGTGTTAAACCACATATAGGATGCTGATGGCTCATCTAGGTATCAGTTTCATCAGGCAGCAGTGCCAGCTTGAAACACATGGTAGGTGATGGCATTCATCGCACATTTACATGCCAGATATTGCTCACTGCTTAGACTTGTTTGTGTGGTGTAGGCAATCCACTCTTCTGCCCTGGAGAAAGGGAGTGTCTCAGCACTAGGGGACTCATCTCTCAAAACAAGGCTGAAAGAGTCTCGTGATATTCTGCAACTTGGAGGCTTGCCTGTGGAGAAGAAGATAGTGGGGCTGCCTACACATGATGTGTGCCTGATTCACACATGCATGATGCATGTTTGGCGTCATCATGCAGTTTCACGTTGCTTAATAACTTGCGTGGCATCACAGACGCCATATTCCCAAGAATATTGAGGGGTCCCCACACAATGCCCTGAAGTTGCATGTGCAATGGCTTCATGTTCAGCCTCAACGATGCAGGAGGGGCTCTACTGAATATTTCCCAAGACCATAATGCACACTCACACTGCAAAGTACTCATAAGCAACCTACTTTCAGCAGCCAGAAGCATCATAACCAGACACTGGAGGGACCAGTCAGGAGTGAACATGGACTACCAGTACCAAACTGTATGGTAAACAGCCCTGCTAGAAAAGCTAATCAACAAATTGAAACAAGCATGGGGACCCATACAAGAGGACTCCCCTTTACTGCATACGCAGCCCAACAAGACGACAACAGGAACCCACAGCAACCCAGCATATAAATTGATATGGCTAACTTGACCCAACAACCCCTCCTTCTCACACACTGCAGTCAACTGAAGGCAAGCAACCAGGTCCTGGGGTCCCCAACTTCTCTTAATGCAAATAAAAACAAACAAATGCATAGAAAAAGAACCTATCCACATTATGAAGACACCGAAACCTTTGACATACACCATATAAGGGAATGAACATTTATTATCCCCCCTCACCCCCTGTTCTCGCCCCACACTTCTCTTCTTCCCCAACCTTATACTGTTTGCAACATTAATGTCTCACATCGAATATACAGTGGTACCTTGGGTTAAGAACTTAATTCGTTCTGGAGGTCTGTTCTTAACCTGAAACTGTTCTTAACCTGAAGCACCACCTTAGCTAATGGGGCCTCCTGCTGCCGCTGCGCCGCCACTGCATGATTTCTGTTCTCATCCTGAAGCAAAGTTTTTAACCCGAGGTAATATTTCTGGGTTAGCGGAGTCTGTAACCTGAAGCGTATGTAACCTGAAGCGTATGTAGCCTGAGGTACCACTGTAACTGATCTGTAGGAAGGATTCTATGAATGGAAAACAGATGCCTTATGTACATTTGTAACCCAATTAAATCTTGAATAAAAACAAATTTTAAAATAATGGCGGGGGCTGGCTCCTCAGAAAAAAAAACAAAAGATTGAGGGGGGGGCAAATGCATCAGCTCCCTGCAGCCCTTGTGCAGTATAGCAGCAACTTTGTGGCACAGGAAATCCAGTTCAACTCTGGCTTCTGCCATGAGCTTACTAGGCATCCTTGGGCAAGGCACTATCTTTCAGCCTCAGTACTAGTGACCTACCTTACAGAGCTGATATACGAATTGCAGAAGTAATGAACGTCAGGGGCAAAAATGGTGGCAAGTAAGAGTTACTCTTCCCGTCCCCTGAAGACATCTCATAACACAGACTATGAATGGCAGGACAGGGCAGGAAGAGACATTGCAGACTCATACAGGTTGCACTCCCCCACACACACAATGCTATCCAGCAAGCGATGGGCTGCAGCAATCCTGTGCATCACACAATTGCATCTGGTTCCCTAAGGGCCATTTCATACATTTAAAAAAAAAGGTAAAGGACCCCTGACAGTTAAGTCCAGTCACAGACTACTCTAGGGTTGCGGCACTCATCTCGACCGAGGGAGCCGACGTTCGTCCACAGACAGTTTTTCCGGGTCATGTGGCCAGCATGACTAAGCCGCTTCTGGCGCAACGGAACACCGAAACCAGAGAAGCGCAAATAAATGCCGTTTAACTTCCCGCCGGAGTGGTACCTATTTATCTGCTTGCACTTTGACGTGCTTTCGAACTGCTAGGTTGGCAGGAGCTGGGACCGAGCAATAGGAGTTCACCCTGTCGTGGGGATTCAAACCGCCGACCTTCTGATCAGCAAGCTCAGTGGTTTAGACAACAAACCCACATTTCTCGGCAGGTCCTCAACAGGGACCTGCTGCTAATCCCGCCACTGTCTCGAGAGTGCACTGATGCGACGCATATATTTTCGAACACTTCTTTGATAGAAGGAAATAGACACAGGTTTGGGGACAGTTGTGAAACCGTGGTGGTCAGGGCAAGGGAGAAAGCGATTTGCAAGGGGAAAGCAGCCGGTGGGAAGAAGGGTGCTCAACCCTTCCCCCACCTGCCATGTTTCCCCTGCAACCCCTTCCCCCAGCTGCTGTTCCTTGCAACTTGTCAAAACACTGCGATTGGGGGAAGGTACAATTCGAAACATTGCATTGACATCCTCTAAGGTCGCCCCCAGGCAGAGAGCATTTCACAGGAGGCATTCAAGGAAGCACATGCTGGAAATTTATGGTAGGTTGGCACAATTAACGTGGAATAAAGTGCTTTGTCGCCCTAGCAGAACAAATCCACTTTTGAAAAAAGAAAGACATGAATTCTTTGTGGCTAAGAAAGTGTTGACGAAGTACACAGAAAAGTGTAGGATGAATGGATGGTGAACGAGAAGATGTATAACCATCAGACAAGCAAATCAGGATGTCTGACCATCTCTGCAGAACCTCACCACAATCAAATCAGAACAAATGCTCAGTAAAGTCTAGACACAGTCTAACCTCTGCATGAGCTTTGAGCTAGCAAATCAGGATGCATGCACAGTAAGCAGGTTGTGTTAAGGAGCCCTAAAGCAGGCATAGGCAAACTCAGCCCTCCAGATGTTTTGAGATTACAACTCCCATGATCCCTAGCTAGCAGGACCAGTGGTCAGGGATGATGGGAATTGTAGTCCCAAAACATATGGAGGGCCGGGTTTGCCTATGCCTGCCTTAAAGCAATCCCCCCTTGCCTACAGATGAGATTTAAATCAGATTCGTGCCAATTGATCTAGAATGCCTGCACCACAAAGTTAGATACATATTGACTGGATCACACACCCAATATTCCTTGTCTCTTCCACCCCACAGTAACACTCACACCTAGAACAGTACAAGAGAGGCTCAGATGCATTTTTAAATCTCTTGTGGAAATGCCCAGTCCATGTCATTATTACCTTCCTACATTGCAACTGATATGCCATAAAAAAATCCCCCCTAGTGTGATGAAAGTTCAATTTAACCATTCTAAATCAAACTTACTTAACATATTATCATCATATCACCTCTTTTTTAAAAACAAGAAGACTCCATAATGCAAGTAATTTGAAAGTAAGCAAAACTCCCATCTTAGATTTGATTTGATTTAAATTAATTTAATTGTTCGCTGCATTTCTATCTGGCTTTTCAGCTACAATGTTTCAAAGGAGATCTAATCAAATATGAAGTTTTCCAGGCCCCAGGGAAACTGTTCTAATGCAGAAACATGGAAAAGAAACCTCAAACACAAAACCAATCATCTGAAACAATATTAGTAGAGGCGGGACTCTGAAGCTAAGTAAGAAGAACCATTATCTCCCTTTTTTCAAAGCTTACATACAAATCACTGAAGTCTGGGTATTCCTAGCGTGCGTACAAACACCCACATCCATCCACAAACCTTATGGAGCACATCCATCATTTAGAGCAGGGGCAGCCAATGGTGCTGCCCTCCAAATGTTGTTGGACTTCAGATGCAATCATCCCTGACCATTGGGCTGATGGGAGCTGTAATGTGGTACCTGCCAGATGTTTGCTGAACTACCTTTCGTTGTAATATGCTCATCAAATGTTCTGGGAGAAAATTGCATTATAATAGCAGTATTTCTTTCTTGAACTTATACCCTGCACCTTCCCCTCAAAAGAGCCCAGGGTGACAAGCATACTAAAACAATACAATTGAAACAGTTTTCCTAAAAGCAACCGCCTACTCTGAACTAATAATCTGAGGGTTCCCAGGAATTTCAGCCATCAGGCGCCCAAGTAAACCAGAATGTTTTTAAACTTCCTAAAAATTCAACAGTGGAGACACTCAGTGCATTTTCAACTGATACTGTCCTTCCAAGTGATACAGAGGAATGGTCTGCATGTCTATCAGTATCTCCCCGTGTATCTTCATGAATGATATTAGACATGCACACAAGCGTCCAACTCTTTTTCTCCTTCACACCTCTGTGTGTGGGAAAAACCATGGGTGAAGCAATCTTAAGACTGAAAGAGCTGCAAGCTATAAATTATTTGCCTACGGCGGCCATCAAAACTTAAGCAGAATTGGAAGTGTTCCTAGCAGAGGCCATCTTCTCAAGATGATTGAGGGGGTGCACAAGGAGCCAGGGGGCGGAGCCAAATACCCTCTGAGCATTGAGAGGGCCCAGCCCCCTCAAAAAAACATGGAGGGAAAGTGACTTGGCCCCTAGGACCTGGCACATTTGATCCACAGAGAGGGCGTTCCAGAGTAGCTTGAATGCCCAGGAAAAACTGAAAGGTTTGTGCCTGTCCCCCAAATATCTCCAGAGGTAGCTTCCTTGGACCATGGCCAGAAAGGTCCACTCTCTAGTCACTACTCAGAAGGTGGGGAGACATGGAGGAAGGTCTCTGATGACGACTGCAATGTTCGGACAGACTGGGAAGGTGAAAAGCAGCTGTTAGTTCCACATGTACCTTTGGAGGAGCTGTGTGTTTTTCACCTCCGACTTATTTTCATCGGTTGTTAAGTCTGAGGTCATGAAGGCAGTTTCAGCAAGTTCAAGTGACACCCATATGGGGTGCAGAAGGTGAGTGGCGTCACGAGATGCCTACAGGCACAATGTGTGCTTTTTTTAAAAAAACAACCAACAACCCAGAAATGCCTCCTAAACGATTGAAGGAAGTCAATCCAGCCTCACAAATTATTATGTGAACAGTTCAAGCAACAGGTCCTTGCTTTCTGCTGTTTTTTAGCAGAGCTCACCAAACTAGCAAACGATTAGATCCTTAACCAGCTGCCGACGATCACACACACCGTGCTGTTTCATAACACTTTGATATTCGTTTTATGAAGGTACAAAGAGCTTCCCTTGCTCTGTCAGTAAAATTACAGACCATGTTATATTGTACGTACATTTAAAAGGCAATCTCTCTATTTAAAGGAACAGACCAGCTGTAAGACTAAGTTAAAGCCACAGTACTCACACTCGAGTAACAAAGTCTGGTTCGATCCATGTCAGCTCGGGAAAGTCTTCCTGGACAGGGAAAATTAAAACCCAGTGTTGGTAAGATAGTTTTCAACTGATTCAGTAAATCCAGAGAGAAAGCAAGACCCGGGAGAAGCGAAAGGAGCACGACCACAGGCAGAACGAGAAAATCTGTACAGTTTGGAGCTTAGAGCCTTAGATATTCAGCCAATCATCTCGGTGGGAAATGGAGGAGGAGCCAGGATTGCAACATTAATGTTCCTTGCTGCAGGCAAAACAATGATTTTCTTCACTATGCTAAATGTCCTGAGACTGACAGCTTTACAAGGTTACAGAGGACAGATTACATGGATGTAGCAATGGAGACATTTTCAGCCTCAGATTTACATTTTTAAGGTGCCTGTGTTTATGTCCAAGCGCACAAGAGAAACTTGTGTGTATGCTTTTAAATTCACCGTCGATGTACTTTCCCTACAAAGGGCTTGTAGATGTCCCTATGCACGGCAGGAAAAATCATACACATGAGAAATAGCAAAGCCTTTTGAATCTGAAAGGGGCTGATAGTGATTTGTATGCCATTCTGCACTGATGTGAAAGGAACAGGACTAGAATTTATCTGAAGAGGCTTGGCAGAGACTCTGTCAGTGAGGGGAAAAAACAGCCACAGCTGTCAACACCGGGCAGAATTTTTGCCAGGATTATCAGGTAAGTTTTGTTCACCCAGGTAGCAGAATTGTGCATCCTAGTAGCCATTTTCAGATATGGATGTCATGGAACCCTATAGAGAAGTGTGAAAAGGAGGGAGCAGGAACAGAGGAAATTAATGCTCCAATCCCTGTTCATTAGCAAGTCTGAAATAATATTATGTGTACAGACAAGTGTATACATGGAAGATTCTCCTTGCAACCAAGAATTATGAAAAAGGAGCTAAATCCACAGCTGTATAATACCTTTATTAATAGGACCAACCTAATTGTAACAAAGCAGTGGGTGAGCTTTTTGGTTCTCCAGAACTGTCTATCAGAAACTACTGGCCCAGGTTCAAGGTTCTTGTGTTAATTCACAAAACCCTAAATAACTTGGGCCCAAGGAGCAGCTGATCTCTCATACTCCACCTCAATCAATGTTGGGTGCAACGGACTGGTTGGACGCAAAGGAATGGTTGGAGGAACCAGCTGGGGAACCACCAAGGGGAAAAGGCCCAGAGCCCAGGGACTGGTGGTTGGACAAAGAGGAGTGGACACAGGGAGAAGAGGAAGAAGACTGGGAGGTGGTAGAGGAAGCTGAAGGAGTAACAGGGCTTAGTGAGAAGGGAGAGCCTGTGGTAGGGAGAAGTTCAGAACCAGAGGCAGAAGCTGAAGCAAGAGGTTGGCAGGACAGAGGCCAAGAGGCAGAGATGAGTCAGGTTGGTGAAATGTCATGGATGTCTTCCCCTCCTGCTGTGACCAGTTCCCTTCCTGCCTTATCTCCCAGAACCAGAAGAGGCATGAAAAGGGCAGAGGAGATGTTCACCATGCGCAGGTGCAGTCTCAGATTGCTTGGGAAAACCACGGAGAGGAGGGGGCTTAGGCAGCTGTGGGGAGGTGGGGACCTTCAGTCTCAGCAACTGCTTCATGGGGACAAGACCTACCAGAGATGAGTTGCTTTTTTTCATTAGGCCTGACACTACTGTGCAGAACATGTTTTTGCCAATAAAGCGTTAACTCCAACTTGCACAGTGTGATTTATTGCAGGCTTGCTCCTAACAAGGGGGCACTTCTGGTGGCTCCCCATGCCTCTGAGGTTCGGTTGACTTCCATTAGGGGCCAAGTCTTTAGCGTGGCAGGCCCTGCCCCATAGAACTCCCTGCCAGCAAAGATTCGGCAGCAACCTCTTCAGATGTCTTTTAGCTGACCAGTATTTACAGATGCTTTATTGATGTTTTTGATTATGTTTTATAAATATTGGTTTTATGCTGTCTTGTATGTTGCAAGCTGCCTTGGTATACTTTATGAAAGTGCAGATTATAAATATTTAAATAAAGATATTATCAGGTTAAGTGGTACACAAAGCAAAGGGAGGGGGATGAGGAAAAAAGAAAACAGTTCAAAAATTAGGCTGGATGCTACAGTCCTAAGATTTGCATTTAGACTCCATTCCAAGATGGAGGTTGCAGAAGGAATTGGTGATGCATATATTGGCTAACACTTAGGAACCTGGAATGAAGAAGCAGTGATTGATCCTCATCTTTGATAACATAAAGCCTGGTTGTTACTCAGATCTTTCTCACGCCTTCACTAACCTGTGTGCTTTGTTTAAGGTGTGAAACACATCTGGGTGACAATCAGGCTTTATGTTTTCCAAAATGAGATCCTTTTTGAATGAAATGAGACAAAAATGGCTCTCGGGTGCTCCTTTTCCCTGTCATTCTGAAGTCTCCAGGGCTCCCACACTAACTCTTTCTGCCAGCTACCAGCAGCAGAACCTGAGACAATTGTTGCTCCCCCATCATGGTAGAGTCCCATCAGTACCAAAGACTCTCCCTTCCGGGCATGGAGGCTGGTGGGGCCCTAACCTATGTCCCATCCTTATTTCCCTCCCCAAATGTCAACACTAAGGGACAAAATTGTACCCTAAGTAACCACAAGTGTATTGGCTCACATTTGCCCAGTGCTACCCCTATGCTCTTCCTTCCTATGAACTTTAGTTTTAATTGATCAATTCATTACATTTTTTTAAAAAAAAAATCCAACCCTTCCTTGAAAACATATTTATACTGGATCTTTTAATTAAAAGCAAAACCACAAGATGGCTTCCATTTAACTAGCAATCTATAACACATGGTTAACTTAAGGACATAATAGATACTAAAGGAGTCTCCTCTTTGATCTCTGTGCTTGATGCTGCAATCAGAAATTAGCAATGACGGGCATTGATTTGTAGAGATTAATGGTTTTATAACGATGGAAATAAATAAATAAATGGCACACAAAATACAATCAAATCATTGTGAAATACAATGCAACAATCATTAAAACTGAACCACAGAAAAGATCTGATTGCCCCTGGGAGCTTGTGAGCAGGACTTGTAAACAGGGGCTTTTGTGAGGGCATTTAGTGGAGGTGTTTAAGGGGGAGGCCCGGAGTGCTGTCATGGTGTTATGTAGGACCAAGAGGCGTAGATAGCGAGGGAGCTGCTGCAGTGACTTGCAACACCTGCAACTCCTGCCTGAGAACGTTGCAAAACTACACCTGATAAGCTGACTGTGTTGTTATTGGGTCAAAAGTTTAATGGTGTTTTATTATCCGTTCTTGATAATATGTGTTTTAATGCTTTTGGTAAACTGTGTCCATTTTCTACAGGGAAGCTGCAATTGTGTTTTGCACACTTGGGACAGATGTGTGGTTTTTAGGAGGGGGTAATGTTATGAGTTTATGGGGGCCTTGATTCCCTTAAATTCCTGGGTCTAATGGGTCCTGGATCTAATTGGAGTTGAAATAATACTTGGAGTATTGAGATGGGCTGCCCTAAGGAGAAGGCACAGCTGCCACCACTGCTCCAACCCCAAAGGCTAGGCCGGGCAAGGCTTCCCTCAATGAGGGAGCCTGTCATGGGGGGCGCCTCATTGCGCCCTCTCAAAAAATGTGCCTGGGGCCATGGCCCCCCACCACTGCACACAAATTAAATGTGTGTAAACTGCAGGCTTGCTGTAGATTAAAATGCTCTAGCACAGGCACCCCCAAACTCGGCCGTCCAGATGTTTTGGGACTACAACTCCCATCATCCCTAGCTAACAAGACCAGTGGTAAAGGAATGATGGGAATTGGAGGGCCGAGTTTGGAGATGCCTGCTCTAGCACAACAATGCCACTTTAAAAAAAATAAAATAAAATAAACCTTTTGCAGTTGGAAAAGTGACAGGGTAATACACCAAAAACTCTAGGGTAAATGTCTGGTGAGAAATTGCATAACTGTCTGTGCAAGCAAATCAAATGAATACTCATTGCCATATAACCTCCCTGTAAAGAAATCTGAACAAATGTTCAACGAAGAGCATTCAGATCATCAAGTTGACTTGTTTAATTAATTAATTAATTAATTAATAATAATAATAATAATAATAATAATAATTTATTACTTATACCCCATCCATCTGGCTGGGCTTCCCCAGCCACTCTGGGCGGCTTCCAACAGACTATTAAAATACCATAATACATCAAACATTAAAAGCTTCCCTAAACAGGGCTGCCTTCAGATGTCTTCTGAAAATCTGGTAGTTGTTCTTCTATTTGACATCTGGTGGGAGGGCATTCCACAGGGCGGGTGCCACTACCGAGAAGGCCCTCTGCCTGGTTCCCTGTAACTTGGCTTCTCGCAATGAGGAAACCGCCAGAAGGCCCTTGGCGGGTAGAACGATGCGTGTGGAGACACTCCTTCAGATATACTGGACCGACACTGTTTATTGAACTTTCACCCCAATTTGCTTGCACAAAGCTTCCTGCAATAAATAAACTCTGCTTAAACTTTACACAAGACAATTGGGGTGAATGCTCAATAAACTAGTCATCTGGAGGAGCCCCTGAATAGCTGTCCTTGTACATGTGTTTTCCACTTTTTGCACCATGTGAAGTGGTCACCCTAAGAATTGACTGACCCAAACACCACTGTGGTGTTAAGAACCAGCATGAGACCAGGGATAGGGAAATCTGTCCATTTTGGTTTCCCTCAGGTTTGCATTTTTTCAACCTTAATTTCAATTCTTCACATTTCCATATCACTTGATGCATTATTATCATTATTTTTTGGTACTCAATACATGGACAGAGAATTGCACTGCAACATTTGGAGAAGTGTGAATTCTGAAGGATAGCTGTGTTTCGATTCCTGGACCACTTCAGAACATGCAAATCACGGTAAGATCGGTTCTAAATGCAAGATGCACCAAATGTCTTCCCCCTGCCCAATCTCTACTTGAAACTGGCATGTACATTTAAGCTTCCTGGTAGGTGGCCTATGAAATTCACAGGCATGCTCAAAAGCAGTGACTGAGATGCTCACATGTGAAAAGGGGCAGCTGGAGATTCTTGTTCCTGGTTTATCTCCAGCAAAGCCTATTTCTGTCAATCAAAAGAAATCCTCCTTGCTAGATTTTTGTTGTTCTTAATAGCACCTAATAACAGTGCTCATGATCGGGG